GCACATGCCTGGGTTCCCAGTCTGCTGTAGCAAATAAATAAATATAAAATAGCTTGTATTTCTATAGAACAATAACCTATTGGAAATATACTTTAAACATAGTTTATAATAACACAAGAGAAATCTAATTAAAATGAATCTATTTAAAATTCCATAGATTTCAAAAAAATGTAAAACACTGATTTTAAAAAATCAAAATATGAATACAAACCACACTGATGGATTTGGAGACTCTATGTTGTTAAGTTGACCATTATGTTCAAACTGTCCTATAGATTCCATGACATCTCAATTAAGTCTCAGCATGTTTTGCTGAAACTTGGCTATCTGGTTTTTTTATGTACTAGGTGTGGTCCTATATACCTTTGACCCAAGGTAGGGGAGAGTGAGGTGGAAAAAGTCTGAGTTTTGGCAACGAACGGTGACCTCCTTCTCAAAAGATTAACAACGCTAAATGAATGAATGAATGAATGAATGAATAAATAAATAAATAAATAATAAATAAATAAATAAGATTACCAATGCCTTGTTTGTTTGCTTTTCTAATGGCAGTGCTGGTGGTTGGCTCTGGGCCCCTGAACATGCTAAGCATACTGCTAAGCTATATCCCCAAACTCACTTCATTGTTTTTGTTTGTTTGTTTGTTTTTTGTTTTTTCGAGACAGGGTTTCTCTGTATTGTTTTGGAGGCCGTCCTGGAACTCGCTCTGTAGACCAGGCTGGCCTCGAACTCACAGACATCTCCCTCCTCTGCTTTGAGAGTGCCGGGATTCAAGGTGTGCACCACCAAGTCCAGCAGGTTCTATCTTGCTATTATATACTCTCTGAGGTTTGGGAAACACACACTGGCATGGAACCACCTCTACCCCACCCTTAACAGCTTCATTGAAACTATTCACCTCCCTGCTGCCTACCCTCACACACCATTTCCCCAGGCCCCACAGACCTTTTTACTGTCCCAACAGTTTTGTCTTTCTCAGAATGTCATATAGCTGAAATGAGACTACATGCAAAGTATGCAACATTTTTGAATTGGTTTCTTGTCTTAACACAATTTAAAGTTCCCTTAGGTATTTCTTTTTTGTTGTTGTTGTTTTGGGTTGTTTTTTGTTTTGTTTTGGTTTTTTTTTTTTTTTTTTTTGGCTTTTCCAGACAGGGTTTCTCTGTGTAACTTTGGAGCCTATCCTGGCACTCGCTCTGTAGACCAGGCTGGCCTACTCACAGAAATCCACCTGCCTCTGCCTCCCAAGTGCTGGGATTAAAGTGCACCACCAATGCGTGGCTTCCCTTAGGTATTTCTACAATTTGATCATCTTTTTGTTTTTGTTTTCGCTTGTGTGTGTGTATGTGTGCGCGCGCTGTGAATGTTCTACTATCTGGATACATCACAGATTATTGATTCACTGACAGTTCTAAGTTGAGTTCTGACAATTAGGAATACGTGTTCTAAACCACCATGCACAGAGTATGTGGATACAATTCTCAGTTCACCTGGGAAAAGTGCCAGATAACTGCTAGGTTGGATGGCGACTTATGCTTGGTTTTAGCAGAAATTCCAAACCTTTGAATGGAATTTAAATCTTTTTTTGTGTGTGTATTTGGTATAATTGATAGCTGGGTCAGAGAAAATAAAGATGGCAAGAACACTGGCACCAAGAGGAAGGGATTGCAGGATGGAACTTCAAATTTAGATTTTATCCTAACTAGCAAACATGAATGTATTTCAGACCTGATAATTGGGTCAAATGCATGCTTGAAAAGTTGAAAATAGAAATCACTGTTCTACTTGACACTTATCATGGGCAGCAATGTCCAGGTCATGTTTTTATAGTCTCACAGATTTTTTTTTAAAAAAAGTCAAGCAAAAAAAAAAAAAAGAAATTTTTATATCATGCCCTCCCTTTTTTTTTTTTTTTTGTATTGTGAGAGGCATGAAGGGTATAAAGAGCTGGAAACTAGGCTCAGGTGAACTCCCAGATCCATCCACTTGTTCCACTGTGTGTGTGTGTGTGTGTGTGTGTGTGTGTCCGTGGATGTGTGCATGTGTATGTGTATGTATGCATGTGTGTGTGCTTGTGTGCATGTGTGTGAATGTGTGCATGCGTGTGCACATGTGTGTATGTATACGTGTGTGTGCTTGTGTGTGCATGTATGTGTGTGTATTTGGGGGCCAGGGGAACCTACCCAAAGGTATCCATTTAGAAATCTCCCAAGAATGGATGTGACTATTATCCAAGCCTGAGATTTAGCCCACAGTGCAGTCCCTTGAACTTCTGGGCTCAAATAGACCAATGGCCACTTGGCTGAAGTGAGCAACGAAGTGAAAACTGACAACCTCGCAGGATCATAGCATGTTCTCCGTGGTGTGAGCGAGCACCAGCTGAGATACAGTCAGAGCTGCAGGGCTAGGGCTGGCTTGCTTGCCTGCCAGTCACAGAAAACCACCCCTGTCAGTGAGCCTCCACTCCCAGTCTGTCCACCATGCTCTGGGCAAGCTGACGTCTACCTCTTCAACCTCTTAACTCTGTAACGTAACTATAGTCTACCTTTCAAGGACACATGTTTGGAAAAAAAGAGATCCCAGTACAAGTTCAGCACCATCAGGGTAGACTTTTAAATCAGATGCTCTCCCCTGTGCCCAATTGTCCTGCTTCTCTGTGACATCACACAGTGAGTCCCCTCCCGTGAATGCTGTCTCTCACTTCCTTCTTTCTGTGTAAAGCAGCATCCTTTCTACCCTCCGAAAGCAGGGGCCTGCCCAGCTCAGCCGGGTGGGAGGCATCCCACAACACTGCCTTGCATTTGTCCCTCCAGGCCGGGTTCCTCCTCCCTGCCTGGAGGTGCTGGCTACAGCTCCATCCGTCATCCCTTCCCCTGCAGAACATGAGTCCTCCGTGAGGGGTCATGTCGTCAGGCCCCACAGACGTGGGAGGAAAGTGCCTACAGCCCCCTTCTTTTCCCTACATTCCATTCTGAAGCAGCTCCTCCAGGCCTTTCTACACACATCTCTCCATCCCTTCATCTGCCTAGTGGGGTCTCCAAGTGTCCCAAGAGCCTTGGCTTTCCTGGAACCAACTTCAAGAAGGATGGTGAGCCGGATCCATCCCCTCAGCTACTCGAGACCTGCCCAAATGGGTGACAGGCAGAAATTTCCAACTCTGAATCTATGCAGCACTGTCTTGATCAGAGTGCAGCATGTAGACCGTGCCAAGGTGATGTGGGCTGGAGAAAGCTAGAGAAACCAGACATAATGTCCTCCCCATCTTCTGGGAACATAGGCTCTTGGGTGCATGCACCTCCACACCTGCAACTGGAGGGGCAGCATTTGCTGCAGCAAACTCCACGGATGAATTTTATTCAGAAGTCCTGATGCCCTGCAGCGGGTGACCAAGCTCTTGGAAGGCAGTGAACATGACCTCTTTGAGTTCTCTCTTCTGAACTCCTGAAATTGCCCCTTCCCAGTCAGTCTCCCAAGCAACTTCTACCTTCATCAGATATCATGAAACATTCTCTAGTCACTTGTAGCCAGCAACTGCACCAGCTTGCTCCTTTAGTGTATCCCAAGCACACAGGTGTGGGGGTGGGAGCAGCTATCTGACGCCACTTAGAAAGAAGAGCAAACCATTTCCTAAAAGCCTCTGTTTCCATTGTCTCCACTTAGTGATGATACAGACCATTTCACCTCCTCAGGCCATCAGGAACACACATGATGCACATACATTCATATAAACAAACACACATTCATACATACATACATGCAGCAAACACTCATACATGTAAGCAAATTAAAAATAAAAAAACCCATTGGCTTGGTTTTATGAAATGATCAGTTCAACACAGAAATGCCTTAGTTTATATAATCCATATATGCATAATCTATAATATGCATACATAATACATAATCACACCTAATATTCTGTCCCTCTATCTCAGTGTGACAATAAATTTGTCCTTAAAACCAGTATTTATGGAGAAATTCTTGTTAAAAGTAATAGCTATGGTCTACAGTACACACACACACACACACACAATTGTAACTGTCAACTAAAAAAGAAAATATATGCAATTGAAAAATAAAATACCTACCACGTGAGAACATTTCTGTACCCAAAGTTCAGGTGTTAAGGAGTTTAATCCCCCAATACAGGGTTGGGAGGTGGGACCCAGGAAAGTTTAAACCAGTGAGGACCTCATGGATAGACTAATTATGTATACACAAGCTCCTGGGAGTGGGCTCTCCCTCAGCAATTCTGCTCTCCTTGAAATCCCCTATGCAGCATGCAGCCCCAGGACATCCTCCCAGAGGCAGAGGGACAGAGCCTCCTTCCCGTGACCCTGTGCTTCCCAGCATCCAAAACCAAAAGATTCCAGTTCCCGACATTACCCAGTCATAGGCTGTGCTGCAGTAATGAACAGACTGAATATGCCCCTTAAGGACACTCTGGTAAGGGCCAGGTCTTCATTTCTAGGGCACTAATAAGTAAATGTACCAGTTAAATTCCAAAGTCAGAAGCCAAACATTTTTTAAATGCATTCATTTGGTCTTTAAGAACTGTATGATGACACATGAATGATCCTTGCAAAGAAAAAGTTTGATGGGACCGGAGAGATGGCTCAGTAGTTAAGAGCACTTGCTGGTCTTGGAGAGGACCCTGGTTCCATAGTGGCTCACGATCATCCGTAACTCTAGCTCCAAGGCATCGAACCCTTTCTTCTGACCTCCTCAGGCCATCAGGAACACACATGATGCACATACATTCATATAAACAAACACACATTCATACATACATACATGCAGCAAACACTCATACATGTAAGCAAATTAAAAATAAAAAAACCCATTGGCTTGGTTTTATGAAATGATTAGTTCAACACAGAAATCTAATTTAAAAAGTAAGATTCTCAATGAGTTTCAAGTAATTATGCACTGATCACAAGTGGGTCTTTTTAAAGAATGCATGATTCAAAATCAAATTATCTTTAAAGTGAAACTAATAAAAGTCAACATGAAACTGTTTTATTTAAAATAGTTACAAGAGGCAAGAGAACAGTAAGTCTTTAAAGACCAAAAGTAAGCTTCCAAGCTCAAAAATAAAATTAAAATCTCATATCACCATTATGTTTAATGACAAATATTTGACCAACAGATTGTAATTGTGCAATAAATAAAAAGACTTCCTAATTTTTCTTCTTTACCAAAAACTCATGGGCTGATGAATTAACAATAGGAAGTTAATAATCTTCATTAAGAAAAGGCACATCCAGGCAAAATAGCTCAGGTGGCTGTAAAATGCAGTGTCAAAACTCTGTACATAATCAACTGACTGCAAATAAATTACTCCGGAAAAACACGACAGGAGAGTTTTTGAAAATGCAAGCAAACATGACGCTGCCTCTTTGTGGGTGCTGCTCTGTCTCTGATGGCAGGCCAGCAGGACGGACAGTGCAGCAACAGACCATCTCAGGACTCCAAACTCCCGACCCCCAGCCCACGGTCCATCGGCATCTGGTGCTGTCAGAGACTTGACCTCCTCTCTGGTCTTGGCACACACTTTGTAATAGCCGCTTTCCACAGCACTGGAGCAAGTAAGAGGCTCAGTGTGGTCACACTTAGAATGAGGAGGTACACCTGCAACAGGTAAATGGACACAGTCACAGGAGTGCCCGTGCGCCTCACTGAGTATCAGGAAGCTCTGGTGTTCATCGAGCACGTTGATTAGACGTGCTGACAGCCAGAGCGGGCGAGGAGACATTTGCAGTGGCAGGAAGTGGGATTTGATCACTGATGGTGGTCAAATCTGTGGGGAGTTCTGATAAATCCCAGGGTAGCAGCCTGGTTTCTTTGCTAGTCTGAAAGTGACCCCTCCAGGGTCCCACACAAGTCCGAGGGACTCAAACTGGACCCAGGCCTTCCCCATGATGCAGCTGTGCATCGGGTTCAGAGATGCCTCACTCACTCCTCAGGAAGGCCTCTACTGTGCTCTTACCATGGCCCTAGACTGCTCAGAGAGACCACCACTGAACAGTACACGCTCTGCAGGCTTTCCCTGTGCTTCACTTGGGGTTTCGACTGTAGGTTCAAGATAACAGTCCACCTTTTATTCCTCCTCAGCCTGTTAATTATAATTACCGTGAAACACAATGGCATCGCTTCTTGGGCTTTTTGGCTAACATCAAGCATAAAAGACTATAGAAGGATTAACTAGGTATTTGCATCTAAGAATTTCAATGCCTTAAATGAAAAGGAAGCAGCCAGGTCCAGCTTCCATGACTCCCATCAAAGCTTCCTTCCAGGCCAGCTCAGTGCCCACTGAGAACACGCTGCTGTCCCTAAGGCCTGGTGTGCCTGGGCTCCCAAGTCAGGCACAGTGGGAGTCAGGGGCCGTGTTCAATCTGCCAGAAATGCTTGCACCGAAGCATTCGATGTACTCCACGGGGCTGTCACGCCTGTTAAATGATAGACTCTCACCTCTCTCGAGATGATGCCCGCTCTGCGTGCTCGACTCCCCAGAACAAAGGAGAACTCGCTGACCTGGGCCAGTCCCGCTGAGACAATCCACTTGATGTACTGGCTGCTCCTTGGCAAGATGAGAGACAAGACCAACACTGCCAATACAAACTGTAAGAAGAACGGTTTATCACGTCACTACTCAGGACCAAAGGCCAAACAAAATTACTCTCACGATACAGAGCCTCGATGGAAACCGTCAGAGGCAGCCATTGCTTCGTGAATCGAGAAGGGAAGTACATGTAGCAGCATGCCAAATAGCCAGAAGGCACCAAATAAATAGAAACTATCTTAAATCCATATAGAACTAGAAGGCAAAATGAAAGGTTGGATTCACCAACAGAAACTAAGCTTTCCCCCATCAGATTGAATCAATAGCATTAAATATTAAGTGTTCGAGATAGGTTCCTTCCATAACATGAGATGTTCTCTGGTGATCAGCCTGGAACTGACAGGAAGCTCAGGACTAGCGACTCAAGATATTGCTAAACAGGCAGCCACACTTAGGCTCCAGTACAGGTCACACAGTAATCTGTGGCTATGAGGATGGACATTTGGAAGTGCCCCCTGGAGTTCCTATATGCTGAAACACACCTCCATCAGGAAGGAGGCACTGGCAGCCCCTCAGACTTATCCACAACAAGCCTGCAGATCCAAAAAGAGGCTCCTCGCCGGGCTTCTGCTAATTCCCAACACCTCAGTTCTGAAACAACACATCCTCCTAGCATCGAAACCTGCCTCCCTGGGTCTGCCAAGGGCATGGATGGAAAGCGTCTCCACACAGGGGCACTTGGAGACACGGGTATCATTGGGGCTCTGAAGGATTTGCGCAGCGGCTGGCTAGAAACGAGGGCCAATGGGGAGTGTCCTGCTGTGTGACAAGTGACAGAGCAGTATGGACTTGACCGGCTCTGAGTGCTAAGAGACAGCCTCATACCTTCATGACGACCACAGACAGGGTGAGGAAAACCAGCACAGTCAATTCGTAGATCACAAAGGTGGGGAACACATGAAGCCCTGTGGGAGACAGAGGCAAGACACCTCAGAGCAGGCACAGCAGCCCACCTCCATGTGGCCACGCCTGCAGAGAATGCAGCAGAATCCCCAGGTAGGCACAGGGCCCAGCTCCCCTTGTAGACTGGGGACTAGGGCACCCACAGCTTGTGTGTACACGGCAGCCACGGGAAGGGTCGGGAAAGGCTCCACATCTCCACACAGTCTTTGTCACTTCTCACTTGGCTAACACAAGAAGAAACCATGGGCAGGCCTCACCGTAGGTACTTCTCATTGTCCTCTGTCCCTTCGGAAAGGGACAGGTGGCTACAGGCGGAAGCATCTCTGCCCACTCAAAGCTTTGTCATCTTCTCAGGAAAACATCATAGCGGAGACCTCCTTCCCCATCAGAGGCTCTGGGCCCCGGAGTCAGCCACTCAGTAGACTCCACAGTCTTAGCTCCTACAGACCACATTTTTGTTTTCCTCACAAACATGAACATAAGAATACTCCCTTTCTTTCCTAGACAGCTTCCTCTTCCTGAGACATGGAGATGCTTCCCCAGAGTGGTTCAGACTCTGGTATGTGCTCTCCTGGCCCTCCAGCATCTACAGCTGGACCTCCCAGGCCCTTCTGGGGGCTCTCTCCTCAACGCCTGGCTCCGTCTGGTGTAACTCCCCTCTGAGGATCTGTTGTCAGAGCTCATGCCTAGAGGTCAGAGGTCAGACTACTGCCTTAACCTATCACTGGACCCCTCCCTCTTCTCCCACATTCCTGAATGGTCCTCATGGCCCATTAGGCCCATGACAGGCCCCTTGAGTCTCCTCATTTGCCAGCTGGTTATAAGTCCTACAGGCTGTCCAGCCCTGGACATCCAAGACCTAAACCACCAGCCCATGCAGACTTCCTTGGTAATGCCAGTTTAGATGTTTTTGGTGTCTTGGCCATCTACATAGACATACCTAAGTTCAGGAGCAATGTGTGGTGGTACAGTAATACCCATCCTGCCCCACGACGACGACAGTGGTGCACAGGCCCCAGCCCCAGGCCACATGGGACAGGCACGAACCTACACACTGGGGTACCTAAGCTCTCTGTCTTCTAGATTACGGCCTGCAGGCCACCCAGGAAGATCTCTTTTCCAATAGACAAGAGGTTGGCTCAGCTGTGGACACCTCCCGATTGGACTATACCTGTCTGATGGAATTCCATGTGCCAGGCATTGGTCTGACGTCTCCCATCCCTAGGCTTTCCCAGGAGACACTCTTCCTCCCAGGAAATACTGTCCATCCTACCCTAGTTATGACAGCTCTCCTGGAATGATGCCATTCATTTAGCCCATCCACAAGGGGGTTCCCGCACCTGTGCTGTAGGCTGAAGACGCCTTCCAGACTCATAAGCCTACCCAGAGCCCTTGGGCTCTGTGGACGGCATCGCCTTCTTGCCCAGATGCATGTCAAGGAACATCTGGGAAGCAGAAGCCACTAAAGCCGGTGGTGAGAACATGACAAAGGTGAGACGGAAAATCTGCATCTCAACAGCTTTGCCACAAGCATCAGTTAAGGGGGGGCAATGAGCTGTCAGTTGTGAAGCGTTTAGTTGCTCTCATGGTGAACATCACATGCTTGGCAGTGTAAGGCAAACCAGGCAGGCCCTGCCACTGTCCCCAGCCAGTCCCTCGGTCTCAGGGTACTTCCTTCCTCATCTGTGAGTACAGACACGACAGGTAGGTAGATGAAATATGCCGTGCAAGTTCACTGTCAGCCTCGTGGCTGTTATGCTGATGCCCAGGCCGGGGGTGTAAGGTCTGCAAGACTCCCCTAGGCCAGACTACATTAGGTGCAACGACCAGCTGCTAGGCCCTGCCCACGGAATCTTTCTATCCCGGTTAGGAGGGGGGAGATACTCAAAACCGGACCAAGTGGGTGTATCGCCCACAGAACCGTGTGTGGACCAAGTGGGTGTATCGCTCACAGAACCGTGTGTGTACGGCAGGCGGTGCCAGGCAGCAGCCTCCCTTCTCCAGAGACACTGACACCACCACAGGACCAGACCTAGCCCTGCCACTGCAGCATGCTATGCACGTAACTGTGCTCTACGAACTCGGGCTGAAACTCAGAGTCTGCAGGAGGCGTGACAACATAGGGGCGAGCCCCATCTGGAAGGACTGTGTCTAGTAAGGCGGAGTCCATGAGCAGTTTCTTTCTATTAAGGAAACTTTGAGGCATGAGAGAAATATCTGTTGTTTGAGGGACCTGGTCTGGAGTCTTCAGTAATACCAACTGAAGCTAGCCGCTGATAGAATAGAAGTGAAGAGTGTGACTTCATTCATAAAACAGGGGACAGTCTAAGTTGGGACAAGGACTAACCCTTGTCACTGGTCAGAGCCTGGGCTATGAAATCTGGTGCTACATCTCCACTCTGCAGCCCACAGAACCCCGGTCATGAAGCCTCCAGCCCCACAACAGCTCTCCCTCCCCCTCAGCCTGGTGTCTCCCTTCACACCAGAAAGCTTCCTCACTGTGGGAACTGCTCATTGCGCCTCATGCCCATCAAGTGCGGTCTCCTCTGAGAGGCAGGCTTGCTGGCAACTGTCCCCGTCTGGTAGTTGTTCTTGGACTTGCTAACAAGTACCTGCAGCTATGCTCCTGCCTCACTCAAGGCTGAAGAGCCTTCTGAGTGGAGAGCAGGTCTTCTGAGGGAAAAGATGACCCAGCCACCAGAGATTAAATGGATGGCTGTATACAAGTTTCTTCAGAACTAAACCTGAATGTCCCTGACGAGCTTAGCATAAAGAACCAAAGCCGATACATGTGGAATCGTTACCCTGATCTGAAGATCAGGGAGCAGATGTTTCTGTTCAAATAACATCCTGGCAGAACTCCGGGTTTGAACAGACACACTCTGGGGCTGGAGAGGCGGCTCAGCAGTCCAGAGCAGGGAACCCGAGTTTGGTTCCCAGCACCTACATTGGGTGGCTCAGACCAACGCCAGCTCTGGGGTATCTGACATCTCGGGCCTCGTAAGCATCTGCACTTGTGTGCAGATTACCCCAAGACACATACACATAACTAAAAATAAAGCAAATCTTAAAAAAAGGGTTACCCCAAAATTAAGATACTCACTTTTACTCCTAGCCTTTAATCCTAGCACTCAAGAGACAGAGACAGGCAGGACCCCCTTGAGTTTGAGGCTAGTCTGGTTTACAGACTGAGTTCCAGGACTGCCCCTGTCTCAAACAAACAAAATATGGATACTCAGTGACTCCAGATGACAAGATATGGAGGGGAGCACACAAGAGCCAGGTGAGCTAGGAAACATGGAAATGCATCAGCTGGATCAATGAAGGTGGGCCATCAAGAGGGAACAGAAGTGCAGAGTCACAACTAGCCAGCTCAGCGGGTATCACAGGGTGAAGCTGGAGTCTTGTGTGGGTCATCCTGCACTTGGCTGATATCTTGTGCCCAAAAACCTACTAGAGCACTAAGACAACTCGTAAACAGTCTCATTGAAGCCCTTGTATTGTGAACCTCTCCTTGCTAAGTACAGCCTTTTGTATTTCGATGTAAATCTCAGGACTGGCTTTCCGCATCTTGAGGGACTGCACTCCATCTGCAGACCGCAGCAGAGCAGGATGCTTCAGGAGTCCTCATCTGCTGCTCGGGCTCCAGCATCAGAACCCACTGTAAACCCACATTGCACAGCATCCTTAGGATGAAGCTTAGGCCCTTGAAGGTCTCCTTAAATGGCTACACACATTCTCACCTTTGAACTGGTGAAAGTTGACAAGCAACCGGCTAATTCTTGACCTTTCCCCCCCATTTTCCCTTTTTAAAATAAGCATATTTATACACAGACATAACTGACGAATCTCACATGCTTATCAAAGGAATTGCAGCGTTGAGGGGAGTACCTATGGATGCGAAGAAGATGATGGCCAGGAAGTCCCGGATAGGCTCGATGTAAGCCATGATCTCCTCTGTGACCACGTGCCCTTGTGAAGAGACCAGTGCTCCAGCCAGGAAGCAGCCAAGCTCCATAGAGACGTCCAGCAGCTCTGTGACCTGAGGATGAGGACTCAGCTTCACCCAGGAATGCACCACCCCACAGATGCAGGTTCCTATATGCGGCCCCAGGAGGGCCCATGAATGGCCAGAGAGACCATACTCAACAGACTAACACTGGTTGAGTTAACCATACTTGGAGAGAAAAATAAATAAATAATTTTGGACACATGGGGGAGGGCCTAGGGCCTGCCCCAGATGAAGTGACAGACTCTGAAGATCCCCCATGGAGAGCCTCACACTCCCTGGGGAATGGTGTGGGGATTGGGTGGGGGGCTGGGGGGGGGCTGGTAAAGGGGCAAGGGAAGAGGGGTGGGAGAGGGAGCTGGGATGACATGGGAAGCAAGCATGTTTCTAATTTAAATAAAAAATATATTGAGAAAAAACTTTTTTTTTGGTTCTTCAAGACAGGGTTTCTCTGTGTAATAGTTTTAGCTGTCCTGGAACTTGCTCTGTAAATCAGGCTGACCTGGAATTCAGAAATCAACCTGCTTCTGCCTCCCAAGTACTGGGACTAAAGGCGTGTGCCGCCACCACCTGTCCACTGAGCTACTTTAAAATGAGGATATTTTCCAACCTTTATTTTAGTTCTTAATTTTTAAAAAATATTGAATGCATTGGTGCTTTGCCTGCATGTATGTCTGTGTGAGGGTGTTGGATCCCCTAGAACTGTTACAGACAGCTGTGAGTAGCTATGTGGGTGCTGGGAATTGAGTCCTGGTCCTTTGGAAGAGCAGCCAGTGCCTGCTGAGCCATCTCTCCAGCCCCTCCAACCTTTACCTTGAATAACTGTAATACATGTTCTTATCTGCATGAGGAGAGAGCCAGACTTCAGCACTTAAGACTGTTACTGACCTCAGTCCTCACAGAGAGGACAGACAACCACCGGCAGGAAACTATACTGACTGACAGGATACAGAGAAAGCCCCACCGTCACAGAGAGGATGAGAAACATACGCTAGCGAACCAGGTGAGACGGAACAGGCGGTCATCGTGGACCAGTTCTCTGACTCTCGCCCTGTTATGCACAGAGCTCAAGACTGGTTTTTGGAAGGTCACCCACAGAGCAGCTGCAAAGGTATTGTGAGACCACAGAAAACAGCAACAGTACAATATAAGACATTTAAAAAGAAGTACCTCTTACAATGGCATCAAAAACACCATCAAATATCAAGGCACATACGTCACAAAATGCAGGACCTTCATACCCAACACAAGATGCCACTAAGGTGCAGACACTCTGCATCAGGAAGGTGTCAATACCCCCTCAACTGATCGACACACTTAGGGATGCCCGTGAGACTTATGCAGGCAGGAAAAATGAAACTGAAGTTGAAGAAATCACAAGTAAAACTATGACGATGAACCAAATTTGGACCAGGCTGCTACTGGATGTCAGGCTGCAACAGTGTGAAAGCAGGCACAGATTAGGAGGCAAAGTAGCCGCAAATCAAAATAACACCCCACCCATGAGTAGGCACCTCCCCACACACATTAGCACAGACACATGTACACATCCACCCACTAGATACACACACACACATACATACACTATCCACTTGTATGTACAAAAGCACACATGTGTGCATATACCTCATACAACACGTACAAGACTGAATTCAAACACATGTACATAGAAATGCACAACACAGCTACTTGGATTGTGACAAGGCTGCCCTACAAAGCAATGGGCAAAGGCTCTTTTATACATGTGAGAAACCTCACACCAAGGATGGAACTCACCCCCAGGTGGACTGTACATCTAAGTGAGAAAAGACGACAGCAAGGATACTTCAGAAGATACCACAGAGCATCTTCGTGGACCAGGAGTAGCGAGCATCTACACAGACTACGGCAGGCACTAACCATAGAGAAAACACTTGCTTATTGGTTTATATTGAAATTAAGAAACTCGGTTTGTTAAAAATTGCCATTAAGAGCAACCTAGGGCCAGAAAGACATTAGCAAGAATGGATATGGCACAGAACACTATGAAACCATATGGACACAAGTGCTGGCACATTCTGGTACATGTGGACCTGAAGGCATCAGCTGGAAAAAGCCAGATGGTAATTGCCATGTAGTGTCTGATCAAATTTAGAAAAAAATGCCATGCAGCGGCAGCAAGTCCATAGGGAGGGACAACAGACCAGCGCTTATGGGGATGGGGTGGAGAGGGGAGAGTAATGGGATGTTCTGCCACTTGTCAGGTGATAATGGCACAGCAGTGCTAGCACACCGGGAGTCACCAAATCACACAGTATGATGTTTAAACGTGAAGGTCATATTAAATAATTTCATAGCTGCTGATTTAATGAGACAAAAACTGCCAAAATATCTTTTAAATCTTACACATGAAAAAGAAAATTACCAATCCCATAGAGAAATAACCAGACCACACTAAGTTGCAGCCCAGAGAGGATCCCAGGTGCCTTGTATCACATAAAAGGACAGCTGCCTCCAGCAACCCCAAGGAAATGGGGATCAGAACCCACTGCATATGTGTACGCAAACACACAAAAGAGAAGAGCTAAGATTAAAGACAGACAACCAGTGTAGGGAGAGTATGGACGAACCTGGGTCCCATGCATTTCAATGTCACAGATCAGGCTTCGGGCAAACCGGAGCAGCGGTGAAGGTAACCAGATGTGCATCCCAAGCCCAGCAATTCCACCTCCTTAGAAATTAAATCCCGGAGCAAAACCATAGGGGACCACTAACAGCAGCTCTCTCACACCCCGCCTAATGGGAGCAGCAGTGGCGGCGAGAGCACCGCACAAACATCTGAAATGCGAAAAGGCCAGCACTTCCTGTCACACCTAGAACCTGACAGCAGGTGCCCAACGAATACTGTTGAGTGAACAGAGGGGAAACCCAGTGCCCATGAAGAGTCATTCTGGCTGCTATATCACTGGGGAAGGCAACAATGAGCCCGCAGACAAGACAACCTTGCTGGCCACTACTTTCAAAAACAAAATACTCTGGGAAGGATAAAGCAGGGGAAATTCTTATATAAGGAGCATTCTTGAAATAATTACAGTCATCATGAGCGGAAGCAAAAGCTGGGCTTCTCCAAAGTTATAAAATAACACCACATGTAAAGAAAGAGGCTGCCAATTTACTTTTTAAAGCTCTGAAACCTTTCCTCTCAAGACAGATACAGTTTGAAGAGTGACACTTAGGTTCCCCAGGGCAGTGTGCTGTCTAATTTGGTGGCTTGGCCAGGCTACCTGCCAGCCTTTCCCAACCCCTGGCGCTCACTTCCTTCCTCAACTTCTGAAATTGCTACTTAATAAGTACTATACACTCAGTCACACACAGCCGTTGAAGAACGCTTTTCACTCTGCACAGCTGCCTGGGCTTTGGTATGAACCAGCAGTTTTACTGTAGGGCCGCATTACCTGCTATGGATATAACATAATTTTTACTTATTTGTTTATTGTATTATGTTGATGTGTGTACATGTGCACTTATGGAGGCCAGAGGTCAACATCAGGTGCCTTATTCAATCTCACTCCCTCTCCTTCTTGTGTTTTATACATTTACTTTCGGAGACAGGGTGTGTCACTGAAATTCAAGCTTACCTATCCAGCTAGACTGCATGACAAGCAAGCCCCAGGGAGGCTTTATGTGTCTGCCCCACTGCACCTTCACTCGTGAGTTACAGGACTTGTCGCTGCCTGGCTTTTTAAGTGGGTACAAGCTCAGGGCCCTGAGCTTTCAAGGCAAACACTTTAACAGCAGAACTGTCTCCCCAGCCCGGTAGAGCACAGTTTCTTACCATTCACCCTGAGGGACAATTGCACTGGATTTGGCTATCATAATCCAGAGTGCTACAGACATCCACAAGTTTCTGAGAGAATACACATCTCATTTTCCTGGGATCAATGCTGAGTGGCACAGCTGAACAGAGTGTGTAACAATGCTGTCGTTACTATTTACTATTTAGACTATTTAGGCATATCTCTGAACAGAGTGTGTAACAATGCCACTGTTACTATTTACTATTTAGACTATTTAGGGATGTCTCCCGGCTTCCCGCCCCCCCCCAAAAAGTCTACTTTCTAAAACAAATCTAGCTTATTTTATTTTTATTTTTTAAGATTATATCATTTCCCCTCCCTTTCCTTCCCCTAAGCCCTCTTATGCCCCTCCCTTTGCTCTCTTTCAAATGCATGCATGGATCTGTTTTAAAGGTCTTCGTTATGGCAAGAGCCATAACGTTGCTCATCCTCACCAGAAAGAAAAAAAAAAGTGGTTTGAAACTTGATCTGCTATTTTGACTACAAAGCTGTGTGAAGTTTAAGACAGTAATGTACTTATGTGCCTTTTCAAGAACACGCGTCTGTTTTTGAAAATACAAACCCTGTCTTGAAAAACAAACAAAAGCATGCAGCACTCACAACTCCTATTTTCACAGAGTGCTTGGCAATGATGGAGTAGGCTCAGCCATGGTGGGATAAACTGTATGAAATAGAGACTCCCAACTTTAATGTTTCAGCCGCTTCTCAGGTGAGAAGGCGGAGTTAACGAAGGCTTTGGTGAGACATACTGCACACGGGGCCACACAAACCACAGGTATTTGAGGATTACCGTCAACATCAGGAAGATGAAAGCGGATACTCCCAGGATGAGGATTTCTTTGCTGCCTTTGCTCTCCACACGCAGCTTTCGGTGATACGGTCCTATGAGATAAGTCTTTATGATCAGACACAGAAGAAAAACAGCAGCTAGCGAGAAGAGAATTTGTCCAATCAGAAACAGGATCCTCAGTACTTCCATGACAATGCTAGGATAGAAAAGAGAAACGGCATTTCACCTCCAAGAACATCTATCTCTTTAATAATCTTAAAATACTTTTCTTTAGCAAAATAAATGACTGAATCATACAATCGCTAAAATAAAATCTACATATTACATTAATTTAGAAAATGAAGTCATGTGACTCAAAGGTGGGTCGTTTGGGGATCTCTGCTTTGGAGTAAAAAGGTTTTGAGGATAAAGACAATTTCCACTAGGACTGGAGAAGACCAGTGGGTGAGAGCATTTGCTCCACAAACATCAAGACCTGAACTCCAATTACTAACACCCATTAAAAAAAAGTCACATGTGGTGGCATGCACCTTTAATGCCAGCCAGCATTCGAGAGGCAGAGGCAGGCAGATCTCTGGGAGTTTGAAGCCAGCCTGTTCTACATAGCAAGTTCCAGAACACATAAAGCTACACAGCAAGACCCTGTCTCAAACAACGTCAACCAAAAAGAGCTGGGTGTGGCCATGCGCATGCCCATGACCCCTGTGCTATGGGGGTCAGGGCTGGGGCTTGCTGGTGCCAGCTTAGCTCCAGGTTCAGTGAGAGACCTTGCCTGTCATAAAGCAGGACACCTGACATCTTCCTCCACATGCACACCTCCTCCCCATGTGCAAGTACACTGCGCACACGTGTGTGCACACATATGCACACGCACACACCATACACACATATCCATGTACACCACACACACACATATACCATACACACATGCATATCATACATTCACATGCACACATAGACACATATGTACATACACACATGCATACACACCATACACATACACTCATGTACACCCCCCACACTATACATAGAGGTACATACCACACACATGCATATGCAAATACATGAACATATACACACAGCCTCAATTGACAGCTTTTTGTCTCTGTGGATGTTATATGATAAAACTGTAGTTAGAGGATTTTAATTGTCTACTGAAAATAAGCACAGTTTACAAGAATAGTAAGTTACAGCATGTCTGCTCAAGGCAAGATCAAGCCCCACCACCACCTCCTCCTCGTCCTCTGCGGGGCTTCCTCTATTTTCCATCTGTGTTTATATCCTGGCTGGTGTTCCTGGATGCCAGATGGACACATTGTAACATAACCAAAGGCTTTTTGGTCAAGTTAATCTCCCCGGCTGACTCTTCCTTCCATATGGACTAAGCAAGGGCAGGTAGATTTGAGCCATTTGGAGGAAACAATGGAAAAAGGATGAGAGGACATTGTAGTGACAATGATGGCAGGCAATGTCATCCAATATAACACCTTATGTGTCATTACAGGGCCCAACACACGAGTGCAAAGACAGACATGTGTCACTGCTTCCCAGAGGCTACCCTTGGCATGTGCACATACTGACATACTTAAGTCCAAGAACAGATGAGCTACCCTCCCCGTAGTCACAGAAGACAGCAGTGAGCTACCGCACCCTAATAGTCACAGCGGACAGCAGGGAAGCTGTGTAATATTCCAGTCCAGGAGCTGGTATACAGCAAAGCCAGAATCGGCTTGTTGGTATCACCACAGCCTATGCTCAAAGATGTATGTGACATGAGTTAGGGCCACGTTGGGGAAGGTTTGGGGTATCGATACCTTTTTATTTTATTTATTTGTTTGTTCATTTATTTTTGGCTCTTCAAGACAGGGTTTCTCTATGTTGCCCTGGCTGTCCAGGAACTCCCTCAGTAGACTAGGCTGGCCTCAAACTCAGAGATCAGAGCTCCGCCTGCCTCTGCCTCACAGAATGCTGGAATTAAAGGCATGGACCTGTATCACCGTCCGGCCTTGGGTAGTTTTTATAAACAATGACTCTGAGTTAGGCAAGCAGACAGTGTACACACACTCACCTGGAAGATGTGCTTGCTCCTGCCTGGATGAGCGTTGGCATGACGGCAATGAACAGCCCCAGCTGCACATCCTGCATCACCAGCATGCCAAGCAGCACTGTGCTGTAGTCGATGTCACCTGCTGGTGAGACAGCTGCTCAGAACAAAGGCTCAACAACTCCAAGGACCCAGTCAAAGCCCCGGCCCCGGCAACTGTGACTGCTCAATGGGCAAAGGCAAGCCACACCCGCCTGTCAACCCGAATCCAACCTCCAGACCCCATGGCAAGGCGGACGGGCAGCCGACTCCACAGAGTTGTTGTCTGAGCTCCACAAGCATGCCATGCCATGGCACACGCTCACTCACATACACACACATGCTCATACACATGCATGTACTCACACACACATGTATGTGTTCATACACACATGCATGTGTTCATACACACACACAACAGTAAAATTAAAAGCAAAAAAACCCATTTGATGTATTTTCAAGATATTTCAAATACTCTTCATAATTTAATTAAAAAAGACTTTAAAATCTCCTTGGAGCAGTAGGTGGGGCACACTTGCGGTCCCAACTACTGCAAGGCCGAGGCAGAAGGACCTGGCACAAGTTTGGGGCCATCCTGAGCACTTTAACAAGGCCCAGCTCAAGATACACTTTAAAAGGTTTACACCCTTTAAAAAAGTGTTTGCTCTCAAAGAAAAATTTATATTAGTTTTGCTTCAGATGGGGGCAGGTAGGTTTCACCACATTGCCCAGCCTGGCTCTTAGCCTCAAGCAATCCTCCTGCCTCAGTCTCCCAGGTAGCTGGAACTACAAGTGCACACCATTGCCCGAATAATGTTTTATAAAGAAAATCACCAAAATACTTTATTTCTATGGCTTGCTATTAATATAATTATAGCAAAACGTCATCACCAAAAGACACTGTGGCAGACAAGGTGACATGCTTGGATTATGGAAATCTGAGCTCTGTCTTTACCTCCAGCCCCTAACAAGCCAGACTCGGCCCTTCTGGTGACAGGCTACCACATTCTACATGCCACTAGAGCAAGCCCCCATCCCTCTCCCCCTCCCCCCCACTCCCCCTCGGCATGTTCTTCCACAGGAAGGGGCTCCTCCTAAACACAGCAGTAAAGCAGAACTACAGATTGCATTTCCACCTTAGCGGTTACCTTTTGTTCTCACAACAATTGCAAAACCCTGCGGGCGGGGAAAAGCAGAGTGCCACAGGTTGCACAGTGGCATCTGCGCCAGCGTCCAAGTTGCTGCTGCTGTCACAGGCCCTCCCCTTTCTGAAGAGCCATGGCACACCACACCGGGTTTATCACTGTCTCTGTAGGCTGCCAGTGTAAGCCTTCATGCTTTCAAACTTTACACTGTAGCAACACAGACACTTTCTGCATCACTGTTTCTCCTCTAACCCTGAGATTCGCTCAGATTGGATTCATAGTATTCCTGTGAATGTGCCACCCATGGCATGGTCTGTTCTATTACTGAATACTTATGTTATCAGACATTTTTTGGTTACTGAAAGTAATGGTGTCTTTAATATTCCTTTATAAGACCTTTTGGGGGCATACAATTATAGAGAAAATTTTCTGTTTTGAAATCATTCTCCAGAGAGGCTGGGTCCACTTACAGTTCCACTGAGAGTTCGGTGGCTCCCAGATTCCACATTCTCAAAAGTAGAAACAGCATCATGGTGGTATTAGCTTGTGTCTCTAGGATACTCACAAGACATGGAATCTTTGCAATTATTCATGCGGGTATCTTTTCCCACAGGTGTGTTCTGCTGATTTTCTCCTTGGTAGTTATTTACATGGACTTGCAGAAGTTGTTGCCGTGAGCCCGGTGGTGGTTTACATCGTCAACTTGACAGGGTCTAGAGCCACTAAGAGAACAAGCTGCTATGCACACCTGTCAGGAAACTATTTAGATGAGGCTAGCCTCTTGGCACACCTGGGAAGGAGTATCTTGTTAAGGTGGAGGCAGGACGGAACACCAAATGTGAGCAGAACCGTTTCTCTGGTTGGGTCCTGCACTGAAAACAGGGCAAAGGGACTGAGCAGAGCCCTCCATTGCGCCCTCTCCCTTACTGCGGGCACAACAGCTACCGTGACCAAAACCCTGAGTGAAAACAGACCCTTCCTTGCCTCAGTTGCTTTTGTCAGGGTTACTGTCACCATAGCAATAAGGAGGGTAACTAAAACAACCTGTACTTTATGGAGTGAGCCAAAGTCTTTCTCTGGCCTATGCTCATTTATTTATTTATTTACTTGCTTGCTTATGTATGTATGTATGTATGTATTTATTTATTTATTGAGGCAGGGTTTCTCTATGTAACAGCCCTAGCTATCCTGGAACTCACTCTGTAGATCAGGCTGGTCTCTAATACGCAGAGATCCTCCTGCCTCTGCCTCCCAAGTGCTGGATTAAAGGCGTGCGCCACTATGCCCAGTCTCTGTTTTAAAGTCTTAATGGAAAACTAAGTTTACTGTGCTCATGGCTATCCGTGTTTTCTTTGGGGGTTGGTGTTTTTTACCTTAGGGACTGTACACTAAGGTCATGGGCTAACCCTCTCTTTCCTTCAGCAGTTCTCAAGCTCTGCCCTCATGTGCTGCTGATCACCATGCAGAACTTACTTTTTCCAGAGATGGCAGAAGGCTCTGGTTTTATTCTCTCCAGCAGAGCAGCTGTTCTCACCAGTGACTCCATAGTTCCTCCCAGAACTTGCAGCACCTGGGCTGCCTGTTCAGTCCTACACGTGCTGTGGCAAGGCTCTATTATCTTGTCACAGCCACGGAAAGTCCTGTTATCTGGAGGGTTCTTCACTCCGCATTTGTTTAAATTTATTTATCATGTTTACTTTATGCGTGTGAGTGGTTTGCCTGCATGTATGTACTTGTGTCATGTGCACACAGTGCCCTAGGAAGCCAAAAGAGGTCACTGGATCCCTGGAAAGAGAAGGTTGTGAGCAGCTATGTGTGCTGGAAACCAAACCTGGTCTCCTAGAACAGTACATGCTCTTATCCACTGAGCCATCTCCCCAGCCTCTCCTCACTCAAATCCTCAAGGGCCATTCCTGGCCTCTTGGCTTCTAACGAATCTGAAGTTCCTTTTGCCAAATCCCACGAGAACACTGGCAGATTTCTATATTAAAATAGCAGTGAGCTTATAAATTCAAGGAGAAACAATATATTACAGATTAAGTCTTTTTTTTCCACGAACTCAAATTCCCTGATTAAATCTTCAATAATATTGCAGTATGTTTTTTTTCTTCTCACTCAATGGTAACACACACTTTTTTAAGAGACTTACCCCCAAATTTCTTGTATATTTTATTACTTCTTTACATTAAAACTTAAAAAAGAAGAGTCTGCATCCCTCTGTGGATCAGCCCCCTGTCACACTCACCAAGAGCTTCAACCTTTTCTGCAGTTTTGGTGTGACCTTTGTGACCTTTAAAATGCAACAAAAACAGCCTCCTTTCCAAGCAGTCCCCAGGAGTCCAGCTCTGTAAATCCCACGCTCCTCACCGTTTCCCTGGCGTGTTCCCTACCCCTCTGGACCTTCTGCTATTGCTATCCTGTAGCGTGGGGCGTGAGGATGTTAGAAAACCCTCCACCAGCTCCTCCCTCAGCCACATTTCTGCATCTGTGACCTGTTTTCCAAGACTTCTGTGGGTTCTCCACCTCCTGACGTGACCTCATGGCACAGAGAAGGCACTTGCTGTTCCTTCAAGCTACTTGTCTCTTGCATTGACTGCTGAGATCAACTTGGACTGGAAATGCTGCTTCTGTATTTTGAGATGACCAGGGCAAACTTTTCATTATTCCCATTCGGTTTTAGAGATGTATTTTAAATCCAAGCTTCCTGCCTTTCTCCGGGCCTGGAAAACCACCAGCCGTTTTCTGCAGCTTCCCATCTCAAAGCAGGCATCTGAATGCTTCTAGTCTGTTCTAAGCTTTCTGTATGTGATCCAGTTACTCAGATGTGACGCCTTCATTTACATTTTCAGTCATCCGATCGTGCCCACTGTGGTCTGTGAACATTCCTGTGAAGGAGGACTCACAGACAGAGGCTGATGGCCGTCTCTTCTAGAAGCAGATTTATCATGTGTAGGCTGGCAGTCAGAGGCTACTTCACACTTCATCACTCGCCCCACCTTCTCACCTTTGTCCCCCATCCTATGCCCCAGGTGTCACCCACAGGGAGCGTGGACCTCTCTGCTGGGTTATCACAAACCGGGCCACTAAGGAATGACAGCAAGGTGAGCCACCCAAGGATGTGTTAGACCCATATCCCGTGGGTCCCAGGGTCTGGTAGAGTTGCGCAGTTTTCTCTTTCACCAGTGAGAAGCCCCTTACCCCTAGGTCATACTATGAGTGTTTGGGACAGTTCTATTGGGACTCCAGAGCTCCGCCCAGCTTAGAGTTCAGGATGCTGGGAGGTAGCTCCACCCACTGTCCCACACTGCTCGCTGTGACCAGCACAACACTTCCAATCTCATTAGAGGAGTTAGCCATGTCTTCTTGGTTTTTTTTTTATATTTCCTCTTCTGTTCCAGATGTGTTCCAGGAATCAACATGATGTGGCTATGACACTTTGGCCTTGTGTGTTGCCTTTACCCGTGACCGAGTAGATGTGAAATGTTAATTCTGTCAGAGACTCAAGCTTGATGATAAGGTCACTTGCGATTGCTTCATGCTGCTCTGGTCTCACCACACCAAGCAGTGACTCCGAGATGACAACCATTTACACACACAGAGCAAGCCACGCCAAGGACAAGAGCTGGTGGTTTCGTCATTGCCAAAGCGCTCTGGTTTTACAGAAAAATTCACCAATTGTGTCAGCTCCCAGTACTGCCATAACTAAATGAGCCAAGAGTAACACTGGCCTCTTGGACAAGCTACCACCTCCACAGCCTCCATGCGCTGTGCTGTACAGCCTTCTCGTCCTGACTTCTTTCCGGCTCTTTAGGGATGCTAAGTACACGAGCACATGATGGGTGCTCCTTTTAACCTAGCAGAGAAGTGGCGGCCTGGAGGCACTGAACGCAACAGTTGAGCGTGTACCTGGACAGCCCTGTGAAGGAGGACTCAGAGTTTCCCCTTACAGGCCTCCCGTCATGAGTCGGCGGGTGAGCCGCACATGGATATTAACTACACACATACTTAGAGCATGCTGCTTACCTACCTTCTTTATCATTCCGGGCACTGCCCATGAGGAACCTGGACACCAGGGGTGTACTGGATAAGGACAAACAGGTGGAAATGAAGACACTCTGAGTGGGTCTGATCCGCAGGAGGTGTCCCCACCACAAGCCAAAGGCAATCATCAGTAGTGTCATATAGCAAGGTCCTTGTAAAGATATCCTCCACACCTTGAAAAGAACACACAGATTCATACTCCAGGGACAGCAGGTCATCTCTGAACTAGAGCCACGGAGTAGAGAACGGATATTTCAGGAAGGAACTCAGAGACCACACACCCAAGCATAATAAACACACATCCCAGGCTGTAACACACTCAGACACAGACACCAGATACCATCATCTCACAGTATCCCTGGAGACTGGCTATAAGCCCCTTACCCCCACCAGATACTGAAATCCTCCGATGCTCAAATCTTTTATTTTTAAATCGTATTTGTTTATTTTTATGTGTGTGGGTATTCTGTCTGCATGCCTGTCGGTGCACCATGTTCATGCCTGATTCCAATGGAACATGTCAGGTCTCTTGAAAATGAAGTTACAGAAGTCGGTGAGCTGCCATGTGGATGCTGGGAATTGAACCTGGTCCTCTGAGAGAGCAGCCAGTGCTCCTAACCACTGAGCCATCTCTCCAGCCCAAATCTTCCTATTAATAATATGTAACATTTACACCTTCCTGCAGACTTTAAATCATCTCTAGATGACTTATAAGACTCAACACAATGTAAGTGATATGCAAATGCTCATACAGTATTAATTAGGGAATTAATGACAAAAATAAATCTGTTGAATACTCAGTACAGAAATAATCTGTTTCTAAATATACTCATTTTGCAGTTGGTTGAATCCATGGGTGCAGAACCCACAGTATGGAAGACTGACTATGGGTCATCTATACTCATGACTTCTCTGTCCTCTCCAGAGCCCCACAGAGGCTGGTCCTTGGTGCTCAGGGCCCTGTACCTGATGGTCACGATGGTCAGACAGACTCATGGGTAGGGATGGACAGCCCCACAGAGGCTGGTGCCTGGTGCTCAGGGCCCTTTCTTTCTCTCCAGCTCTGTGCCTGACGGTCATGATGGTCAGAGAGACTCATGGGTAGGGATGAACAGCCCCACAGAGGCTGGCGCCTGGTTCTCAGGGCCCTTTCTCTCCAGCCCTGTACCTGACGGCCACAGTGGTATTCTGGGCTAACTCGCTCCTTTACGTTCCTGCCGCACACAGTGGGAGTGCCCTGGGCTGCATCTCGCACAGCCCCTTAGGAAGCCAACTCAGCAGTTCAGGCTCCTGAATGTGGGGTAGTTACTCCTGCGAGCAAGGTTGGCACTTCCTTCTAAACAGTCTCACCAACCCACAGAGGGTCTGCAGTCTAAGATTGCTTCCGTCAATCACTGCCATGAGCTCAGGTAACAGAGTCTACAGCCTGAGTTTCCACATCTGGACAGAGAACAGTGAGACTGAATGATCTCTGAGACAGACGGACTCTGGGGTCCTGGTGACGGCAGACTCACCCTAGCACTTCTCCAGCATGTGGAGGGCCGGGGTGGGGGACACTACACTACACAGCTCATGGAAAGACTCGGGTACAAGTGACTTCAGTTGGAAGTTCCCAGTCAGCCTGGGACACAGGGTGCTTCTGAATGCAGCCTATAGGTCATCCTGGGTCAGACCGTACGGACTTTATCCCCAGGTGATTCCTGCAAAGAAGAATTAGGAAGCTCATACTGGCAAACTTCCCACAATAGCTCTAATCCCCAGACAGCTGGGTACCAGCCCTACAGGCTATCTTAGGTTTCTGTTTCTTCTTTCCCAAGGCATGCTCTTCTGAAACCCTAAAGTCAAACAACAGGATAGGGCATGATGCACTCTACCCACAGCTGCTAAGGGGCTGAACACAACGGGCATACAGCAAGAATCTACTAGAAGAGCAGAAGAAAGACAAGAGAAGAAAATTACTCTAGCTCCCCATGACTCATCTTTATTCGAAGAGAGGTAGAAACTGATGAACTTAAGATAAAAAAAACAACAAATGGTCAAATGACAAGTACGGTAGTGCATGCCTCTAATCCCAGCACCAGGGAGGGTGAAGTAGGAGGATCTCTGAGTTCGAGGCCAGTCTTAACTATACAGTATCTCAGAACGAAGAGAACAAGTTAAGTTGATTTAAAAGCAGGATGTCAAGGAAGGTCCTGGCAGGTCCAAGAAACCAGACTAAGCAGTCAGCAGGGATGGGCACTCAGGGTAGGGAGACTGTGTTCTCTGCCATGCTGGGAAGCTCTTCCAGATTCTAGTCGGCCCTTCTGAGGGTTCAGAGTCCTGAGAGGATGCCCAGCAATTACTACCATTTTGGAAAACACTATCAGATGTTTTTACCAAACATAAACTGCCTCTATGAAGGAGACCTACTAGTGTGAAGTGCTCTCTCTCCTTACTTTAGGCTGTCCTAAACCCCTGTCCTTTTTAGCTTCATGAGAAGGTAGGGGAGACGAAAAAGTACTGACTTCCGTGGTTTGCTAAATCGATACTTATCTCCTGCATTCCAAACCAGGAACTGCAACTGTAACAAGCTGTATCTCTGCAATGAAGCTGCAGAGTCCAGGCGCATGTCTAGGTCTGGGGCTCCCAACTGGAACTCAAGAAAACGTGGGTCTCTGTCCAACATTCTTCTCCTTCATCAGTTGTACCCCCTGCTCAAGCACCCACAATACACTCACTTGACAGAGCAAGAGCCCCCAGGCATTGCTAATCAGAACTAGAACTGCTTACAATTAATTATGATATTAGCCATATGTCACAGAATGTCATTTCATCATCAACCCTTGAACACTACAGAAAACAATTTAACTATGAAAACCATGAGAAACATTAATAAAATTCTGCTATACAGATGATGTCCCACACTGAAGTCCAAGAAGGATCAGAGCCCTGCAGAAGGTCTTGTTGCTCATTATAGAGAAATAGAATTTTATCTGCCTTGGTTTTCATGAATCACTGTTTGCAATGGATGTCTCTAATTATAAAATCCCAAACCAGCCACTGTACTTAGAAACAGAGGTCACATGTTTCCATGACACATGCCCAAAATGGCACCTGTGGTGGCTGGTCCTGGCTTACTCTAACAAAGCAGGGCACCCCAGAAATCCTGTCTACGCAAGCTTATTCCATCCCTACCCCATACTCTTCAAGAGAATGCATAGGAAAAATGAGGCTGTTTCTTATTTAGAATCTAAAAATGGTTGATTTTCTTTGAATTTTGAGTCTAGAAATTAACATCTGTGGCTTATGATGCAAGAAACACATGATGAGACCAAAGACCCTGGAAGATGGCACTAACACAGTTCAGAACTCCTCAAGACAGAAGAGTGATGAGCAAAGGGGTCAAGACCAAGCTGGAGAAACCCACAGAAACAGCTGACCTGAACAAGGGGGAGCTCATGGAGCCCAGACTTATAGCTGGGAAACCAGGATAGGACTGTTCCAGACCCCCTGAACTAGGATGTCAGTTTGGAGGTCTGGTTAATCTATGGAGCCTCTGGTATTTATCCCTAGTACATGAATGGACTTTGGGAGCCCAATCCACATAGAGGGATACTCTCTCAGCCTAGACACATGGGGGAGGGTCTAGGCCATGCTCTAAATGATGTGACAGACTTTGAAGATCCCCCATGGAAGGCCTCACCCTCCCTGGGGAGCAGAAAGGAGATGGGATAGGGGGCCAGTGGGGGGTAGGAGAGGAGGGGAGGGAGAGGGAACTGAGATTGACATGTAAAAGAAGTTTGTTTCTAATTTAAATTAAAAATAAATTAAAGAGAAGAACTCCTCAAGCAGAAGCACATCTTGAGGTGTCAGTCTCAAACAGTGAGATCAGAGATCAACAGAGCTTACAGTAAAGTTAAAAAAAAAAAGCAGGCAGCTAGGAGTGGTGGCACACATTTACAATGCCAGTGCATGGGAAGCAGAGGCAGGAGGATTGCCACAATGTCAAGGCTACCCTGGGCTATATAGTGAACATCAGGTTCTATAGGGGAATCTCAGCCACCACCAACAAAAATCCAAAATACTGGCTAGCTAGCTACCAGAAGGTGCTAGGCAAGCGACTGGGGGAGAAAAGTAATCATTAATTACAAACAGCTGTGAATCATGCAAACCACGACGACTCGGTTGGCAGGGTATGCCCACGGGTATAACAGTGGTATGATGCAAACCACAACAACGACTCGGTTGGCAGGGTATGCCCACGGGTATAACAGTGGTATGGACATTACGGGAGTGACCAACCACCTCCTCATTGGACTCAAGCCCCATTCCATGAGATGAAACCCAACCGGGCACCATTACTGAGCCACCAGCCTGTGGCTAGACAGGACGAGGCTCTAGTGGAGAGCCTATTACTGTTGCTGTGTTAAATGGACACAGCATTAAACTGACTCCTAATGACTTATCGTAACAGATCACCTGAGCAGCTTCTGTGACCATGGCCATTCCCTACTGTCTCCTCGTGTGTGCTTCCCTCTTTACAATGCTATTATCATATAATTAATATGCTTTTTTTTCCATATTGGCTCTCACTATATGCAGCTCAGGCTGGAACCTTCCCATTTCCCAGCTTTCAATAGCATTCACTTTATCCTCCGACACCTTCAATCTTTAAGAAGTTACTTCCCTCATTTTTGAGGTAAAAGAAAAATCTCTAACTCATTTTCTATCTTAGGAACTTTCTTCTAGAGAAATACACTGAATATTCGATCTCTATCATATTTTACTCTCAGTTGCACATTTTCTTAGAGGGACCCATATAAAATCATAGGAATACTCATTCCACTTACTAAGTTTTGACTTTTTCTAATTCATTTTCTAAAAAAAAAACCTAGTATCAAACTAAATTAAAATTTACTTATTTTTAATAAAATGTATTATTTTTAATTGTTATTTTTAATAAACTAGTTTTAAAAACAAACTAATAAACAAGAATCACTTAATACTCTGTGAGTTAAAAAAAGTATGTATGTAAACCAAGTTTCTTGCAGGCAGTGGCAGAGAGCCTGGGTCCTTACCTTTCTCAGCTTCTCTGGAGAAAACTCCAGGCCAACAAGAAACAGGGTGAAGAAGACCCCAAATTCTCCCAGCGTCTCCACCTGCACAATGGACTGGAGAAGAAGGAAGCTTATTACTGAGTGTTTTATTACTTGGCATACGTTGAGACAGAACACGTGCTGATATACAGAGTCCCTTGTCCTCCACTCCTCCCCCCAAAAAACAGTATGTTCTTTAAAAATAAATAGATTCTGCGACTTTCCCTTGTATCTGAGATCTTTTTGACTTCCTGACTGCGCACGTCACACACACACACACACACACACACACACTCTCTCTCTCTCTCTCTCTCTCTCTCTCTCTCTCTCTCTCTCTCTCTCTCTCTCTTTCTTGATTTGCCAGAGGAATACTTTCATTACAGTTTCTATTGAGAAACAGCTGTGGGGGTTCACAGACTTTCAAATACATGGCCACATCTGTCTTCATCACCCCTCTCCTCATTCCCACCACACCCCCCTCCCTGCCCCGCCAAACCTATGGTTAGGGAAAAGGTGAACTTCCACATCTGGCCACAGCCCAGAGGTTTTGTTATGTCAAGCCTGATATGTAGCGCTTTTGATGCGTTCATCATTTGTCTTTAATACTGTCATATTAAATGGAAAGATGGTATGTCTCAGTTTCGATCTTTTAGAGTGCTCGTGTGGTTGGTACGGTGTCCCCACATCCCGTGCTGTCCTGAACCCAGCATGAACTGACAAAGTTGGCAGAGTCCTGTTCTGTCCATCTGCGATTTTCTCCTTTCTCATTCCTGTACTTTCACTGCACTGCAGCTCCATGCCACTGCTAAGTCTACTCCACCTTCACTGCACTGCAGCTCCATACCACTGCTAAGTCTACTCCACCTTCACTGCACTGCAGCTCCATGCCACTGCTAAGTCTACTCCACCTTCACTGCACTGCAGCTCCATGCCACTGCTAAGTCTACTCCACCTTCACTGCACTGCAGCTCCATGCCACTGCTAAGTCTACTCCACCTTCACTGCACTGCAGCTCCATGCCACTGCTAAGTCTACTCCACCTTCACTGCACTGCAGCTCCATGCCACTGCTAAGTCTACTCCACCTTCACTGCACTGCAGCTCCATGCCACTGCTAAGTCTACTCCACCTTCACTGCACTGCAGCTCCATGCCACTGCTAAGTCTACTCCACCTTCACTGCACTGCAGCTCCATACCACTGCTAAGTCTACTCCACCTTCACTGCACTGCAGCTCCATGCCACTGCTAAGTCTACTCCACCTTCACTGCACTGCAGCTCCATGCCACTGCTAAGTCTACTCCACCTTCACTGCACTGCAGCTCCATGCCACTGCTAAGTCTATTCCACCTTCACTGCACTGCAGCTCCATACCACTGCTAAGTCTACTTCACCTTCACTGCACTGCAGCTCCATGCCACTGCTAAGTCTACTCCACTTTCACTGCACTGCAGCTCCATGCCACTGCTAAGTCTACCTTACTGTTACATCTGTGTTGTTATTTCCCTGCTTTGCCTCTGTTTTCCTTTCATTTCTCTTCCCTTTTCTTGGCCAGACCATTGCTATGATGCCAAGACGATACACTCAAATCTCCATTTCTCAACTTGGTAATGAAAACCTATCAGGTTCCTACAGGGAAAGGTTGCTGTTTTGATTCTCCTGACCATGTCCCACTCTGAGCTATGATAATCTTCACTGCCACTCACATGCCCTTCTCCTTGTACAGCTGATGGAGTGCTCCCAGTACCCAGGGGTTGTGTGGCCCAGTTACTCTGACCTAACAGCGATCTCTGCTCCCGAGGGCCTGCTTTTACCCTCGACACTCAAGATGGGCCAGGAATGAGGCGGAGGCACTGTCTCCTTAATCTTATTATGGTGTTGCAAGTCATGGAAAGATCTGTGCAGAATATGAACCTGGAGCACAGTTCACTGCTGTGATGCCTTTGAGACGGTCCCAGGATGGAGGGCTGCCCCTGCATCAGGTCAACTTCTTCCTAGAAGGCCCAGGCTTGGGAGTCTGAGCAGGCTAGGCAGACAGCCCTTTTTCTGGCCAAAGATCCTTGGCTGTTACGGTCAGTCTCCTGTGGTTATCAGACTTCAGCCCAGGAAAGTCACTGAGCTCCATCCTAGTTCAAGAACTGTGGACCAGAGAACCCTATGGTCCCCTGCACACAGCTTCCTTCCATTCCCTTAGGGCCTCAGTGGCAAGAGAGGGTTCTGAGGGTGGTCCTGTGCTCTCCTGGATTGTTCCCTCACGATAAACTGACAGCGCCCATTCTGAGCACCCTCTTCCCACTGTCCGCCCAAGTATATATACTTAAGGGACACACTCGGAAATGCCCAGGAGCCCTTTCTCTCCTGCCAAAAGTGTGTTTATTTCCATATGACAGAGATCGTCACCCTGTCCCACAGATGAAGCCTTGAACTCTACTGTCTCTTGAGACTGGGACTTCAGTCGGCTCCCCAAACCACAGGAGCTGCATACAATTACACCGAGACCAACATTTCCAGCTGATTTATTGTCTGAATGTTGGTCCTGGTGATCCAGGCCATCATATCAGCAGAAATGCAATTTTTAATATTAATATAAAGAGACAGATAGCTGGGTGTTGGTGGCACACGACTTTAATCCCAGCACTCGGGAGACAGAGGCAGGCAGATCTCTGGGAGTTCCAGGCCAACCTGGTCTACAGATTGAGTTTCAGGACAACCTCTAAAGCAATACAGAGAGACCCTGTCTTGAAAAACCAATTAAAAAAAAAAAAGCCTGTCATCAAGCCACCATGCATCAAGAAATGCAATACTCCCATGGGCTAAAGAATGCATCAAGGGCATCTTTGCCTGGTATCTTCACGGGCTCAAGCTCAGATCGGTTTCGTCTTCGTTCATGTTTCTTTTGCATCTTGTTAGACGGTAAAACAGAATTATTCTCACCTTAATACTGTTCAGTCCTGAAGGCCCCAGAAGCACACCACAAATTATATACCCAAACATCGTAGGTAATCCTATTGTTGTACATAGCCAGCCACAAGGTAAGGAGAGCATTCCTATGGTCACGATGTCCTAACACAGAAAGAAAAATGGTAAACACAGAGGGGTTGACTGTGAGGGTGGAACGGGACAGAGGTCCTTGACTTCATCTCATGAGAATAAAAAGCCAGTGAAGAAAGTCAGAGGGAGAACTCTCACTTCCGCTTTGTCTCACATAGAAGTTGAGGACTGAAAACTGTGTCCTAAGAGATGAAGTTCAGTTCTGAAAAGAGTTTGTCTGTTTGTTCATCCTCTCTAAAAAACAAGCATTCTATGACCCCTGAATACGTGAATTCCATTAAGCGTTCTGGTCCCAGGGCCCTAAGAGCTCACAAGTTAATCCATGATACATTCACCATTGGATTTCTCACCACCCAATAACCGATATAGTAAGATCCAGCATGGTGCTGAAACCCCAAGGTGAGTGAGACTTGGAACAGGGTATTTATCCAGTTTCCGGCATTTCACAAAAAGTATTCATCCATCACAAAAGGAGGGGAAGAGAACTTTTCAGAGGGTTCCCGGCCCCCATGGAGGGTACTGATGGTGACAGTTACAGAATCAGCTTTGTAGACCTATTTAGTCCCATTTTAGTTATAACCATAGACAGCAGCACCCATCGTGAGCTTGGCTCTCAGTCAGAATTAGCACCTGGGGGGGAGCCCTTTGGCATCCTGTCTTCTCTGCCCATCAAGAGAGGCTGTTTAAAACTCAATGTGGTGCTGTCTGCCTATAATCCCAGCGCTCAGGAGGCTAAGGCAGGAGGATTGCTGAGAATTCAAGGCCAAACTGCACTAGACAGTGAGTTCCAGGCCAGCCCAGGCTTCATAGTAAGAGCCTATCTCAACACATTAAAGCAAGACAAGGGAGGCTTCCGAAAGAACAGGTGTGAGTGTTCCAGTGGAGCCTGACAGCGAGAAGGGTGGCATCCGGTCTAAGGCAGGAGACAGCTCCACCCCGCTGGCCAGCCCCAGGCTGGTGGCTACGGCTTGCCTTTATGAAGTGGCGGTCTGCGCGTGGGATAGTCGAGTCTCGGGGCTTTGTCAGAATATACTGGTTATTCTGGGAGTCGATGAGCATGCTGAGGCCCAGGCCGTCCTCCACTTCCCGCTTTGTGATGTTCTGCTTGGAACTGGCCTCCTCTTCCTCCACTCTCAAAACTGCCTCAAAGTTGACTCCTTTGACCTGGGAGCATAACCAATATTATACAATTAGAATTAAATGCTTTCACATCAACACTTAAAGACTAAAGACTGGAAGAGTAACCAGAATGTTTTAGTGTCCTGTGACAAAAAGATCAGGGATGCTAAGTCTGGAGCCAGGGTCTGTAATCCCAGCTCATGAAGGTAAGGCACAAGGATCCCAAGTTCAAGACCTACCTGGGCTCCAGAGTGAACTCAAGGGTAGAACAGGCAACTTGGAAAGATCACATCTCATGATAAATAAAAGTGAGAAGAAGGCTGGGTGTGTGTGTGTAGTTCAGGGGACAGCACTTGCCTAGCAAGGTGCACAGCCCTGGGTTCAATACCCAGGACTTCCAACAAACAAAACAAACAAACCCAATAGTACCCATTAGCCAGAATTAGGGAATTTTCAACTAAAGAATTTAGGGGTAAAACAGAGGACTTATGCTACTCCCGAACATCTACTTTGATGTATAGTATAGTCTTTCGATGTTTAGGGCTCCAGGGATAGTTAGGAGGACCCAGAATGAATCAAGCACCCTTCCCTCCCTACTTTCTCTTCTCTCCACACACGCCTGTGTTTACTCTGACTTGTTTTCACTCCGTAACCATTTGTACGTCCACCCAAGACCCACAATTCTTGGCATCAGTATGAATTTACCTTTACAGTCTCAATACAGGACAAATGAGAAGCCCGTCCTATTTCTGCTATAAGCCTGTCTTCTGCAGAATTTAACAGATGCCACAATAGGTAAACACTGAAACTCAACCACCCCGAGTCCTGAGTCTGGAGTCCCGACCCTGGCTGAGTGGCGGAGCTAGGACGTGAGACAAGCCATTCATCCAGGAGCGACTGTAACTGTTGCAAGGGAAAGCAGAGTAGCTAGCTCACTTCTGAGGACACGTCCATACTAGTTTCCATGTGGCACGGAAGCGCTTTACCTCATCCTCAGCTTCACTGAGACACATGTGAACATCTTAAGCATGCCAGGGCCCGTGCTCATCAGAACGGCTAAGCGGGGGAGGAGTCACTCTGCAGACATGCTTACTGATTTATTGTCGTCAAAGGCATGCTCCTCTATCTCCTCCTCCAGACGGTCCGCAGCTCTCCTCACGTCTTCAAGGATCTCGTCAAGCATGGATAGACTCTTGTTTTGATGCTGCATGTTTTTAAGGGCCTCCACTTGGTGTTTCTCTGCAGCAAGAAGTTCCACATATTCTGTCTCTTCCTAATGATTTGTAATAAATGAAGACTGGTAAGGATCACACCAGGATATGACTTCCTCACGTCCACCAAAAGCTCTCCATCTGGAGTAGACCTAGAAGTTTTCTAGGTCAATGGGCCATTTCTATAGGTGCAACTCTAACTCTAGCCAGCAGAGGGAGTCAAGCATCCTAAACCTCTTGCTGAACTTGGCAAAATGCAGGGCAAGCAACATGGAAACACAGCAGAGAGGAAAGTAACCTGCTGTAAGCGGGCTTGCTCAGCACCCATGAAGGTCCTCTGCTAACGCGAGACCATGCGCCGAGCACAGCAGCGATGCAAGGCATTGTGCTGCCATGCATGCAGCACAGATGCACACAGACGGTTAGCTACTTTCTGAGTGTACAGCTGGAGTGCAAGCCAATCCTACTCACTTTGGGTTGAGCACTAGGATTTACAGGATAGGGGTAGATGCCTCCTAGAAGCAATGACGGCACCGACAGGCTGCAAGAAAGGTTCTCCCTCAGCCGCCTTCCTAAGTTTGTGTGTCACCGCACCCTGAACTCCCCCCCCCCCAACAGATCCCTAGACCCGGCAGGTCTCCCCGCTCCCCGAGACTGGTGGCTCACCTTAATGGCAGCCTCCCTCAGAGCCTCCAGACGTTGCTTGCTGCTTTCTTTCATGTTGACCACATCTCTGTAATCCCCCTGCAGGGCTCTCTGCAATCCATAGATGGCCTGGAAGACGGAATTTTCACTTTCATTCAGTTCTTTCTGGAAAATTTCGAATGTGTGCACCTGGAAGAGCTTCTCTTCCCCCGACAGGCTAGCGTCCTTCTCCACCGCCCGGATGGCGTTCTTCAGTTTGTTCAGGACGACGTTCTTCTGCCGCAGGAGCCCGGTAAGCCTCCTGCAGCTGTCTAGGACCCACTGCCTCCTCTGGGTGGTGGCGGCGCCCTTCCCTCGGTGTAACTTGATGGCATGCTTGGCTACCTCCTCGTGCTCGGCGGCGCTGGCTATCAAGTGGAAGAAAGGAAGCAGCATCCAGAAGAGACTCTCATCCAGGACCTTCATGGTCCAAGGACGCGGGGCGGGGCGCAGAGTCTTCTACTACGTCCAGCTTGCATCTTACACACACATTCTCAGCTGAAAAGCAAATGACATTACATCAACTTCCGAACTCGCGTATTCAGATTACAATCCAGTACTGAAAATGACAGAATCACAGGTGGAGAGTAAAGGAGTTTCGTCTGGCTTTAGAGACGATTTTTAAAGTTTAAAGCACAGCCTCTCCAGACATAATGCCACATGCCTGTAATCCCAGGACTTGGGAGAGACTGGATTGAGTGTTCAAGGCCAGCCTATGCCACATAACTTCTTCTTTCAAAACAACCAGACAACTGAAACAGCAAGTAAATCACACATAGCTTCATAAACTGACCTTGTGTGAAAGACAAAATCTATTCTACTTAAGGGGAGCATGCCTTTGATCCCAGCACTAAGGAGGCAGAAGCAGGCAGATGTTTCAGAAATTTCAGGCTAGCCTGGTCTACAGAGTGAGTTCCAAGACAGCCAGGGCTACACAGAGATACCCTGTCTCAAAAAACAAACAAGCAAGTAAAAAAATAGAAAGGAAAAAACCCCAACTTTCCTATCACATGGGAAGCCACTGTCTTCTGAGTCTCTGAGTGCCATGCCCAGCCACTTGTTAGCTTTCCAGTTGCTTCCGAGTATTTGTCAGTTTTCCAAAGTCAGCCACAGCTAATGAAGTAAGACATGAGGATTAAAAATATCCACAAGAGGCCGGGTGGTGGTGGCGGCACACACCTCTAGTCCCACCCAGCACTTGGGTGGCAGAGGCAGGCAGATCTATGTGAGTTTGAGGCCAAAGCAAGTTCCAGGACAGGCTCCAAAGCTACACAGAGAAACCCTGTCTCGAAAAACCAAGAAAAGAAAATTCAGAAGGCTCTGACCAAGCCAGGAACACTAGAACTTGATCAAATGTTCAAACCTTTTCCAAGATTGAAACCCAGGCTCATTCTCTTTTCCTCTGAAGGGAGACCTAACACAAAATGTCAGTGTTTGGCAAAAAGAGCAGAGAACCTGGGTTTTGATGCCTTGTTTTGGGGTGTGAGGAAGGTCTTGGTGCCAGCTGCAGCTGAGATGACTAGAAGACACTGCCCAGGGCAGGTGACAGTAGTGTTTTAGAAGTGGTGGCTGCAGTGCTCAGTAACAGTCACTGAGAAAGAGTGACCTTGGAGGCTGAAAAACAGACCAAAGAACAAAATGATTAGAGAGGTCCAGTGAGTTAAAGTCTAGGAGTTACCCACGGAATCGGCTAACCGTGGACCCCTGGTCACGAGGAGCTACGCCCACAAAGACAGGAGTTACCCATGGAATCGGCTAACCGTGGACTCCTGGTCACGAGGAGCTACGCCCACAAAGACAGGAGTTACCCACAGAATTGGCTGAACTGGACTCCTGGTCACAAGGAGTTATGCCCACAGATAAAACCAAATGTAGCCCCTTTACACAATTTGTCACTCAAAGGAAACTGTAAAACACTGATATACACCACCTAATCTCCAAACAGAACCTCCAACTGACCGTCATGCCTATAAGACCTCTGTATCCACAAACACACCAGCATTTCATCTCCCTGGGAATCTGCCTCCTAAAACATATCCATTCACTGCTAACCCCAAGCATTTTCCAGACAAAGCAGGCTAGGTGGAACAAAAACAAAAGGTGGCATTTCTAGAGACTGAATCCTGACAAAACGAGGCAGAAAAGTCAACAGCGACAGGTTAACAAGAAAACAAACATGAGAACTTGGATCTCTGAGTTCAAGGTCAGCCTGGTCTACAGAGTGAGTTCCAGGACAGCCAGGGCTACACAGAGGAACCCTGTCTCAGAAAACAAGCAAATAAAAAACAAAACATGAGAGCTCAAAAACCCCAGAACCCAGTCATTTACTGAGGGCTTCCGCATGCAGGTGCTTCACCATGTCAATTCTGAAAGTACACTGTTTCTCTTAAACGCCATGACCAAAGAAGGTTGTATAGGAAAGAACTCATCTGGCTTGTGCTTCTAAATCACTGTTCATCACTGAAGGAACTCAAACAGGACAGGAACCTGGAGGCAGGAGCTGGTGCAGAGGCCATGGAGGGTGCTGCTCACTGGCTTGCTCATGACTAGCTAGTTCAGTCTGCTTGCTTGCTTTCTTTCTTTCTTTCTTTCTTTCTTTCTTTCTTTCTTTCTTTCTTTCTTTCTTTCTTCCTTCCTTTCTTTTTGTTTTGTTTTTGTTTTTTGGAGACAGGGTTTCTCTGTGGCTTTGGAGATTGTCCTGGAACTAGCTCTTGTAGACCATGCTGACTTCCAACTCACAGAGATCCGCCTGCCTCTGCCTCCCGAGTGTTGGGATTAAAGGCGTGCGCCACCACCGTCCAGCTCAGTCTGGTTTCTAATAAAACCCAGGACTATAAGACCAGGGGTAGCCACATCCACAATGGGCTGGAACCTCCCCTATCAATCACTCATTAAGAATATCTCCTACAGCCCGGTCTTAGGGAGGCATTTTCTTAATTGAGGCTCCCACCTCTCAGATGATTTCAGCGTGGCTCAAGCTAACACAAAACTAGTCACGAGTTCCACTGTGGTCGGAATAACAATCGGAATCGCCAGGAAAAGACGGTTTTCTGGTTGGAAGCGAAAGGGCTTGAGCGGTGTGGCTGCTTCAGGCTCACTAAGGATGCTCGGAGAAAGAGATGACTGCTGCAGTAGCTTTGCTTTGTGCCTGTGTCAACACAGCTTTACCCACAAGGCTACCAATTCAAAAGCATGCTGACCGGTTCCTCCTATGTGGCACTAAACCGGATCTGTGACTCTATGCCTCCTGCAGTGGCTACCCTTCTGCTCCCAAGGGGCTTCTCCAGAAGTAAGCCAGGAACTTGGGACCCTTGCTCATGCTTCTCACCATTCTCTGAAAGTGATTGTTTCAAGGCCCTCACGCTCCAGGGAAACTCTGTGTGAGGCGGCTTATTACCCTCGTTTCTGTTCCCAACCTCCGCCAGCTCCCTGCAATCCGTTATCCTCCCAACTCACGGGAGAGAGATAATCTTTGTGAGGATTCATCTGCGAGAACACTAATATTTTCATAAGAGATACTTACAACAAACATGATCTTGAAATTATCTAGATAACCTTAAAATACATACGACACCTTTTACATACTTCCAAATCTGCCTTCAAAATCCTGTGGACTACTAAATTACAGTATTTTTTTAATTGAGTAAATTAGTAAACATTTTTAATTACTAAAAAGACGTTTTGATGGCAGGTGTGATGGTGTATACTTGAAATCCCAATACTCAGGAGGCTAAGCTAGGGCAGGAGGAGTTCAAGGTCACTGTGGACGACTATACAGAAAGTTTCAGGCCAGCTGGGGTACTTAAGAAGAGCGCATTTCCCCAAAAGAGCAATACTGATAATAATAAAACCGAAAGACACTCTGGCTTTTCGTAATTAATATGGAACAGCCACATACAACAGCTTGGATGGCCACACTGACTGGAGCGATCCTCCACAGGCAAAAGGATATAAAGTCCACTTAATGTTCTAACATGACAGTGTGGTTGGAATACTGGTTGGATGAGTGGTCGCTAGGATACAGAGCAGGAGGTGGTGGCAAAGGCTGCTAGAAGTAGAAGGAAAGTTAAGAGCTAGAGAGTCCTGGAACAGATGAAGGCAAAGATGCTATACACACTTACTCTCTCCTGGGGCTCACACAGCTAGGCATTCTGTACAACATCCCAAACTTGACTTCAGACAACTTCCTGATGACATACAGCCCAGAGAGCAAAGTGCTGTTCCTGGAGAAACCAAGTGAAGGGTCTCCTCCACCGTCTCCTCCACCTAATTTCTCTTATTTGTCCTAGAGCCATGCTGGAATCTACAGTCAGCTCAAAATGAGTTTAAAAAAAATTAGTCATTAAAATTTTAGATTATTTACTTTGTTATCTTATGTGTATCAATGTTTTGCCTGCAAGTATGCATATGTATCATGTGTGTGCCCGGGCAGGTTAGATGAACATGTCAGATCCCCTGGAACTGGGGTCACGGATAGCTGTGAGCTGCCTTGTGGGTGCTGGGAATCAAACCCAGGTTTTCTGGAAGAGCAGCAGCAAATGCTTTTAATTGCTGAGTCATCTCAATTCATTTACATTTGAATGAAGAAACTGCACAGAGACTTTTTCTTGTTTTCTTGTTTTGTTTTTCTGTGGTTCTTTGTTTTTGAGACAGGGTCCAGGATTCCTCTGTGTGGCTCTCACTGTCCTGGAACTCACTCTGTAGATTAGGCTGGTTTCAAACTCAGAAGATTCCTCTGTTTCTACCTCCCAACTACTGGAGTTAAAGGTGGGTGACTTTTTTGGGGGGGTTGAGGAAGAAACTTTCTGAGAGTCAAACTCATGGCTACTCTTCATTTAGAAGAGCAATATCAATAATCACATTATTTCCCAGACATGATGATTCATTCCTATAATCTCAGCCAAGAGCTTAAGGACAGCCTGGGAAACACAGAAGTTCCAGACCAGCTTGGACTACATAACAAGACTGTCTCAAAAGCAAACAAACAAACAAAAACCAAATCACAGCCTTTAATCCAAGCATCCAGGAGGCAGAGTTGGTGGAGCTATGCGAGTTTGAGACCAGCCTGATCTACATAGTGAGTTCCAGGACAGCCAGAGCTACATAATTAAACCCTATGTTATATGAAAAAAAATCATAAAATCTACTTCAAAGCTTATTAAGAAGAAAAAAATCTTATTTTTCACTTTTGAAACACTGTGCTAATACATAAGCCCGGTTACTTTCCGACTTCTCGTTCTCCCACCTCAGCCTCTGAGGTAGAAGTTCTTTACAAGACAGTATTTGAGGAGGCTGAAGAGGAAGAGGAGGATGAGATAGCAATGAAAAGTCTCAATGGGAAAAAAATTACTGAATTTAAACTCTTTGGTTTAAAGTCTATTATTTATTTGCCTATTTTTGAGACAGTCTCCCTAGGTAACCCTGGCTGACCTTGAACTTAAATCTGCCTCTGCCTCCCGAGTGATGGATTAAAAGTGTGCACCACCAACAGCAAAGCCCGTTTTAATTTCTAAAGTGCATAATATAGAAAAGGAATAACATGCCATGAACCAAAGAAAGACGAGAAAAGCAGAGGCTGAGAGTTATTTGACTTATAATCTATAAACAATAGCGTCTTGATGGTGTCCAAAGGGTTGTTCAAATAGTCACTTTATTTGTTCCGGAGGTACCGACTCAAGTTCACAAAGAAAGGAGTCGGTCCCTACTGGCTAGCCAGCTGCTAATGTTTGTTCTTTCTGTAGTTAGGGAAGCCAAGGAGGAGAACAAGACTGTAAAGAAAGAGTTCCTTTCATCAGCTGCAAATATTTCCCTGGTAAGTAAGCAAGTCTGCACTGCGCCCCAGATAGACGAGCTGGAGGCTGAACGCAAAGCCACTAGGATCTACGTGGTCCTCCCTTCTTCCGAGAGTTGGCTGATGCTGCAAATCGAGAGGCTGGAGTCAGAGGTTAAACCGACTCCGCTAAACCTAAGTCAACCATCCCGGTAGCTTGACTGTGACACCTCCCAGGCTGTTTAAGCTTAAGTAAGCGTCGCAGGGCACCGCGCTTCCTTATGAAAGACGATCTTGGGTGTCCGCTCCCGGGTATTCCTTTAAAAGGGGGCTATCTGTTTCACTGCCGCTCAAGGCAGCACCCAGAGTCGACATGAAATTCAGGGTCGAGCAAAAACGGGAGGCTGGGGGGGGGGGGCACTGAACCGTCGTGTCTAGGTGAACGAAGCCTTGCAAAGAGGAGCCTTCCCTCCCCCGCCCCCCCCCCGCCCCGAGGAAAGAAGCCACTAGAAAGGGGAACTTCCCGGGAAGGAGCCCCCCCACAGAAAGTGGACAAAAGCAGCCCCCGAGGAAGAACGCCCTTTTGGAAGAGACAGACCATGAAGGATCCCCGGGTAGGAGTGCCCGAGATTGAGCTCCCCTGATGGGAACCCCGTGCAACGAGTCTCAGGACAGGAGTCCGCACCCGCAGAGCTCACCCCGATGGAGGAGGCCGCGCTCTGGACGTGAGACCTCAGCATCACTGTCCCCGATCGGGAGCTCCCAAGTGCAGCGAGAAGGACAGACGTAGGCCTGCCCACATCCCCTTTCTCGGGTGTGGGACCAGGACACGGAGGACGGCACCGCCCTCTTCTTACTTCAGGCTCTTCTGACGCGCAGCCGAAAACTCTTCGCGGCCCCTTTAAGCAGGCTGCCGGTGGACAGCTCCGTCGGCCTTTGCGCGGCGCGGTGTACGCCGGGAATTGGAGTTTTTAGAGCCTGTCGGCCAGTCTCCTTCCAGTGGGCGCGTAGCCTAAAAGCCAGACAACCGCAACAGCCTCCGAAAGAGAAGTCAACGGTTTGCACAAAACGCCGTGCCCCTGGCCTGAAGGGCAGCCTGTCTGCACCGCACGCGGAGAGCGGGAGCCTGGGCGAGCCTCACAGTCTGCCAAAGTGAGCGTCAGCATACTGCGCCTGCGCAGAGAACCTGCGGCCGGCCGCGGCAGCGGGGCGGAGAGCGGCGTGCGCTTGCGCAGAAGCCTGAAGCCGCTTCGGCAGCGTTGGGGAGCATGGTAGGTGGCTGGGTTTGCGCTTGGCAGGTGCGGCCGCAGCCGGGCGCGGAGGTCACCGCTCCGTGCTGGCTTCAGGATAACTGGACGGAGGAGGCCCGCTGTCTCCACCGGGGTGTGGAGGGAGGGGCGCGGTTGACTCCGGGAGGCATGGCCCTGCCTGGAGCGTCTGGGGAGCCCAGTTGGGTCTCGGGGAGGGCGACAGTGCCCGGCCCAGGGCTGACCGGACAGGAGGGCCGGACGCGGCTGCGAGTGCGGCGGGTGACACCTGCCTGATGGGCGGAGCCGACCGGCGTCTGAGTGGACAGTGACGCCGACTGGGGCGGAGCTGTCCGAGCCCGGCGAGCTCTCGGTCTGCGGAGATTTCGGGAAGAGGTGGAAGGTGGTGTGCGCGGGGCTCTGCGGGGCTCTGCGGGGCTCGAGGACGGTTTGCGGTCCGCGCAGCTGGCGCCGGCGGAGGATGTCACCAGTTGTCCGCTCGCTTCCAAAGCCACGATCAGGCTGGGGATCCTGGGGACGCGGGAGACGGGCAGGACGCCGAGGGAGAGGAGGGTTAGCCTAGTAGAGTCGGGAGGGGCCTAGACCGCGGGAGGGGCGCCTGACAACCCCATTCCTTGGACCTCGGGGTAACCATGCTCTGAGAGGCTGCGGGCGGATGGGACCCCAGAGTTTCGTCCTCTGTCCCTAGGGCGATGTCTGCTTGTCTTGGAGTTTGTGTAGGGGAAGAGCAGAGGGCTGAGGACCTCTTAGGTGGAGGCAAGAAGGGATGGAGCGAGTGCCGAGAAGGGCGAGGCTGGAAAACTTTATGAACCCAGAAACCAAGAGATGATTGAGAAGAGCAGCGGGACTCTTCCGATCAGCGGCTAGCAGACCCCAGCGGCCACCTATGCATGTGAACAGGAACTTAATTTGGGAAGGACAAGTTGGGATCCCAGGCTGAACATCCGGAAGCATTTGGATTTGACGACACACTCTCCAGGCCTGCACATGCCAAAGTACAGTCACCCTAAAGTGGGCCACAGATTTATTTGACCAAACGGTTGTCCTGTGAGCCCTTTGTAAGTTGACCCTAAGAGGAGGTATTTTGCTAAGCGTCCCTGGAAGGACATTCTACAGATGCTTTTTAAAATCTTACGTAGGAACACCCTTTGCCTAAATTTCTTCACAAGATAACACAAAAAATGTTTGAAGCTTTTTCATGCCAGCTTCCGATGTTCAGGTCACCTGTTCCATTCCGTCCAAGCTTCCGCTGTTTAGAAGGTCCCCTGTTCTGTTTTCTGTGTATCTCACTGATTATCACTGAAACAATTTGGAACAGCTTCTGTGAAGCTCTGTGCTGAGCTCCGTGTGAGACTGTGGAAACTAGTCAGTAGTTGCAGGCGCTTTTAACGGTGGTCTACAGTAAATGGGGTTTTGAAACATCAGAAAGTGGTGCAGATGAACCATTGGAAACGATAGGCAGAGCATGCACCAAAAGGAATTCATTAGTTTCTTCTTGAGATGGTTTTCTTAGAATGAAATGTTTTGTTGCAAGTTTAATTGACCAGAAGGGTTAGCATAGTTAAATCTACCGCTCAGAGCTGAAGTGATAGCGCAGCAGTTAGGAGTTGTGGCTCCTCTTTCAGGGGATCTGAGTTCAGTTCCCAGAATCGGCGTCAGGGAGCTTAATTGCCCATAACTCCAGCTTCAGGGCATCTGATGCTCTCTTCTGGCATCTGTGGGGTACATGTGTATGTGTGTTCTCAAATAAAACAAATCTCTTTTAAAACATCATTTTCAGGAATAGTTCTAATCATACTAGCCAATTCTTGAGGTCATCTGAACTCTCCCAGTTTTTATTTCAAGAATTTTGTACATTTTAGGGGCCAGTGAGATGGTTTTGCAGGTGAGGGCACCTGCCACCAAGCCTGATGACCTGAGTCCAATCCATGTGGTAAATAAGGAAAACCAACAGTATAAGTTGTTTTCTGACCTACACCCAAACACATTTCAGCACATGCACACAAAACAAATAAACGGAAAACTTGCACTAAAAATTCTGTGCATCTTAAACACTAAAATAATGAAGCAGAAAACTCGCTCTAGTTCTTTGGTTCCTATGACATGCTAAGCTTTCTCTAAAGTCACTTGCTTGAGTAAACCTCCGCATGAATTTCTCGTCTGCTTACATGGCTGTACTTGGAGCTTTTTTATTTCCCTGTAAATTTTTAGTTTGTATGCCATTTTTCTTTAGAAAGGTATTACCAATTCCCCTTTCTTCCCATTCAACCTGAGTTCTCTTAGCTGTTTTGGTTTTGGGGTTTGTTTGTTTGTTTGTTGTCGTTTTTGTTTGTTTTTTAAGAAAAGGTTTCTCTATGTAGCTGTGCCTGTCTTAGAACTCATTCTGTATACCAGGCTGGCCTCAAACACAGAGAGACCCATCCACCTGCCTCTGCCTCACAAGTGCTGGGACTAAAGGCATGTACTGCCATCACCTGGTTTCTCTTAGCTGGTTTTTAGTGTAAAACTCTTTAGATTTAGCTGTTGATCATGTTTTTTAAAAACACTTATTATTGGGGCTGGAGAGATGGCTCAGCAGTGAAGAGGACCTCGGTTCAGTTCCCAACACCCACCCAACTCCCAATTGCAGGGGATCTGTCACCCTCTTTTGGCTTTCATGAGTACCAGACTGCAGACAAAACACGTACATAAAATAAAAATAAATCTTATAAGAAATATTTTTATTATGAGTCGGACATGTGGAGGTCAGAAGACATCTGTGGAATCAGCTCTTCCCTTCCGCCCTTATGTGTGTTCTGGAGATTGGATGCAAGTTGTCAGCCTTGTGCAGTGAGCACACTGAGCCCCTTTGCCAGGCACTTTGGGAGAGGGGGAAGGGAGGGGATGGTCTTACTATGTAACCTTGACTGGCCTAGAACTCATTGTGTAGATCAGTCTGTCTCTATCCTCTGCCTCTCAAGTGCTGGGATTAAAGGCTTGCACTTCTTTTGTTTGTTTGTTTGTTTTTATTTTCCAAGACAGGGTTTCTCTGTGGCTTTGGAGGCTGTCCTGGAACAAGCTCTTGTAGACCAGGCTGGCCTCAAACTCACAGAGATCTGCCTGCCTCTGCCTTCCCCAGTGCTGGGATTAAAGGCGTGCGCCACCAACACCTGGCAAAGGCTTACACTTCTATGCAGGCATCAGGATATCATTTTTTTTAAATTTATTTAACTTTATGTGCATTGGTGTGAAGGTATCAGATCCACTGGAACTGGAGTTCAGACAGTTGTGTGTGGTCGTGTGGGTGCTGGGAATTGAACCTGGGTCCTCTGGAAGAGCAGCCAGTGCTCTTAAATCATTGAGCCATCTCTGCAGCCCCCTAGGATATCATTTGTTAACGCCTAAGTCTGTAAAGGCTAACATCCAACTATGTCTGTGCTGTCAGCGCCTTGCCCTTCCTTCATGGGTATTGCTGCCGCTCCTGCTGGCCAAGCACCTTGGCCCTCCCTTGAGGTCTGCAGTTGGTGGGGGGTATCCTGTACAGATAGTTCGATTTTAATAGATTGGAGGGAGATCTGTTTATTTCCCGGTCTGCACTCTGCCCGCTCTTTGACTAACGTGGAGGTCATTCAGCACCTCTTGAGTGCCTGGTGTCTGTCTACCACATACGCTCTTTGCACTGGATCACTGGTTCCCAACCCGTAGGTCACGACCCCTTTGGAAGTCAACCCTTTCCCAGGGGTCACAAATCAGATATCCTGCATATCAGATACTTACATTACAATTCATAGCAGTAGCAAAATTACAGTTATAAAATAGCTGCAAAATAATTTCATGCTTGGGCTCACCACAACATGAAGAACTGTATTAAAGGGTCACAGCATTAGGAAGGTTGAGGACCACTGCCCTAGATAAAGCTGAGGTGTCATACACTGGGAGGGGCCTACAGAGGTGACTTCAGGAGGCATATAGCTCAGAACCAGGCATCATGCTGTCTTCCAGGTGTCTACAGTTTCTTGATATGTAACTCTGTGATATTACACTTGTCACATGGTACAGCTGTTCCAGGGGCTATAACTGGTGGATAGTCTTAGAGGTTCTTGCTTGCTATGTTGAAATTTTTAGTGTACAAATCTATAGTGATTAGATTAGTCCCAATATTGTGCAGCCACCCCCTTTATTAAGTTCTAAAACATTTCATCACCTCAAAGAAACCATGTACCCATAAGCACATCCCAGTTCCTCCCTCCCCCACAGCCCCTGGTATTCACTAACCTCCAGATTTGCATATTCTGCACATTCCATATAGCATATAACATTTTCTATACAATGTGACCCTTTGTGTCTGACTTATTTCAATGAGCACAGTGTTTTTGAGAGTCACATTGTATCATTTGTCATTGTTTCATTCTTTTTGTTTTTGATTGAATGATACTCTATACACATATACCAAATTTAGTTTTATAACCATGACAGAAGTTTAGAATCTAGCGCTAATGGCTATCACAATAAAGATGTCATGTCTATTCTTAATAGAGGCCCATTAGGGGATGGGAATTTGTCTTTCTCCTAAAACTGTTTAAGTATTGATGGCTTTACTAGTCTTCCCTTAGGGAGATTGTCAGATTCATAAAAAGATACTGTTTCTATCAGTTGTCAGATAACTGTAATAGTGTATAAAATCTGCCCTAATTTAAACTTAAACTCAGCCAATAATGTACCTTGGACTGTTTGTCCATTATTTTTAAAGGCTCAATTTTAAGGAATACTATGTAGAATATATTCACCCAAAACCTATATTGGAGCAGCAGATTAGAACCAACAAGCCAGACTTGTATAAAGTTTTATTTGCATGTACATAGTGTTTGAACTGTTGACTTTTACTCTACAAATCTGAGTGTATGCGAGAGACTGTATGACTGTAGCTTGTGATATGATATTCACTGTCTATGCCTTTGTCTCAGGAACCCTGTGTATTTTTAGTATATAAGTAATAGTGGTCATCAGAATTTACCATGTCAGAAATTTAGAAGAATATATATTCTCTTTTTTTAATATTTTATTAATTTATTGTGTATACAGCCTTCTGCCTGCAGGCCAGCAGAGGACACCAGATCTCATTCAAGGTGGTTGTGAGCCACCATATGGTTGCCAGGAATTGAACTCAGGACATTTGGAAGAACAGTCAGTGCTATTAACCGCTGAGCCATCTCTCCAGCCCGAATATATATTCTCTTAGATTTTAAAGTAAATGTATTTTAGAATTGGTAACAGTGGGACCTGGAGAGATGACTCAACTGTCAAGGGTACCTGGCTGGTCTTCAGAATACCTGGGATCGATTCCCAGCACCCACATGGTAGCTGGAACTCCAGCAAGACTGCAATCTTGGGGTATTCACCACCCTCTGCTGGCCTCTGTGGATACTGCACACACATGGTGCACAGAAATAAACAGGCAAAACACATGAAAATAATAAAGTTTCCAAAATCTTTTTTTAAAGCATTTGCAGCCAGGAGGTGGTGGCGCACGCCTTTAATCTCAGCACTTGGAGGCAGAGGCAAGTGGATCTCTGTGAGTTCCAGGCCAACCTGGTCTACACAACAAGTTCCAGGATAAGCAGGACTACACAGAGAGACCTGTCTTTGGGAGGAGGGGTTGCAATAGTGAACCAGTTTTTGTTGTTTGTTTGTTTGTTTTTCCTTACATCTATGAAAATATCTTACTGTCCAGCATTGTAAAAGATAAGTTCTTGTACTCACTTCGGCAGCACACATATACTAAAATTGGAGCCATATAGAGAAGATTAGCATGGCCCCGTCCAAGGAAGACACAATAAGTGTTCTGTATTTTTTTAAAGTCTTCATCTTTATGTGTTCATCCTCTTTTTATATCACAATCACAAAGTCCTAGAGGCCTCTCCTGAGTACAGTAAGAAGAGCGAATGAGACTGGTGGCATTCTAGAGTCGGTTCTGTCATTGTGAGCCCCCAAAGGTCTCAGCACCCAGGATCTGCAGCGCCTACATAAGCTGACGTGTTTGCGCTTTATCATCTTACTTGCCTGCTGGGTCAACACTGCTGTTTTGACAGGAGCATTCGTCTTGCCTTAGAACAACTCTGGGACATGCTCTGTTGTTGGTATTTGTGTCTTACAGGGGACACTGCACGTGTCTTATTCCATAAGGGGCCATGAGCATCGCTTCCCTCAGGGTTGAGGCCGGGAGCACATGGGAGTCAGAGGCAGGTAGATATTCACAGGCCGGGAGCACAGGACTAAGGCGGGTCCATTGGTAGATCTTTCCATGTTATTACAAGAGACTTCCTAACCTAACCACGTTTTCCTTGCTGTGGCAGCCAGGAGGCTTGGAGCCTGCTTTTTCAGCCCATTTTCATGTATTGTACATGGTATGCATGTATGTTATCCTGGTCCCTTTCCTTCCTTGTTCCCTTTATTTCTTCATCAGCATCTTGCTATCCATTATATATTTCTGTAAGCTGAAATTTATTCTGTGTTGCTATAAATTCTCATCTTTATTTGTACAAGATAAGTGTAGTCCTTCCAAGTAAAAATTCTTCCTTTATTATTGTATAAAGCTTCTTGTTTAGAAAAACGCCTCAGGACTGGTGATACACCACTGTGGTATGGCACTTTGGTAGTGTACACGAAGCCCTGGGTTTGATCCCCAGACTGCCAAATAAAGAAACCTGCATATTATGGACTCTTTATTGATTTATGGAAATGAGCTAATCACGTCTTACCTTAGAGAAGTAGCCATGTTAGTCTGCAAATGTGAAGATGCTCTCCTGTTTCACTATAGACTATATATAGCACCATTACTTGGCAGTGTTCTTATTTATTTCCTACCCACAGCCTCTGTCCTACTTTTCATCTCACATATAGTATTATCATTTTCATTTCTTCATAAGCACTTTCGTTATTACCTCCAGTGTAACTCTTAGTTGTTTGTGTATTTCCATCGGCACAATCCTGCTTTTAAACTAGAAAAGCCATAAAACAGTAATGCTTCCAAGCTGTCCATTGTCTCCTTATTCACTAGAGCCTGAACTTAATGGAAGCTAGTGACTCTGCAGGTGGGCCCCTGTGATGGCCTCGAACCTTGTGTTGTTGACAGAGGACCAGATATGCTAATGTTTTAAAAGGAAAATAAAGCTATATTTTATACAAAGGGAACTGGGTAAATAAGAAAATGTTTTTCTTTTTTCTTTCTTTCTTTCTTTTTTTTTTTTTAAGACAGGCTCACTACGTAGCCCTGGCTGGTCTGGAGCTTTCTTTGTAGACCAGGCTGGCCTGTGAATATCCACCTGCCTCTGACTCCCATGTGCTGCAGTTAAAGGTATTCACCACTGTACTTGACTAACTTGCTTATTTATTTACTTATTTATAGACAGGGTCTCCCAGTATAGCCCATGGCTACCTTAGAACTCATTGCATAGAGGCTGGCCTTTAATTTGTTCTGAGTCATCCTACCTCTGACTCCCAAGTTCTAGGAGAACAGATGTGTACCGCTACTCCTGGCTTATAGTATATTTTCTATAGAAGGTTGATTTTCATTAGTTTTGGCGATTAAAATTTTGTTACTATAGAGATGCTATCATTTCCATTTTCAGACGACTGTACAGTCTTTTGAACTGATGAAGAGTGAGGTTTTGGTTCCTGCTATTCTGACAGTTGAGTCCAACAAGAAAAATAAATCCAGTTAAAATCTAGGTGTTAAGAATAGAGGCATGCCGGGCTGGAGAGATGGCTCAGAGGTTAAGAGCACTGACTGCTCTCCCAGAGGTCCTGAGTTCAATTCCCAGCAACCACATGGTGACGCACAACCATCTGTAATGAGATCTGGTGCCCGCTTCTGACCTGCAGGGATACATGCAGACAGAACACTGCATACATAATAAATAAATCTTAAAAAAAAAAAAGAATAGAGGCATGCCACGCAGTGGTGACACACGCCTTTAGTGCCAGCACTCAGGAGGCAGAGACAGGTGGATCTCTGTGAGTTTGAGGCCAGCCTGGTCTAGAGAGTGAACTCTAGAACAAGCAGGGCTACACAGTGAAACCCTGTCTTAAACAAAAAGAAAACAGGCTGAGCAAACAGGACTTCATTGGCTTTCCCCCCTTTTTGTTTCACCCCAAAGCATAAACTTAAATCAACTCAGAAGGACAAAGTCCGCCAGTTCATGGCATGCACCCAGGCTAGCGAGAAAACTGCTATCTACTGCCTGACACAGAATGAGTGGAAACTAGACGAGGCTACAGACAGCTTCTTCCAAAACCCAGAGGCGTTCCACCGAGAGTCTATGAAGAGCACTGTGGACCAGAAGAAGCTGGAGCAGTTATATGGCAGGTACAAAGGTAAGGAGTGAAATGGCAGCAAAGCTGACAGACGCTCTACAGTGATCGGCACGAGTGATGCTAGGGGGATGGGCAGCACGAGTGACGCTAGAGGGATGGGCAGCACCAGTGATGCTAGTGGGTGACCAAGTTCCAGATGCCCTCTTCTAGTGGTTGTTCTAGAGCCCACCCTCCTTCGCAGAAAGGCTGGAGAAGAGGGAGGGAGTCAAAAGATGGCTAACAGGCTAGCCTTCACCTAAGCCCTCAATCCCTGTCCTCCGGTACAGTGAATGCATGCTGAGGACAGTCAGGCAGGCAACTACTTTGCAGGCTGCTGCTGCAGCTGTACTGTACCTGTTAATGCATTTCCCCCTCAGGCTGGTTTTGGCTTTTATGTTGCTTTGGTTTTTGAGACAGGGTTTCTCAGTGTAACAACTTTAGCTGTGCTGAAACTTGCTCTGTAGACCAGGCTGGTCTTGAACTCACAGGGATCTGCCTGCCTCTGCCCACAAGTGTTGGGATTAGAGACGTGTGCTACCACTGCCTGGCTATTTGTTTGTTTTGTAATAGAACCTTTGTCCCATAAGCATGGTGGGGGGTATAGTGCAGTTGGAAAGATGTCTAGTTTCATTCATTTCATTTGTCATCAATTTTCCTTTGCCGTTGGACATCGTGGCATATCCCAGCACTTGGGAAGCTGAGGCAAGAGAATTTCTGCAAATTCATGGCCAGTCTAGGATAGACACAAAATCCTATCTTTTTTTTTTTTTTTTTTTTTTTTTGGTTTTACGAGACAGGGTTTCTCTGTATTGTTTTGGAGGCTGTCAGTCCAGCCTGGCCTCGAACTCACAGAGATCCACCTGCCTCTGCCTCCCGAGTGCTGGGATTAAAGGCGTGCACCACCACCACCCGGCAACACAAAATCCTATCTTAAGAGACAACAAGTGCATCATTTAGAGTAGAGTAGTAGGGCTGGAGAAATGGCTCAGCAAGTAAAAACCCTGCTGTACAAGCATGAGGACCTGAGTTCAAATCTCCAGCACCCACATAAAAGCCAAGCGTAGCGGCACACCCCAGTAACTTCACTCCTAGGAGAGGGAACACAGATGGATCCCAGGGGCTGGCTCACTAGCCAGCTAATGTAGGCAAAGCTGCATACTCCAGGCTCAGTGAGAGATGCTGTCTCAAGAAATGAGACGTGGGGTTGGAGAAATGGCTTAGCAGGTAAGAGGACTTGCTGCTCTTACAGAGGACTGGGGTTTGGCTCCCAGCATCTATGTGGTGCCTCACAACCCACTGTAAGTCCAGGCCCAGAGGAATTAACACCTACTTCTGGCTCCTGCTGGCCACAGGCATGCACATGGTTTAAAGCATGTACGCAAAACATTCATACACATAAAGTAAAAACATTAAAAACAACACGTGGAGCGCAGTAAGGGAAAGCACTGAGGTTAACCGCCAGCCTCCTCATGTACATGCCCATGTGTGCAACACACCAGTTTCTTTGCTAGCATCATTTATAAAGATAATACTGTACGTGGGTGTCAGTTAGGAGGCCTGGGCAGTCTATGGGGTCTCTGGTAGTGGATCAGTATTGATCCCTAGTGTATAAATGGACATTGGGAGCCCATAGCTCCATCCTCAGCTAGAAATTAGATCAGAGTTTTGGCTCTGGTGCTGATGTTAGAACCCAAGCACAAATGCAAGCATTCCTCCACTGCGCTCACTAATGAGCTCTTGATGGCCACATCTCTTCACAAGAGTTTCAGTGGGTTTTTCTTTCCCTAAAACCCGGAAACCTAGATCATAAGAATACAACTGTTTTCTGGGTAGGTTTTAATGCTCTTTATTTGTTTCATACTTAATAGAAAATGGTTGTTCATTTATTATGTATTAACAGAGTAGCATGATTCCAACCAGCATTTTAGGATTGCTTTTCAATGTAGTATGATGTTTCCCTCCTGATTTCACAACAGACCCACAGGATGAAAACAAAATCGGAGTTGATGGGATTCAGCAGTTCTGTGATGATTTGAACCTGGACCCTGCCAGTATTAGTGTTCTGGTCATAGCGTGGAAGTTCAGGGCTGCCACTCAATGTGAATTTAGCAAAAAGGAGTTTGTGGATGGCATGGCAGAGCTTGGGTAAGTACATCATTCTCAATTTAAATTTTTGAGTAGGAGAGACACTTGGATCATTTTTCCACTACTTACAAGTACTAATTTCACATACATGTATTTTGTATTTTCTTTGTGTATTATGAACCTCTGGTTTCTTTTCAAACTCAAGTTTTTATCTACTTGATAAAAATCTTTATTTGTATTAAATCTTGTTATTGTTTAAATTTTAAATCCCTCCCCTTGGGCTGAGGAAAGCAATGGCTCCGTGGTTAAGAATTTGCAGTGCTCTTGTAGAGGCCACAGTTCAATCCCCAGCTCCCACGTCAAGCCGTTCACACCCACTGCTTGTGCCTCATGCCCCAGGGGATCTGACCCCAACACATGCATGCATATACACATGTGTGAGTGTGCATACGCACATGTACATAATTTAAGTTACTAAGAGTAAAACTAAAAATTTTAAAACTAACATTCTTCCAAGTTTTAATTAACAGTGAATGGCAGGGTAAAAATTTAACCACTTATGATATTTTATACTAAATGTATAATTTGTTATATGGTTGTATTAAATTCCAATAAAATACCATTTTGGTTTTTGTTTCTCTGTTCTACCCAACAGAGTTAGAATTAATGATTTAAGATGTTTCTCATTTAACAGATGTGACAGAGAAGTAAATGAAAATATTTTTAATTGCTAAACTTATTGAACTACGGATTTGGAGAGATGGCTTAGCGGTTGAGAGCACTGGCTATTCTTACAGAGGACCCAGGTTCAATTCCCAGCACCCACATAACAGCTCACAACTGTCAGTTACTCCAGTTCCAGGGTTCTGACACCCTCACATAGACATAGATGCTGACAAAACACCATTGCACATAACATAAAAATAATTAAAAAAATAAATAAATAAAATGCACATTAGCCAGTCGTTGGTGGTGTACACCTTTAATCCCAGCACTCGGGAGGCAGAGGCAGGCGGATCTCTGTGAGTTTGAGACCAGCCTGGTCTACAGAGTGAGTTCCAGGACAGCCTCCAAAGCAATACAGAGAAACCCTGTCTCAAAAAAACTAAAAAAAAAAAAAAAAAGCCAACTTATTGAGCTACTTTGTGAGGTGGTATAAAGGCCAGCATGTTCTACTTGCCAATATTTGTAACACTCATTCACTGTTGATACTTAATTGTTTTGAGTTGCTCAAAAGCTGAAAACCCGTAAAGTTGTCCCTGGAGGACACACTTACATCACTTATTAAGACAATTCCCTGCAGACTTGCCTACGACTGGGCCTTGTGGAGGCGTTTGCTCAATTGAGGTCCCCTCCTCTCAGGTGCCTCTAGCTTGTGTCAGGTGGACATAAAAAGTAGCCAGCACAATGATGAAGACAGTGCTGGCGTCAAACACGTGTAGAACTCTGCTTCTGAGACTCTCAGAAAGAAGAAAACAGTGAGCACTTAACAAAGTTATCTGTGAGCAAACATCATGGCCAAAAGCAGCAACTCAAACAAGGCAGGAGCCTGGAGGCCGGGCCTAAAGCAGAAACCATGGACCTCCCATGGCTTGCTCAGCCTGCTTTCTTATACCATGCAAACCACATTCCCCGGGGATGGCACCACATCAGTGGGCCTCCCACGTCACTAACCAAGACGAGGCCCCACAGACTTGCCTCTAGGCCAGTCTTAAGAAGGTACTTTCAGAATCGAGAGTCCCTCTTCCCCAATGATGCTAGGTTTTGTCAACTCAACATATCTAGCCAGCACAATATCCATCCATCCCTAAGTAGAAAAATAGAACTGGAAAGGCGGGATAATAATGACAGAACTTAGCACGCTCCAAGCCCTGGGTTCAGTCTCCTGTAAACAGAGGTTTCTCTGTTCTGCTCTGTCCCGCTGCTGCTTTTAAATAATCATTCAGAGGCTTAATATTAACTACAAATTGTTTGACCCATAGCTCAGGCTTATTGCTGTCTAGCTCTTACAACGAAAATGAACCTATTTCTATTAATGTACGTTTTGCCACGTGGCTTTGTGGCCTTACCTGTTCCTTAGTACATCTTGCTTCTCCAGAGACTTGCTGGTCTCTCTCTGACTCCACCCTTCTGTCTGTATCTTCAGTTTGACTTTCCTGCCTAGCCTTCGTCTGCCTTGCTATAGGCCAGAGCAGCTTCTTTATTACCAATGAGAGGAATACATATTCACAGTGTACCCAAGGACTATCCCACAGCAGTCTCCAGTACTTGAAGATGAGGAGGAGAGTCAGCAGGAGGAAAATACAAAAAGCAGGATTGCTGGGCATTGGTGACACACGCCTTCAATGCCAGACACTTGGGAAGCAGAGGCAGGTGGATCTCTGTGAGTTCAAGGCAGAGACAGAAGCAGGCAGATCTCTGAATTTGAGGCCAGTTTTGTCTACAGAGTTCCAGGCCAGCCAGGGCTGCACAGTTAGACCCCGTCTCAAAAACAAATAATAACAACAACAACAAAAAAAAAGTTGTTAATCAGCAAATCAGGAGCTTGTTGCTTTTTAGACGATTATAAAATCAAATAACTTAAAGAAGTGGCAGACATTACAAATTTATGCCAGTAAACTTGGCAGCCACTTTGAAATAGAGAAATGGTTTTTAAAATATACCTTGCTGAGTTAGGTGGTGGTGGGACACGCCTGTAATCCCAGCACGTGGGAGGCAGAGACAGGTGGATCTCTGAGTTCAAGGCCAAGAAACAAAACAAAACAAAACAAAAAAATAAGTAAAAAACTTGGAACCCGCTGTTGAAGCATGTGAGACTATGGGGGACGTTCTCATTCCTGTTACCAGCATCTGTAACTTATAACTTCAAAAGGGAAACTTGTGATGGCTTCACTCACAAACTTGATGAAAAGAAACCCCAGGTCTTAAACAAGCTCTAGTGAAGAGCTTCATAAAAGGAAGATGATTTCTAAGCCTGCTTAATTTTGTCACAACATACATGAAAATCAGTTTCAAGTGGTTTGAAATGTGCTAAAGATATTTAACCTCTGATAAATAACGCAGAAAATAATTTTATGATCATGCAAAAGAGTGACTTTTGCATTGTCACCAAATAAACGTGAAAAAGAAAGGGCTTCATTTTGTAGTGTTTGTGCCAAAAATAAATAATAAATGAGAACTCTCATCATACAAATCACAAAGCAGAGAGGTCTACAGAGTGAGTTCCAAGACAGCCTGGGCTACACCAAGAAACCCTGTCTCAAAAACAAGCAAACAGCATGTGCATACATAAAGTGTGCACAGCCAGAGACTTCAGTGCTGTCACAGCTCTACACTACAGGATCTTAACGGCACTGGCGAGGGCGCCTGGGAGGTGAGGTCTCTGGAAATGAGGGGTGACGAGCCCGCAGATCACGAGTAACAAGCCCTTCTCTGTTGTCGCAGGTGTGACAGCACAGAGAAACTGAAAGCTCTTCTTCCCAAGCTGGAGCTAGAGCTGAAGGATTCGGCAAAGTTTAAAGACTTTTACCAGTTCACCTTCACCTTCGCCAAGAACCCTGGGCAGAAGGGTTTAGGTGAGTATGAACTCCAGGCTTGCAAGGGGCCAGATCTGTGTCCTGTTGTAAGTGGGCAGAATCAGTGTGATTCCAGCACAGACGGCTGTGACGATGCCTTCTCTGTCTTAGTTTCTTTGTTCTACTTATTCTTCACATAGCGGGAAATATCAATTGATAATGTCTCTCGGCTTCTAAATGTAAATATTTTAAACTTAAAATATGAACTAGTTTGTGTTTCGTGTTATCTCTGTTGCAGTCAAGTCTGAATGTTTGGGACTTGTTCTCTGCGTGGTGGTTTGCCCGCCAGGCCTTGGAACCGCTCTGCTGTGCACCAAGCTCCTCTCGGGGCTGTCAGTTCTACTTCACTACAGATGTGCACATCTGGAGAGTTTGTAACTGAAAACTCCAGTTTGAGTTTCGATTTATTTGGGGTTTTATTTAGTTCTGCATCTGAGTACTGGGTTATTTCTAGCTAGTTTCTTCCTAAGAATAACCCATATCAACCTACGATTAACTTGCCTGGGGTATGTAAAAGGCCTTGTGTATTTATATGAAACATCTTACATATTAGAAGGTGTGTTTAGAGCTGGATGTTGGTGGCGCACACCTTTAATCCCAGCACTCGGGAGGCAGAGGCAGGCGGATCTCTGTGAGTTCGAGGCCAGCCTGGTCTACAGAGCGAGTTCCGGGAGAGGCTCCAAAGCTACAGAGAAACCCTGTCTTAAGAAAAAAAACAAAAAAACAAAAAGGTGTGTTTAGAAGCTAAAACTGGTGAATAGAAGCAGTACCGTCGAGGGCTAAAAATTGCACAGGGAGTTAGAGAGGGGGGTGTCCTGACAGGTGGAAGCCTGGTGCAAGTCCTCACATTCAGTGCCTGTCCCGCCACCATCACACGCCTGTGCACAGTGGGCACCTGTGTCTTCTCACCTGTCTTTCCTGCCCCGCCCCCTACCTGTCCTGTAGTCATCACCGTCCCCGTCCTCCTCCTCCTCCAGCGTGGCACAGGTCCAAAGACTCAGGCGGCCAAGAGATGTTCTTCGTACACTTCCTAGGGCAGTCCCTTAGGGCCGCCTCCTCGTCTTGCTTGTTTTCTCTGGTGTTGATGTTTTAAAGTTAGTGACCTGGCCATGGCCAGCCATCCTTTTCCTCCAGGCTCATCTGCATATGAAATGGCCTTTCCCCCCTCTGAGATCACATGAGTGCTTCAGGAGCCTTCAGAGTTGCATTTAGAAACTTGTCTGAATAGATCCGCTGGAATTTCAGAAGGCAGAAATGCCATCGCTTCCTGTCAGATACCTGCTGGGAAAACCATGTATTGATCCCTGTCCAAAAGATGCTAGGGGTGTGGTGCAGTGGTAGACTGGCGTCTCAGTCTGCACACAGCCTTGGCTTCCATCTCCAGCATGAAAGCCAAAGGAGAGATTCGGGTAAACGAGACGCGACCCACACTCATGGGTCATGAAGCACCGTCAAGGGCAGCACTAGTCAAGAGGTGATTGAGGCACACTTGCTGTGGTCAGGTGTATCCCGACCTCGGTACTGCAGGATCTGTCCTCGTGCCTAAGGAGGAAAGCATAGCAAAGCGCACTGTGTGTCACGGGTCATGGAAGTAAGGAAGGGGGCAGGTGTCCTGTATTCTGCTCCTCTTATTTTTAAGTTTTTTGAGACTTATTTTTATATGTTTGGGTGATTTGACTGCATGCACCCAGGTGAGGCTGTCATGTCCTCTTGGAACTGGAGTTACAAATGGCGGTCAGTTGCCATGTGGGTGCTGGAGACTGTAATTGTCAGTTACTGGTAACCATTGGGTAACTGTTGAGTCTTCTCTGAAGCCCCTCCACCCCTTTTTAGAGGCCAGTCTTTGTTTAACAGATAAAGGAGCCAGCCAGGCGACACAGCTCTTTGGCCAATCCGTGCATGCCTGGGAAAGCTCTTGCACAGCCTTCCTGGTGGAGAAAGGAGGCCAAAGGTCCTCAAGGCAATATGTCTGGAGACCAAGGCATTGGCTACAAGATCCTGGTGACATTAGAATTTTGACTGTTTCCAGTGGTATTGGTACAAAGTAAAAATCTGAGCCAGAGCAATAGCCATCCTAATGGTGGATTTAGGTGTTAGATAAGACTGGGGCAGCAAGAATCTTGCCAACCAGTCCACAGCCATCATCCCTGCCTTTCAGACATCTAGACCAGGACCTGAAAAATGTAGTCTCAATACTAGACTCAGTACTGTGCCTAATAACTACTAGTATCTGTTAATGATTGGTTGATCTTTATTCCCATACCTCTTTGACAAGTAGAACTCATGCTGGTGTTTCTTTTCTTATTTTAGAATATATTGAATGTACTAAATAATGGGTTTCATGGTGAAATTTTTATACAGTATATAATATACACTGGCCTATTTACTCCAATATTGCCTTTTCTGGTCCCCATTCCCCTCTTACTGGTTGGCTTAGTCACTGTTCTAGTGCTGTGAAGAGACACCATGGCCACAGCAGCTCTTATAAAGGAAAACATTACTTGGGCTGGCTTACAGTGCAGAGTTTAGTTAATTATCGTCACAGCGGGGAGCATAGCTGTGTGCAGGCAGACATGGTGCTGGAGAGTACTGAGAGTTCTGCATCCTGATTCACAGGCAGCGGGCAGAGAGACACTGGGCCTGGCATGGGCTTTTGAGCCCCCAAAGCCCACCCCCAGTGACGCACTTCCTCCAACAAGGCCACACCTCCTAATCCTCTGATCCTCACACTGTAGTGAATTTTTATTATTTTATTTTGACTCAGTGTTTCTCTAGGTAGCTCTGGCTAGCCTGGACCACAGACTCAGAGAGATCCCCCATGCCTCTGCTTGTGTCCCTGAGTGCTGGGATTAAAGGTGTGTGGCACTATGCCCAGCCCATTTCTTTAAAAGAAAATGTAGATTTTACATATAAGATAAAATGTGTCTTTCTGAGTCTAGCTTATTTCACTCAATATGATCTCCAGTTCCCTCTGTTTTCCTGAAAACATGATTTTGTTCTTCAGGACTTACTAACACTATGTTTGCATAGCATGTTTTCTACATTCCTTTTGATGGGTACCCGTCAGCTTTGCTGAGCCATGCAGTGTAAATGTGGGTAAGCAGTCTCTACTGTAAGCTGATTTGATTCCTCTGGGCATATGCACAAGAGTGGTACACCTGAGCCATATGCTAGTTCTAGTTTTTATTCTTTAAGGAGCCTTCATACTGCTTTCCACGGTAGCTACTGGTTTATGATGGCAGCCTTATTTTTTTTTTGCAATTTGTGTGTGTGAGAGAGAGGGGGAGGGTGGATATGACCCACATGGAGGTCAAAAGACACCTTTGTGAGTCATTTCTCTTGCACCCTCGTGGGTTCCGGGATGAAGCTCTGGCCAGTCTGGCAGTGGCGAGCACCTTTACAAACAGAGCTGTCTCAGTAGTTGTGCACTGACATTCTTGATCCTGGCCGCAGATTGCAGACTGTGGCTACAATTTAAGCTTCTCCGTACTTCTCCGTGAGTGCATGTCCCTTCTTGTGCTTGGTGGCAGAGCATAACGGTAGCAATAGAATCAGTAGGCTTCATGTTTGTAGTTGCTCTTTCAGGGAGGAGCTGCTGACCACTCCCCACTGGGACCCCATCCCCGTCCCAGCCATCCCAGTCCCCCCTCCCTCCGAAAATAGAGTTGAATTAATCCTATTTTATCAACCACCCTGCTCCTTCAGTTTTGGTCTTCACAGAGACTGACAACCACCTGTCTGCGAGTCCTTCCTCCCAATTCCTATGCATCTGAACTCATGTGCTCAGGGACACTTTGTCCTAAGATCTCCGGGACAGTTCCCCTTTGGTTCTCGTTCTTGGGTTTTGTCCCTGTTTGGTCAGGGCCTCTGTTGCTGTGATAAAGCACCGTGATCAGAAGCACCTTGGGGAGGGAGGAGTTTGTTTCATCTTACGGCTTGCAGTTCAGCATGCAGCGCAATCAGAGCTGAGCAACTGAAGGCCATGGAGGAGTGCAGCTTACGGCTTGCTCTTCCTGGCGTGCTCATTTGTTTCCCCAGGGGCGACACCACCGACACTGAGCTGTGCTCTCCTACACGAATCGTCAGTCAAGAAAATGTCACCCAGGCTAGTTTTGGGGCACTTTCTCAGTTGAGGTCTCCTTTTCCCAAATGACTCGAACTTGTGTCAAGTCGTCATGAAAAAAAAAGCCAACACGGTCCCTTAACCTAATCTTTAAGTTGTTCTTAGTGCTCTTTTGCTTATTTGAAAGTGGACAGTTATACTTTTGACCTGCTTTGTGGATCTGTTTGTGGCATGTACTGATAGCTTGGAACTTTCTGCCTATTCATGTGTATCATGTTTAAGGGATGTGTTTTCCAAAGGTCGGGATTGAATGTAGGACCTCACACATGCCAAGCATGTGCTTTACTGCTGACCTATTATGTCTCCAGACTTTTTTTTTTAGATGAATTCTCACTGACCTCAGTCTCCCCAAAGATCTGCCTGCCTCTGCCTCTTGGTTGCTGGGATAAAGGTGTGTGCCACCTCTGTAGCATCCTTACTTTTAGGAGTGGAGTTTTTACTTTGGGAGGCTAAAACTCTTGACTTATCTTTCTCTCCTGTACCCCATTTCCTAAGAAACTGAGAAGAGGTAGCTGTTACATTTGCAGTCTGTTTTAATTTAGACCCTGATCACCCATTCAGCATCATGAGAATTCACAGGAGCACACTGCTGGAGTTTTCTAGAAACTTAATGGAAGACTGGGCTTGGGCTCCCTCCGGCTTTAGGTTGTCTGTGAGCAGATGTTAGGGACTGGAGTGGCAGCTCAATGGTTGAGGGAAGGTTCGGTCACTCCTCAAGGCTCAGTGCTGTGTTAAGAGCAGGCCTGACTCTGCCGTGCTATTGCTCGTCCTGCACGGCCAGGCCCTTCTTCCTGAGCCCAGCCTCCCTGGCCATGTTCGGTCTGCACAGAGCTTCACACGTGCTAGGGTGAGTACCCAACTGCTGCGCCGCATCTCCACTTAGGACTTAGTTTCAGCACGGAAACTTTTAAGTGATTTTATGCCGCTACCGTGGGAAATCAGCTAGCTTGGAGGATCTTGAGTTTTGAGGAAATAGTTTCACACTAACTTACGTTTTTTTCTGAACAGAGGGTGCTGCTTTGTCTAGTGGAGCATCACACATGTAATTCTAACTAGCCTTGCCTTCTAGCATTTTCTTAATCAAGAGTTGGACTTGTTAGAGGTTCTTGGAAAGAAATTGGTGCCAGAACGTTCTCATTACAAAGTAACTATGGCCCCTGATTTCAGTCTGGAGGTCTACTGTTGGGGAATTTTGTAGTTGTTATTTTGCAGGTGGCCCAAGTTCACATGGATATTGTGACATGTTTTACATAGGGCTATTAAATGTTGGAAATTTATGCATTTACTTATAGTCATGTGACTCATGCACTTCCAGATGAGGTACTTTATAAGAAGGGTTTCTAGGACCAAGACTAACCCAGACTCAACTAGATTATAAAGTATGCCATAAAACTTTATTTTTCTTTCCTCCTCAGGTTCTCCTCCATTTCCCAGTGTGAGCGCTTTACATCATTAAGATGAGTTGAATCTAGATCTCACTTAATGTTCTTCCTAAGGGATAAGGATGTAGACTTATAAGCAGGACAAGACTAATCGTCTTAGCATTACACTGCGGGTCCCATAGGTAAGGCCTAGCAAGCCCTCCACACGCCTTGACTGGACCTCTCTGACACTCTCCTTCCATGGAGACTCCAGGGTACTTAGGACGGATCGGGCCTGCAGCATACCCTATAAGCCCGTAGGGAATAAGCATCCTATCCAGTGTTGGTCACTAGCCATTTGTCTCTCGTTTATCAGTGTTAGTAGTGATCGACCCTGGAAGTCTCAAGCTAGAGCCCTGACATCAATCATTTCCCTCCAGGTGGGATCAAACCAGATTCAGGAGAAAGTCTTGGAGAGTGGGTGTCACATTTAAACTAATCTGTTCCCTTAATGTAGTTGTTGGTCTGCTTTTCACATTGCTTTATCTGACATACGTGCAAAAATTAGGAGATTATTTTGGCATAGTTACCTTTTTTTTTTTTTTGCCTGTGGTGAGCAATATTCATCATGATTAAAATAGTCAGGCTTAGAAATAGGCTTGCTGTGCCCAGCATATAAAAAGAAGTATGAAATGTTTGCAGGGAGCAGACGGCTAGTCCCGAAAACTCTGACAAGAGTCTGTCCCAGAGCCTCCTGGAAACCTAGTGTCTATTTTCCATTAGATACACAGCTTTAGCTAAACCTTATAGCATAGATGTGTTTAAGAATGGTGAAGTACAGGCTGGAGGGGTAGCTCAGCCGTTAAAGGCTAGGCTCACAACCAAAATTATAAGAATGGTGAAGTACTCACGGTTTTCTAATTGAGGGAGAGGATATTAGCTTTGACTGATAAATAACCCAAATTTTTAATCTTTGTAGCAGTGAAAACAGTTTTCTCTATCATCTGTAGAAATTTGTCTTAACTGTGCAGTGAGAAATTCAGAGTCCTTGGAGTCCCTGTTTGTTTGAGAATTGGTAGTTCTAAGACAGCCAGGTCTGCCTTAGTTCACACAACCATGAGGCAGGTCTGCTGGAGGAAACTGATCCCTCCCTTAGAAATGAGGCCTTTAATTTTCAGCTTATCACTTTGAAAGAGCAGCGGCCTGCTTTCTAAATAACTGATCTACACTAATAGTAATAATAGATTGGATCAGGCACAGTTATGTCTGACACACATGGAATGCAAGTCCCAAAACTAGTTAACTGGGGGCAACTACTTGCATGTCCTAATAATACACAAGTGCTTCCTAAGAAATTTCCTCAGACTTATAAATTTAGATTACATGTCATTTCCAGAAACACTTGCATAGAGATTGGGCAAGATTGCCAAGTAATTATTCTTATTCTATAGGGGAAAAAGGGAGATTTATTAATCACTCTCTTTCTTTCTCTCTGTCCTTCCCTCCCTCCTTTTTTCTCCCCCATTCCCATTTCTCTCCGACAGATTTAGAAATGGCCGTTGCATATTGGAAGTTAGTATTGTCTGGAAGGTTTAAATTTTTAGATCTTTGGAACACATTTCTTCTGGTAAGTGACTGTTTCTTGCTTTGTGTGCCCAATCAAGAAGAAGCGTTTCTTATTTAAAATGCTAAGTATTGGGGTACATGCCTTTAATCCCAGCACTCCAGAGGATAAGGCCAGTGGATCTCTGTGAGTTCAAGGCCAGCCTCGTCTGCATAGTGAGCTCCAGGCCAGCCAGGGCTACACAGTGCGATTCTGTCTCACAAACCTTTAAATAAGTAAGATGCTAAGATGGAACACAGTCATCTGAATAGAGGATGGATGGAAAGGCGGGGGGCACAGGTCTGCCACTTGCAGAACGCCTCAGCACAGCAGCAGAGCCTGCTACAGGTGGCAGCTTCTCTGAGGCTGTTCTATACCCAGCTGCTTTTTCTAGAATGATCTCCATCAGCTTACAGCTGATCTCAGCAGCTCTCAACCTGCCGTCTCTTCTGAGGACTTCCTAAACCCAATCACTCTGCAGCGCTATTGAGGAACTTCAAATCCATGCAAGAACACACTAGCTGCGCACTGCTCTGGACTCTAGATGTGGACCAGAGGTGCTCTGTCATCACATGTGTCTGTAACCTGACACTTTTAAAATCGACTCTGCCACACGAAGACGGACAGGAGACTTTTATGGGGTACCATAAGGAAGGCATTGTGGCTGTGCTGGACCCTGTGTTGTGGGGACAGCCAGTGTAGCTGTGAGCTCTCTGAATGAGTAGAGCGTAAGGACATGTCCTGCATCCACAAAAGACGGCCCTGGTGACAACAGAGATGCCCAGACCTTCTGCACTGTCACAACCGTGGAAGAAGGTCATGCTTCCCACGGCACACCCTGTGACCAGGCTGGCCGCACCCCCTCCTCTTCTCCATCTGTGACCCCAGCTGCCATGCACCCTGCTCTGCCATGGCAAGATTGGTGGCCTTGGACATATTGCTCCTGTGTGCCTCAGTTTCCTTATCTAGTGGTAGCATTTGAGAGCATGGCCTGTGGTCTTCATGTCAAGGGGCTCATCCCATCATGGGTCATGTTACTTCTCCGATGTTGAGTGGTTGATAAAGCAGCACCCAGTTCCTCCTCTACTCATTTCGTGATACATGGGATGGAATCTGCAGCCTCCTGCATGCTAGACAGGTGCTCTACAGCTGAACTACGACCCCAGCTCACTTTGTGTTTGAAGCAGGGTCTTGCTGAACTCAAGCAGGCCTTGAACTTGGGATCTTCCTGTCTCGCCTACTAAGTAGCTAGGATTACTGGCCTATTTCACCAAGTTCTAATCTTTGGATTACACCCAAACTACAAGACATTGCCCAGAGAGCTCCACAGCCTTGTGTGCAGGACTAAGAAGATGCTACCACATCATGGAGTCAGCAGGATGCTAGAACACACGCAGTGCCACTGACGGGAGGACTGAGAAGGATGAGGAGATTCCGCAGTAGAACAGAGAACAGAGCGGCAGAGCTAGATTGGCATGGCAGCCGAGAACTTTCAGACCTAATGTTGGTGGGGACAAACTGTAAGAACGACTGGTAGTCTAGCAGCTGATGTTCTAATATACCATATGAAGTTCTTAAAGAGTAAGGCCAATAAATAAACGGGCTTCAAAATAAAGACACAAGACAAGGCCTGGCAAGATGGCTGCCAGCAAGTCTGACACCTGGAGTTTGATCTCTAGAACCCAGATAGTGGAAGGAGAGAACTGACCACACACACACACACACACACACACACACACACACACACACATGCACACATACGCACATGCACACACACAGGCACGCATGCACATGCATAGAAATAGATAAATGGGGCTGGAGAGATGGTTCAGAGGTTAAGAGCACTGACTGTTCTTCCAGAGGTCCTGAGTTCAATTCCCAGCAACTACATGGTGACTCACAACCACCTTGAATGAGATTTGGTGCCCTCTGCTGGCATGCAAGCAGAAGATTGTATACATAATAAATAAATAAAATTTAAAAAAAAGAAATAGATAAATGTGAAAAATTAAAGATAGCATACACACATGTTACATGCATGTGAAAACTGGCATGACAGTGGTAAGTTCAAGGAAATGAGTGCTTTTGTAGGTGACGTGGGGACAGCCTGTAGAGACAGGAGCCACTGAGGCCCAGCTTTGCTTCAGAACTTGCCTTTCTGTGGTACAGATGTTGTATTCGTTTTCCTGTTGTTTTTGTGACTGGAATATTGAGTAACAAAGGTATTTTAGATAAGTATCACAACTCCCTCAAGAAATCCCTGATATGTAAAAGTATAAATATAAGGAAATAAGTAGAAATAGGACTCCATATTGTCCTGCATCATCTCTGAACAGGTTTTAGGGAAGTGGGGAGGGAAAGATATTTGGAGCCTGGCCTTCTGTCTAACCAGACAGCAGTGTATAATTTTAATATTTAAAATATTTTAAAATGAGGCAGTGTTCTTTCTTTGGACTTACGGCACATAGCACACGAACTTGCTGTAAAGGACTATTGCTTTCACCTGTGCTGGTTGTAAGTTTGTACTCCGCGTCACGCTAAGGAGGATCACTTGCAGATGCAGTGTGCCCAGCCACTGGCATATCTGAGCGCTGAGATCTGAACCTTAACCTGGTGGATGTTTTTCTCTTATGTATTAGGAGCATCACAAAAGATCAATTCCAAGGGATACTTGGAACCTTCTCCTAGATTTTGGAAACATGATTGCAGATGATTTGTCTAACTACGATGAAGAAGGTACTAGAAGTTGTAGGACTTCTCAGGGTTACCAGAGATGCTCATGCCTCCTGTGGATGCTAATGGACTACCTCCAGAGTGAGGGCCAGACACGGACCCAGAAGGGCCACCCACCTACCCACAGGGATGAGAGCAGTATACTGACTTACTTCCTTGTCATCTTCTAGAACCATATAAAACCTGGTTAGAGTGATTGGAAATGTTATTGTAAGTCCATGCATATTTCCCCCTAATGCCAGAGGACCCCACACTAGAGACTAAGGTTCTCCCATACAGCAGCACTGCTCCCTGAGAGGGGCCTGATCCTGGGTACCTTGTCTCCCCTCCAAATGTAGCTGACCTGGACTTGGTCCAGGACATCTTCACTCTTCATGCCTTGTGGCCACTACCCTGTCACTAACAGCATCCAGCATCATGTCCCTCATCTGTAGGTCCTCTACACTCAACACAGTGCCCATAACAAATGCCTCATGAAAGCTTCTTGTATAAAGGAGGGATAGTTGATGTAGACAGCTTGGTTTTCAGGAGCCATGCTGTCCCTGGTAAAGCTAACTTGTCTGCTAGGGGACAGCTAGCATGTGAGGCAGCCAGTGCCAGTGTGGCTATGGCGCCCTGCACGGGTAGATTTGGTTGGGAGTCTGGTAAGGAGTCAGAGAGAATGCCCGTGACCAAGGATTAAAGCTCCTTGGCCCCTAGGAAGCTGTGAGTCCACTTATTTCCACTCCCAACCAGCAAGTTCTAACTGCCCACAAATTGGCTGAGGCCCGAGAGGCCACCTTGTAGGCCCAGTCAGTGAGGGTGTGGTCTACACCCACCACTCGCTGGCCCTACTTCCTGCAGCAGAAGAGCCGAGCGACCTGAGCAGGGCGATTGATCTGACACAAACTGCATAAGCTTCCAATTGTTTGCTTCCTTAGAGGTTAGATTTGGGGAAAGAACATTTTTAATATAAAATCCCGCTGTAAGACTTATTTTAAAAATGTGTTTGTTTTCCTTTAGGAGCCTGGCCTGTCCTTATTGATGACTTTGTAGAATATGCACGACCAGTGGTCACGGGTGGGAAGCGTGGCCCTTTCTAAATGGAAGCGTCAGATGGATGGAGGGTGGATGAGATGGACCCTGAAAGGAGACAGCTGGGCTGGTTGCTGTGTGCATTTGTTGCTGACTTCAGAAGTCTTCCTCGTCCATTCATGAAACAAATCCTTACTCCGCTTAAAGGCTACGTGTAGGAACGGAGAAGCTCCTCAGGACATTAGGGACGGCGGGTCATCAGAGCTACCGCTTTAGGAGACGCCTGCATGACTTGTCTTTACAGAAAGCAGCATAGAGCCTGTTTGCAGGGCAAAAGCGTGCTGTTCTGTCAGTCCACGATGTTCAGGTGAGCACCAGCGGTTTCCAAAGCTGTGGAATCGCACTGCAGTTATGCTTCAAAATAGCATCTGTGTCCTCAGAATGATGTATCTTCTGTACAAGTCCAAGTTGTTACAAGCGTGCCCTGATGAAAATGGCCTTGTCAGAGCCTACTGCTTTTAATCTTGGTATTCAAGATTGATAGTTTTGAATTATCGAATCTCTAGATTTACTAGATGTTTGTTTTATTTTCTCTAGAAGACATTGTTGCAGTTTGCACAGGGATGGTACAGAATGTAATCCAGCAGGTTCATTTCAAACTGTTTACAAGCTGGTGGGCCTGATTTACGTCTAATGAGGTTATTATTATTAGGCCTGGATGCTGCCTCCTGAGAAGTTTCTTATTTTTTAATATATTTTATTATATTTAAAAGGACATTTTTCCATGAGAAATACTTCTTTTTGGGTGATGAATTAGATTTACAAATCGAATGCACTGGTTCCCTTCACCTGTCTACAATGTCTTCAGTGCCCATTGTCCAGCCCTTGGATAGCCATATGCATTTGGAAGCAAAAACGTCATCCAAAAGAGTCTGTACCCAAAGCCTCTGTCTCATCTGTCTGCACCATGTCACAGTGTCGTGTCGCCATCTGCTGTTCTGGTGTTTCTCTGATCAAGATCCACTCATGCACACAGGCACGGAGGCCTGGATACTCTCTGCTCATCTGATGTCAAGCTTTGAACATCACTGTGCTGACCCTACCTCACACTTGCCAAGACTTAGTGTCACAAGCGTGCCTTGCCGCCCGGCCTACCACGTGGCCATGGAGCAGATATGCTGGGCCCACTTCAGGACGGGGGGCTGGTCAAATGCCCATACTCAGAAAGCCTGTCCCAGGTGTGCTGTTGGGCCAGCTTTCGGTAATGGCACACGTCCCTGACTTAGGAAACAGTCTGAGGCTTGTGTGTCCTGCAGTGAGATGGGCTGTTGGTGTGGGACAGGGATCTCACAGAGGTGGTGGAGGGTTGGAACAGGAGGCCAGTCTCCACAAAGCCAACCCTCACTGTGTGAGGTGACATCACTGAGGACCTGTCAACGCAAGTCTGCGAAAAGGAAAACTGGGACATCTTAGGGAGTGTCTGTAACCAAACTGACTGAAGGAAAACCTGGAAAGCAAAGCCTCCTTCCAGGCTCTGTGGGTCCCTTACATGCAGTGAGCCTCTGTTCAGAGAAATCTAGAGATAACTAAATTTTGGAGGTTTGCAATATGCTTTTGTTTTTAAGATTTAAAATTCTTCAGGAAGATCAGTGATCTGATTGAGCAGGTTCAGGCATTTGTTGCCTAGCCTGATAACCTGAGTTCGGTCCCTGGGAACCACATGGTGGAGGGAGAGATCCAACTCCCACAGGTTATCCTCTGACCTCCACACGTGTGCCATGAAATGCATGCATTCCCCCTGCACACACATGTACTTACACAATAAACAAATCAATGTAACGTTAAGATTTTAAATTCTATGGGATAGTTAATAGGCTGTGAAGTACTAGTAATTGATAAAGGCTTTTCAAAGAATCGTGCTTTCTGTTCTACTTACACTTGAACTGCATGTTACAGAAATGCTGAAAACTTGAGAAATGGCAAATAAAGTATTTTCCCTGGTGTTGTGATGTCCTTTATTCTTGGTTGCCCAAATACCTGTGCACATCAAGGCCCTGGTCTTTGGCTTGGACCAGCAGTAAGGCCCCTGTAGCAACAGCAAACAAGCCCTTGCCACACTGCCTCTTAGTGCCTCACCAGTAAATAAGTGTATCGGAGACAGACAGCTTCCTTTGTCTGGGTTTCTTTCTCAGTACAGTGTGCTGGACACATGGGAGCTGCATTTCAGAAAATACTAATATGATTGTGTTTAAAACACATTTACCAAACACAGCAGGTTTAAGAAATGCATGTAGCAGGGCATTGGTGGTGTACACCTTTAATCCCAGCACTCGGGAGGCAGAGGCAGGCGGATCTCTGTGAGTTCGAGACTAGCCTGGTCTACCGAGCAAGTTCCAGGGCAGGCACCAAAACAATACAGAGAAACCCTGTCTCGAAAAACCAAAAAAGAAAGAAAGAAATGCATGTATCTGTTTCACTCAGTACCTGCCAGGAATTTTCAGAACAGACAGCATCATCCCATCTAAGTGACGCCAGTACGGTGTGTGTTAGTTGAGGTGTTGCGTGCGTTTCCACCTTGATGTTCTATGGACACAAAAGGAGACCTCCAGCATCTGTTGCTGTGTCTAGTGTCCTGTGACAGCAGGACTCTGATTGTTTGTCAGATAGACAAACCTTATCTTGTTTGTGACTTTGACCAAATAGTGTGACCGTTGTCCCCAAACGTCCTTAACGATGCTTCTCTCCCAGGAGCCCTTGCACTTAGCTCGTCCTACCTGAAGTGGGTCTCTTGCCCACTTCTGCTGTCTGTCTTACTTGGATGGAAACCATGTACACTCTGGTTTTGGGGGATTGCTTTACACTGAGAGTTGTGCCATCAGGAAAGGCATCTTGCTGCGCACTAAAGTTCTTACCAATTGTATATAAGCCCAAGGGGTCCCCTGCCAATTCTGGATGTGGCAGGCCAGGTCACAAGAGGGCCAACTGGGGTCTATGCCTGCAGGGTTTGTGCCTGAGTGGGAATAGGGAGGTGCCCATCCTCCTAGTTCATTTCAAACCAGGAGCCCTGACTTTATAAAGTGTGCCCTACCCAGCCTCACATTACTTAGTAATTCCATGAGCAGCAGTAATGTTTACAACACGTGAAGCTTGGGGTGGCGCAAGACCACGCTTGCTGAGACCTGCGCCACTCTAAAGTTTAGCATTGGAGCCCCCTGCTGGACACTAAAGTATGAGACAACACTTCTTCACAGACGTTAGGAGTGCTGCATCTTTTAAACTTTCCTCTCGTGACATTGTTTTTATGGTGCTGAGGATCCAGCCAAGGGCCTCATATACATCAGATAATTATTTGTTCTATCATGGTGCTACTCCCACAGCCATCATGCTTTTATAAGGAGAAAAGTTTTCTGGGAGCATAGAACTACAATGGATGAATCTCAATACTACAGCAAGTGAACGAGGGCACATGGAAAGGAACCACATAATCATTACTGTAACGGTAAGATGAGTGCATTTATTCAAAGGGGCAGGAGCAGATGGCAAAGATGGAGCAATGACGTTCACATTGCGACCTGCTCTTCTTCGCCAGCAGGGGGCACATTCCATCCAGGAGCTGACACCGTCGCATGGCTCAAGGGCTCTGAGCGGCTCTGAGTGTGGACTGGTGCCAGCAGGCTCCAAACAGCTCCCACGTGGTGAGCTGAGAGCTTTATCTCATTGGTGCCACCTGCCAAGGCAGGGCAGGAACGCCTGGCCATTTGGAGAGTGCTGGACGGTGATACAATGACCACTATAAATGTCAGTCGGGCGGGCTGAGGGTAGCCAGGAAAGGACAAAGACAACTGCAGGCTAAGAGGAGTCACCTTCTAAGATGGAGAAGTTCAAGGCTGCGATGTTGTTGGGGAGTGTTGGTGATGCACTCGGCTATGGAAACGTCTGCAGGGAGAATAGTGCTTTAGGCTCGATCCAGGAGGAGCTGCAAAAGACTGGAGGACTGGACAGTCTTGTGCTGTCGCCTGGAAAGTGGCCAGTGAGTGACAACACCATCATGCACATGGCAACCGCTGAGGCCCTCACAACAGGTAGGACCACTGGCATGCTCTGCTCCAGGTGTGTTGGGATAGAAAGACGGGTGTGTGACTTCCTGTGCTAATAGCAAACCAGCACCAAGAACCTTGTAGATGGTGCAGCTGCGCCCTGTGTTACCTGACACTGCCTCCGAAGGAGGTGATTTCATCTTCACCCAAGGCCTGGAGCCTGGCGGGCGGCAGGTCATGTTTCTCCTGTGTGTGTCTTTGGGGGACGCAGCCCTTCGCAGACAATGAACAGCAGCTTCCCTTGTTTCTGCTGTGCCACAAGCAAGCGTCTGGGGGCCGCTCTGGTGGGATCAAAGCACAGGCACAGGTTCCCACTGCAGAGACTGAGCATCTTGTTCTAAATCTATTGTGAAAGAATGCGTTGTTACTCAGCTTGAAACTTGGACCCACTGAGATAACATTGTTTGGGGATTGCATCCCAATTCCGAAGAGTTAAGGTGAAAATATCCGTCAGTGTGATTCAGTCTGGAGACTGTGGGTAAAGTCTGTAAGGAAGAGCAGTTTGGGTTCAGAAAAACAAAGTGTGTTCATTAAGAAGCAGATGGTGCTAAGACCAACAAGCTGTGACGTGGACATAGAAAAACACAGTGTGTTCATTAAGAAGCAGATGGTGCTAAGACCAACAAGCTGTGACGTGGACGTCAGAGAACAGTGCATATGCTCACACAGTGTGTCATTGCTATGCAAGGCGCTAACGTCCTGCAGGTCTCATATGCCATCATTGCAAAATTAAGATCTGAGGGCAGCAGTTAAGCCAACAGGGCTCACTTATGCATTCGCCATTCTGTTCATCTGCTGTGAACAAGCCCAGCTTAGTTCTGTGGTCACTGTATAGGAATGCCACCAATGTCGTGTCCCTAAATAGAGCCGAAGCACGTTGATAAGATACCGTGTCACAGCTCGTTGAAACAATGAGGCATCTTTCTGAGTGGGCATAATTATGGGAGCCAAGTATTTGTGGATTCTGCCGTCACTGTATAGGAATATCATCAACTAGCCCCAGATAACTAGGGGGAAGTAAGCACGTGGGTAGGAGACAGGGTCACACCGCGAGAAGTGGTGAAGCAATTGTTTGGGGTTTCAAAAAGTTATCAGTTCCAAGTATTTATGCCTTCGGGTATTTTGGGCCCTACTTTCATGTCTTTATGGTCAGTGCCACAGCTCAGAGCCTGCTGCATCTCACAACCTCTGGAGAACATGACTTTCCAACAAAACTGCAGTCAGTACTTACTCTGGATGTTTGCTTCCTTGATTCTCTGTGCACGCCATTATGCAACTTGTTTCTGATGGGTGCTCTGGGCGTGCCGAGTGCTAGGCCTGTGTCTGTCTCAGGGGCTTCCCTGGAGAGTCCCTGACAAAGGTAGGCCCTGTGTAGTAACACAGGGTACTTGGGATTAGATCCACGGACCGAAGTCCTCTCAAGATGAAGTGTGTGTATTTGGTAAGGTTTGGACCATTTTGCAGTGTTGGTTTTGGTTTGGTTTGGTTTGGTTTTGAGGAAAAAAGTGAGTTCCCTGCCAGTCACCGGGAGTACCAAGCATGTTTCTATGTTGTGCCTCATCATGGCTTCTCATTGTAGGTCATGAAAAAACACTTGTCGAACACCCACTTAGTTGATCCTCTAGACCAGAGGTTCTCAACCTGTGGGCTGTGACCTCTTTGGGGGTCAAATGACCCTGTCACAGGGGTTACCTAAGACCATCTTGCATATCATATGTTTATATTATGGTTCATAACTAACAAAATTACAGTTATAAAGTAGCAGCTAAAATAATTTTATGGTTGGGGTCACCTCAACATGAGGAAGTGTATTGAAGGGTGGCCGCATTGGGAAGGCTGGGAACCACTGCTTTAGACACTAAGCAGCCCAGTTTTTAGCAGTTGTCACCTACTTTGGGGGGCCCTGGGGACACGTCACTAATGGGAGGCACGACAGTAAAAGTTCGTGAGGAGCTGCCCCGCCTGCCTTCCGTGCACTCTCCCAAGGCCACGTTGTGTTCACATTCTGAAAGGCGGCTTCAGTGTTTCCATCCCACAGGTGAGATGGACCCTTGGAGTGGTTGAGTAACTTATCCAGAGCCGCGCAGCCATGTGACGGCACATGCAGGCCACCTGGCCACAGGCCACGTTCTTACGTACCCTGTCCGCTGCCTAAGGTCAAGGTGGCCACGGAACTATTTATTAGAGTGTTGGGTGCCCTGTAGCTGCTTCCCAGAATGGAACTCCCCTCTTGGCACTTTAAAACAAGTGTCACTCATGATTCCATCACCCAGAAGTGGCTATGTGGTCTATAGCATGGCTTAGCTGCCACGGTGGCCACAGCTCATTCAGGGTCAGCATATGGCATTCAGGACACAAAAGCAGAAACAGACAGGACCTTGTCGGTTGCTCTACAAGACGTGTCAGTGGTGCAGCACCTGAAACCTCACTCAGGAGTTCAAAGACCGAGGCGACTTCCCCGTGTCACTAGGCAAGCAGGTAGTCATGGGCTTTCACAGCAGGCTTTGAGTGTGGCTCATTTCAGGACCGTTTGATCTGGGGCTTAGGATCAAGGCTCCACATTCCCGGAAAGTGATGAGGGGCTCACACCCCTGCTCCTTAAAAGCCCTCGTGGCTGTGGGAGTCAAACACAACCACAGAGTGCTAGGCCACCGGCTAGGCAGTCTGGCTGTTGACTGTCAGGGCCAATCAGTCAGGCAGGGAGCGTCTCAGTGTGCAGCCTGCAGGGAACCTGAGACCAGCAGAATATGGGTGTGCCTGACCTGCTTCTCCTCCTCCTCTGTCTGCCAGCAAAGTTAGGGTTAGAGTAGACACGGGTCAGAGAAAAGGATGCAGCCTTATGGAATTCATAGGTATTTTGCTTCAAACTCTGTTTTGCTTTATTTTTTTTAAACTATGTCTATCGGGAGCTGTCGGTCACTTTTCTAAACTGACTCACCCTTCAGTAGGATGGCAATGAGTGTAGCAGTCAGAGCAGGGTGCTGGGTTTTCATGGACCCTTTTTACTCGGGAAAAGCTCTGCTTCAGTTGAAGGCAGAGATTTTGCGGTATCTGATCTTATAATAATTGTCTTAGAGGGCTTGGGGAGGCCTGGGCTGTCAGGACGGAGGAGGAAACTGCCATCGTCCTCGTCGGTAAACAGATAGCACTGGTAAACCGGTGCCAGATGCTGTGTCTAACCAACAGCCTGGCCACAGGGCAGGTCCTGCCTCCCAGCAGGGGTTGCCGGCAGACAAAGCTAATTTTATTCCTGTAGGGCTGCCACAAAAACCTGGCTGGGACGTATGGCACTTCGTCCTCCAAAACAAAGTTCTGCCCATCCTTTCTCCTGCCCCAATTCGAACTAGGCACAAGCCCTAGAGGCAGAAGAATGGAGGGTTCCAGGGCCACTGAGGGCAGGGTGAGAGAAGGGCTCTTTCTCCAGGAGCTCACAGCCGGGGCAGAGGCTCTGACCCACGTGGGGAGCAATTCTGACGGGCACACTTGGCTTCTCTTGGCAACACAGGAGTCTGAGTTTTCCAGCCTGCTTTCTGAAGCAGGGCCACCAGCTCCTTATGCCCGTCCTTCTCTAGCCACCCAGCTCTCAGCCAAGACAGATCCCCATGGTCAGGGGAAGGGCCAATGGGCGTCTCCTAATGGCGCTTCTCCATCCTGAGTGCAGCTCTGACAAGGAAAACCCACCGGGGCCTATGAGAGAGGACGTGGGGAAGCATCTCACTCACTAGGCACCCAAACTATGGCCTTCTCTCCAGATGACCAAGTTCCCTGGCCTCCGCTGTCTGCGCGTGTGTGACCATTGTCCACCAAGCTGTCGATTAACTTAGTGACCAAAAATCTCTGGCCTTCCAGTCAAATCCCATCAGTCTAGTCAGCATCTTCCTGGTGGAAATGACGGCTGCTCTAGGGTGGGGCAGAGGTGGGGCAGGCCCCATGCTGGCCAAAAGCAGATGTTCAGTATGGACTAGTGGTTTTTACCCCTGTGCCCCACAGTTTTCAGGGGTTTGACCCCTTCTGGCCTCCCCTTCAAAGGATCAAGGCACAGTTTGGCAACAGCAGCCATTCAGAGCCTGGGTTCCCCAAGGGGGTAGGTGGGAGCCAGAGATCAGAGGAATCACCCTGTCTCCTGGTGTCCCTTCAGAACTGTAAGGCCACTGCTCTGTGTAGTGTAGTGTGATATCATTTATTCTGAGTGAACAAAACTGTTAGTAAAAATGAGGGTGGTCGGTGTTCCCTAGACCCTTAGCTTAGGACACCAGTGTGTTGGTTTGAAAGAAAATGACCCCTCACTACTAGGAGGTGTGGTTTTGTTGGAATAGGTGTGGCCTTGTTGGAGGAAGTGTGTCACTGTGGGGGCGGGCTTTGAGGTCTCCTTTGCTCAAGCTTTGCTCAGTGTGACACTCAGTGCACTTCCTGTTGCCTCTAGATGTAGGATTCTCAGCTCCTTCTCCATCACCACGTCTGCCTGCACGCCACCATGTCCCACCATGATGACAAGGAACCAGACCTCTAGACTGTAAGCCACCACAATTAAATGTTTTCCTTCATAAGAGTTGACATGGTCATGGCGTCTCCTTCACAGCAACAGAAACCCTAAGATAATCAGAATCGGAGTTAATTGTCTGCTTAAGGTCTAAAATCCATCCAGGCAGCAGCAGAGTCACCAAACTGTCTGCTCTAAGCCTGTTCACATGTCCTTGGCATCGATGGAAGCCGTTCCCATGCCCAGCACCTCACACTTTCCGTTCTCACTGACATCTGTCCCCGCCCCTTCCTCCACAGACTACTGGTGCCTGGACGACCTGTACCGGGAGATGGTAAAGCGCTATGTGGAGACCGTGGAGAAGCTTACAGAACATCGGCCAGACCCTTCCACCATCGAGGGCTGCTCGCAGCTGAAGCCGGATAACTACCTCCTCGCCTGGCATACGCCCTTCAGTGAAAAGGGTCAGAGAGCTTTCTGTTCACAGAGCTGTGGGTGTCAGTGCAGGGAACCGACGGGCTGCCCTGGCACTCATCACGGCTTTCCCATATGTCAGCATCAGATCCTTCCGCGGGCAGGGCATCCCCTTGTCAGCCATCCATGCTTGCCTGAACATCTGCTAAAGATGTTGTCTGCGTGGCATCAGGCTTCGCCCAGAGGGGTTTTCATTATCCATCCCCAGTTTACTTTAAGGAATCTTTGCCTTTCCTTGAAGTTTATATTTTGACAAAAAAGTGCCGTCTATGTTCACAAAGTGCAGCATGTAGGCAGCCCCAGCTCCCACCGCCCAGAGCCTCCCCTCCTCCCCTGCTGGCCAGGTCTGGTGGGACCCCTTAAGAATAGAGAAACTAGTGCCCCAGATTTATCCCAAGTAGGCAGAGTAAACCCGTTCCACTGTGACGGCCGCAACTGTCAGCCCGCTGTCCAGCTCCATCAATCTGGGGACCTGAGCTCACTCTTCCCAAACAGAAGAGGACTGTTAAAGCCTGGGGTGTCTCTGAGGGGCAGGAGAGCAGCAGAGCTCAGGCAGGACCAGGTCAGCTGCTCTGATACCCCAGGAATTCCAGGAGAGAATAACCCAGGTGCAATAGAAGATTCAATGTGAGAAGTGTAGATGTCACCACCGGGAGAGATAGTTTGAACAGGTATAAACGTGTCACTACCAAGAGAAGCAGTTTAAGCAGGGATAGCAGGACTAGTGTTCTAGTTTCATTTATGCTACTGTAAAAAAATAGCCTGGTTAAAAGCAGTTTAGAAGCCAGGCGGTGGTGACGCATGTCTTTAATCCCAGCACTCGGGAGGCAGAGACAGGTGGATCTCTGTGAGTTCCAGGCCAGCCTGGTCTACAAGAGCTAGTTCCAGGACAGCCTCCAAAGCTACAGAGAAACCCTGCCTCAAAAAACAAAATAAAACAAACAAAACGAAAAAAGCTGTTTAGAGGGAAAGGGGGCTTGTTTCAGCTGCAGTTCTAGGTTACAACCCATCATATGGAGAACTCAAGGCAGGAACTTTAATCGCTGGTCACAGTCAAGAGCAGAGAGAAACGAACGTGTGCATGTTTGCTTACTTGCTTGCTTCTCGGCTTGATTTCTCCATTTTTAAATGTTCAGGACCTCCTGACTAGGAATGGTGCCACCCACAGTGGACTGGGTCTTCCCACATCAATTAATGTAACTAAGACAATCCCCACAGATGCGCCCATAAACCAACCCAATGTAGACACTCACTGAGACTCTTTCCAGGTTATTCTAGATTGTGTCACATTGACAGTTAAAATTGACCATCACAACTACCAACCGGGAGGACTTCAGGGTCGCCACTGTGATGCAAGAGGAGAATACAGGGCTTCCATCCAGGCAGGGCAAAAGTGATGCAAGCTCTTGAGGGGGAAATCCAGCCTTGTCTGTCAGTCATTGAATGAAAATACCCTTTGTGTGATATTCTACTTCTAAAAGTCTCAAAGACCCACAAGGACAACACACTAAAGCAAATGGCAGGGACATGTGTATGAGGGTGACCTTGGCTTCATCACCTGTACTAGCAAAACCCTGGAAGCAGCTTGGCGTCCCCCAGTAAGAGAATGGGAACGCTAACTGTACATCTGCACAATGGAATGCTGTGTAGCTGTTTAAAAGGAAGAAGCGGATCTGTGTGTTGAGGTATAGAAATTCTCTGCTATAGATTGATGGAAAAAGCAAGATTCTGAGCAGTCCACTACAGCCTTCCCATATGCATGTGGGGAGAGTTCACAGAGTGTGCATAGAGTGTGCATGGAGTGTGCATAGAGTGTTCATAGAGTGTGCATATAGTGTACATACAGTGTACATAGAGTGTGCATAGAGTGTGCATGGAGTGTACATACAGTGTGCATAGAGTGTGCATGGAGTGTACATACAGTGTACATAGAGTGTACATAGAGTGTGCATGGAGTGTGCATAGAGTGTGCAGAGTGTACATAGAGTGTGCATGGAGTGTGCATACAGTGTGCATAGTGTGCATACAGTGTACATAGAGTGTGCATAGAGTGTGCATGGAGTGTACATAGAGTGTACATAGAGTGTGCATGGAGTATGCATACAGTATACATACAGTGTACATAGAGTGTGCATAGAGTGTGCATGGAGTGTGCATAGAGTGTGCATGGAGTGTACATAGAGTGTGCATACAGTGTACATAGAGTGTGCATGGAGTGTACATAAAGTGTGCATACAGTGTGCATAGAGTGTGCATTGAGTGTGGATAGAGTGTACATATAGTGTACATAGAGTGTGCATGGAGTGTGCATACAGGAAACTCCACAAAAGAGTAGAGAGGTTTGACAGCAGAAATAAAGAATATTAGTATCAGCCGGGCGTTGGTGGTGCACGCCTTTAATCCCAGCACTCAGGAGGCAGAGACAGGCGGATCGCTGTGAGTTTGAGACCAGCCTGGTCTACCGAGTGAGTTCCAGGACAGGCTCCAAAACAATACAGAGAAACCCTGTCTCGAAAAACCAAAAAAAAAAAAAAAAAAAAAAAAAAAAAAGAAGAATATTAGTGTCTTGATGTATGGAAGTGCACCACACATGTGAAGTGCCCCAGGAGGACTCTATGTCAATTATAACTTAATAACACTGGTTTTTTCATTTTTTATTTAAATTAGAAACAAGCTTGCGCCGGGCGTTGGTGGTGCACGCCTTTAATCCCAGCACTCGGGAGGCAGAGGCAGGCGGATCTCTGTGAGTTCGAGACCAGCCTGGACTACCAAGTGAGTTCCAGGACAGCCTCCAAAGCCACAGAGAAACCCTGTCTCGAAAAAAAAAAAAAAAAAAAAAAAAAAAAGAAACAAGCTTGCTTCACATGTCAATCCCAGCTCCCTCTCCCTCCCCACCTCCCCCACTCCCCTAACCAGGACCCCCGGCCCCCCTCTCCCAATCTCCACTCCGATCCCCAGGAAAGGTGAGTCCTTCCATCGGAGATCTCCAGAGTCTGTCATTTCATCCAGGGCAGTGTCTAGGCCCTCCCCCAAGAGTCCAGGCTGAGAGAGCATCCCTCAATAACACTGTTTTTAAATACAAACGTCCCCAGGAATTGTACTGTGTAGTAAAACTGATTCCAAAAATGGAAGAAAACAACCCAAAAGAGAGAGGAAAAGAAAGAAGGAAACAGGCATATCTGGGTCAACACGGCAGCTGATGTTCCCCAAGTAGATGCTCATTAGGACACCACCCTAGGTCAAGAAAAAGGTCATTTTCATAGGTTAAAGGACTCCATTTTCCTGCAACCTGACCCATAGATCTCTTTTCTATTGTCTGGGATGTGGGTGGCTTGTTTATTGTTCCCTCATCTAAAGATTGTAATAACATGTTGTTACCTAAACCTCGTCCTTTAGGAATTATGAATGCCAGACTTCCAGGGGTTATGTGGGCAAATCTGAGTTCAGGTGTCTGTCGCCCGTGTAGGCTCAGGGTTTGGAGCTGCCACTAAAGCAATGTGCATCGGGATGCGATACTGGAAGCCAGAACAGCTGGAGACCCTGGTTGAAGTCAGTATTGAGTGCGGTAGAATGACCCACAACCATCCCACAGGTAAAGCGCGTGCTGGAAGGGTGGGTGTGAGTCCTGTGGGGATGGCATTCCACTTGAAAACAGAATTGTCACTACATGCGGTGGTGAAGAAGCCATATAAAGGAAATCCTCATTGTTCCTATATTATTCATGTCAGAACAAAGGAGGAGAGGTGTGGAGCTTGAGGGGAGACTGGGCTCCAGGCTAAGTGGGTGTCAGCATCAGTCCTATGGGCCGCTGCCCTTCTCCACGGCCTGGCCTGTGCCTCTCTGCTCCGTCTCCAGGTCCTGTAGCAGCCCCGAAAGGGTGAATGTCCTGCTTCCCATACACAGAGAGAGGCGGAGCTCACTGCTCTGGGGATGGTTTGTTTGGACTCAGAAGGCCTCTGGCCCAGGTAGCAGAGCTTTTTCTTTCTTCCTGCTGCCCTCCAGGTTTCCTCGGGTCCCTGTGCACTGCTCTGTTTGCCTCTTATGCAGTACAAGGAAAGCCACTTGTACAGTGGGGAAGAGACATGCTGAAGGTGGTCCCCCTGGCTGAGGGGTACTGTAGGAAGACCATCCGGCACATGGCAGGTGAGCCCGTCTTCCTGACCCACTGTTTTCTCCTATACCCCAAGCACATGTGCTCGCATCCAACCCGAGTCCTGCCCCGGCCGCCCAGCAACTCTAGGTGCTCACCCAAAGGCAATGCCTAGAGAAGGCCTTGGTCAGTGTGGGAAGACTTGACTTCCTAAAGGTCCTCACCTGGCATGGGCAGACACCTGCTCCAAGTGGTTCCAGGACCTCAAGGAGAACCACACCGGTGGCTTCTTCCCCAGTAGCCTGAGGTCCCTAAGACCACCCACACCCTCTGCATCTCCAGGCTGACGCCAAGTGTCTGGTGCTATAGAGAACTAGACATAGAGGAATGGATTGCACACACATTTCACACAGCCACACCCTAACCTGTGCTTGACCAAAGAGATATATCCCCTGCCACACACTTCCATCTGTACCAAGATGGGTCTCCATGCCACGAGCCTCCAGAGATCACTAAGGTTCTGTGTTCCCAAGGTTTCCCTCATTAATCCAGAGCCTGTCACTCTTTGGACATGGTCAGCCTGCTACTCAAAAATCCCAGGAGCACTATGACTTCCAGGGTTCAGGCACACAAGCAGCAAAGTATACCCCACCCTCCCCGACTTGACTTGGGAGTGCTGTACAATAGACACAGATACAGGGTCACAAAGGCAGGACCAGAAAACTCAGGGCTCACTCCGCAAGTCACGGAGGCTATGGAAGACCCTCTTGTCCCAGGACTGCTCTTCACTCTAAGAGGGACATGTGTGAGTAACGAGTGCGGGTGGCACCATGTGTCCCTCCATGCACCTAAGTACGAGCAAACTTTCCAAAATAAGTCATCCGGGTGTCCAGAAAGAAGGGAGAATGTGAGCCCAAGGCCAAGGCCACTGCTTCTCCAAAACAGCATGAAGCTGAGTGACATGAAAGTCACCACAAGATTGTGGGGGGCTCTAGAGGATCCCAGAGCAACTTTGCAAGGACACTTAACACACAGGGGACACTTGCTTGGCCTCAGCACTGGAGGAAATTGGCTCTAACAGACGACTCTGGGCATTGTAGCTAGCTCACCTCTGAACTGTCCATCCCCCACTTACTTGGTCTCCATGGAACATTTATTTCATTAATTTTTGCTTAGTTTAAGCCATCATTTGTACAACTATGTTTTTTACCTTTTTGCTTCTGGGGGGCCCACCACCCAGCTCCCAAATAAATCACACACAGAGGCTTATTCTTAATTATGAGTGCCCAGCCTTAGCTTGGTTTGTTTCTAGCCAGCTTTTCTCAGATTAAGCCGCCTACCTTTTCCCTCTGGGCTTCTATCTTTCTTACTTCTGTATATCATACTTTCCTTCTTACTCCGTGGCTGGGTGGCCGGGTGGCCGGGTGGCCGGGTGGCCGGGTGGGTGGCCCCTGACGTCCTCCTCTCCTTCTTTTCTTGTTCTTCTTTTTCTCCTCATTTCTCCTCTCCCCCTGCCAGCCCCGCCTATCCTTGCTCTGTCTCCCTATTGGCCATTCAGCTCTTTATTAGACCATCATGTATTTTGGACAGGCAAAGAATCACAGCTTCACCGAGTTAAACAAATGCAGCATAAACAAAAGTCAACACCTTAAAATAATGTTCCCCAACAATCATTCATTCCCTGGTTCCTGTGTCTCAAATGAGCTCAGATGTCCCCTGAAGGTCCCCCAATGCTGCTTACAGAGAGTGGGCTGTTTCTTTATTCTGAACAGTGTCACCAGATGCCCCCCAAGACTGGAAGGCAGTTGCTATGATAGAGTAGACCCTTACAATACAGCATTGACATTGCTAAGGGACACCCAGGTGGCTATTTTTGAAGTGTGCCATCCACGGGGACATGAACCTAAGAACAGAGTTCACAGCCAGGACATTTGGGGACTTAACTCTTTCTGGAAGGTGACCCCCCAAGAAACAGTCCTATTTTGTGTTTGTTTAACCAGAGTTTTGGGAGCTCCTTAGACACGAGCTTTCAACGGGGTCTAAGCTCACCCAGAAAGAGTTGTTCTGTTAACATCCTTGGAGAGTGTCCCTGGAGCTCCCTCTCTGAGGTGCAGCTGAAAGACTCCCTCTCTGAGGGGCAGACCTCGCTTGTCCTGGGCTCTGGGCCTGGAAATCTGCCTGCTGGGCTGCTCTCCCCTGTTCCCTGGGTAGAGGTGGTACTGGGACCACTGCTGCCCCGAGCAGGCATTTCACCTTTAGAGATATTCAAGTATTCAGCCTTGGAAGCCCAGTAGATCCAGAATCCCAACATGCTAGTGGGAGAAGCTGTCCCAGCAGCTCCTGGCTTCTCCAATGCAGCCTCAGCTCACCGCCCTGGAGCCCTTTACTCCCTCTGCTCTGACTCTGTTCGTGGCTGTCCAGCCATAGACAGAACACAGGGTCTTGATCTTTATCTTCAGCCTTGTCTCCCAGACCTTCCCAGCCCCTAAAGGCCAAGGCATTCCCCATCTTCCATTGCCTCCAGGGGAGGAAAAGCTGTGAGCCTCCCAGAGCAGGCACCTCTGTTTCCTGCTGCTCGGAGTCTCTAAGGGCTTGGTCCTCTGGAAGATGAGTGCCCTCCTCATCAGAGATGCTAGCCAGGGGGGCTGCAGCTTACTTGCGGCTTGGGTGTCAGGCTATCAGTGATAATGAAACTTCTCTTACTGTTGCAGGTCCGGGTTTAAGCTAATCAGAACACAGAATTCCCTGTTGGTTTTGCTTTGGATTTCTGGGTCTTTTTTGTTTGGGAAATTTTTCTTTGTTTCTTCCTCTTTTCTTTCTTTTTTTCCCCAGTGTCTTACGCATGCTAGACAAGCACTCTTAACCCCGAGCTACATCTCCAGCCCTAACTAATTAAAACTATAGGCTCAAGCTCACCTGTGACCACTCTCTGCCTCAGAGAGCAGTTAAATAGCCCTGGCCCTGTTCTGCTCCCTCTCCGTCTTCTGCCCTGCTGTTGGAAGCAGCCACACCTATCAGGGCTGCTTCTTTGGGGTACAGGTAGTCCATCCCCGCACACCCACAGCAGGGAGAAGGCACTGCCCACCTCTCCCATCCCCATGCCCACCTCTGCCGGGCACCATCAGCCTACCTGCCCTGTGCTTGCACCTAGAGTACCAGGAGCACTGGTTTTACTTCGAGGCAAAATGGCAATTTTATCTGGAGGAAAGAAAAATCAGTGAGGACACAGAGAACAAGGCCACCTTCCCTGGCAACTACGATGCCCAGGAGCGAGACAAGGTAAGTCCAGCCCCAGGCCTGGGATGGGCCTGAGCAGATGGAACTCAGCCAGGGCACCGAGTGCGTGAGCCAGACGGGCGGGCGGGCGGCAGCCACAGGGGAAGACGTGAGTCTTTCGCCAGGCACACAATGACCCATGGTTCTCCTCAGACATACAGGAAGTGGAGCTCAGAAGGCCGAGGGGGACGACGCGGCCATGATGCCCCCATGATCGCCTATGATGCCCTCCTTGCTGCAGGGAGCGACTGGACTGAGCTGTGCCAGCGGGCCATGTTTCACGGAGGTAAGGCGTCCTCCTCTGTGGTGGATACTCCCAGAAGGTACAGACCCTGTGTGTTTAGGACCCACAGACATGGGGTTCAGCCAGACACCCAGAACACAGGCCCATCCCCATTGCTGGACACACTCTGCAGTCTCTGACTGCAGCAAAAGCACACTAGCATCAGGACCACAGATACAGCTGCAGTAACCCACTTTGGTGTGGCCCACAAGCCTGCCAGTCTCACGGGTGACCCCTGTCAAGACAGTGACCAGGTGCAGGGACTCTTCCCTTTCCAGCTGCTCACTCAGAGCAGGTAGGTCTCCCTCAACCCAACCACACAGGCTCTGCCCCTCGGCAGTCCTGTGGCCTGTACAGAGCCACACATTTTATAGCCAGCTTCCTGGGCCTGGGTGAAATGCTTGTCTTCCTGAGGCCCGCTGCTCGCTGGTGGCCTCACTCTGTGGGCTTGCCAAGTGTGAAAACAAGTGGCGAGACTACGTGTCAACCTACCGCCCAAGCAGGGCTCCACAAACACGAGGCTCGCTAGTGTTTGCAGAGGCACAGTCCTTCAGCTACAATAACCCAAGCCCACGCTGCTGGAGCCATCTGTGAGCATCCGGAGCAGACTGGCTAGGAGGAGGGCATAAAAGGGTTGGGATAAAGTGGGTGGAGTCACTTCATACGACCAATATAGGCCGGAGCATGCTGTCCAGACAGGAAGGTAAAATGTACACAATTGGATCCCTTTGTCCTTGCAAGCAGGGGTAGAGTACATGCAGAATTCACTCACTTGAGGCAAGCTGTGAGAAAGAGGGCTCCAAGGTGCCCGGCATAGCCAAGAGTGAAAGGTGGACTTGGGTGGCTGAGAGAACAAGGAAGTCATTGCCCTTGCCGTTGCCACTGGCCGCTGTCCCAAAGCAAGCGCATCTGGGTACAATTGGGTGTGTGGCCAGAGCCCTAAGCTGCCAATGGGAAGGTATATGTGGGACCAGAACTTTGATCCACAAACCATGTTGTGTCCCTCAGCTTTCTCTCAGCTTTTCTCTGAGAATGAACAACTTGTATCAGAGCCATCCTGGAGGCTGGTTTTACTGGAAGGACAGAAAGAACAGTTGTGGGAACTCAGGCTAGAGTGGCTCTTTGTCCTGATGCCATTCCTGGATATCTGTGTTCAGCCTCTCCCAGGACCAGCCCCCGATCTCTAGATATACAGGACTAGCCACCCCCCAAACCCCCCCCTCTAGGTATACAGCGCTAGCCCCCTTGTCTCTAGGTACACAGGACCAGCCCCGGGTCTATACAGGAGCAGACCCCAGTCTCTAGATATACAGGACCAGCCCCAGGTCTCTAGGTATACCTATGCCAAGAACAGCTGCCCTGACTTTCTCCCTCCATCCACAGCCACACACACACACTCATACTCACACACACACACACACATAAAGACATGGTGTTGCACACCTGTAATCCAAGCCCTGGGGAAATGAGGCATGAGGACCATAAGTTCAACGTCATACTTGGCTGCATGCTTGGTCCCAGCTTCATGCAATCCCGTTGCTCTCCTCACTGTGTGTGTGGGGGGGAGGGGGTGTACAAGTATGCTAGCACATGAGAGTGTGTCTGGAACATTATCAGGACTCAGAAGCAGCTCGAGGTCAGAGGTCATGTGAGGAGGAATCAGAGGGAGTTCCAAGATTCCCAGCCAAAGAGACGGGTGCCACATGAATTGGCGATCACAGTTCGGCTTTTCTTTTAGAACTGGCAAATTCTTGTAGCTTTAGATGCTGCATACGTGCACTCAACTGCGCTCATTTCACCGATTTAAAGACTTCCTGGAAAGCAAGGGGGGTGCAGGGGATGCAACTCAGTCAGCAGAGTGTTTGCTTAGTATGAACGAGGCCCCGGGCTTGATCCCCACAGCCACACACACACGCGCACACACACACACACACACATGCACACACTCACACACGCGCACACACACACGCACACACACACACACTCATACTCACATAAAGACGTGGTGTTGCACACCTGTAATCCAAGCCCTGGGGAAATGAGGCATGAGGACCATAAGTTCAACGTCATACTTGGCTGCATGCTTGGTAGCCTGAATCACATGAGACTCTGTCTCAAAAAAAAAAAAAAGTATGTGTGTGGGATGGGGGGTGAGGGGCTCAGCAGGTAACAGCCTCATAACCAGAGTTTAGTTCCAGGACATGGTAGAAGCAAAGAGCCACCTCCTATGAAATGTTGTAACCTTCACACAGGTGCAGGCATGCATGCATGCACACACACACTCACACAATACATGAATTACTAAAGTCTTTTACAAACTGGAGAAGAGAGGGCAGTGGGGCTCAGTGGGCAGTGTGCTCACCTAACATGCACCAAGCCCTCAAGTCAATCCCCAGCACCTCATAAACTGGGTGTGGTAGTAGCCCGGCCCATATGCCAAGCATTAGGAAGGTAGAGTCAAGACCATCAGAAGTTAAAGACTTAGCTTTAGCTCCGTAGTGAGTTCAAAGCCACCCTGGGTTGCGAAAGACCCTGACTTGAAAGCTAGGTCAGCCGTTGAGTGTGCTTGGGTTCAGTTTCTGGCATCTGTATGGTAGGTAACTCACAATCATCACAAATAGTAATTCCAGGGACTTTGGTACCCTCTTCTGGCCTCCGTAGGCAACAGACACACATATGGTTCACATACATTCATGCATTCACACATTCATACAAAGCACTCATACACATAAAAATAAATATTAAAAACAAACAAACAAAAGTGGGCTGTGGTTGTCTTGACCGCAAAGCAGAGACAGAAGGCAGTGAGCGAGCACACAGCTATCGGACACAGACAGCGCCCAGCGGGTTGTGCACATTCAGTTTTAGGGACCATTTTATGAATATTTTGGAGGTGAGCAACACATTTATGGGGTAAGATAACTCTTTTCTCCTCCCTGTTGTGATGGGCCAGATCGTCCTTTTAGGATATTTCTTCCCTCAATGCACTAGAAAAGCCCAGAAAGGGTAGATGGAAGCGCAGCATGGGGAAGCCAAGCACACACGTGTGACATGGGAAGCACACACGTGTGACATGGGAAGCCCTGGTGCCTGCCTGTCTGACACAGAGGGACAAGCTAACTGTGCGTCAAGCGCACTTGACCGGGAGACGCAGCTACCGCGCACAGCTACCGCGCACAGCTACCGCGCACAGCTACCGCGCACAGCTACCGCGCACAGCTACCGCGCACAGCTACCGCGCACAGCTACCGCGCACAGCTACCGCGCACAGCTACCGCGCACAGCTACCGCGCACAGCTACCGCGCACAGCTACCGCGCACAGCTACCGCGCACAGCTACCGCGCACAGCTACCGCGCACAGCTACCGCGCACAGCTACCGCGCACAGCTACCGCGCACAGCTACCGCGCACAGCTACCGCGCACAGCTACCGCGCACAGCTACCGCGCACAGCTACCGCGCACAGCTACCGCGCACAGCTACCGCGCACAGCTACCGCGCACAGCTACCGCGCACAGCTACCGCGCACAGCTACCGCGCACAGCTACCGCGCCACATTTTCTTGGCATCCTCACATTAACTCCTTTATGAGATTGCTCAGAGTCCAAAGATGGATCCCATGGCTACTGGTCAGTCAAGGAACTCCAGGCTTTGTTATGGAAGCTGAGGCCAGGCCCTTTTAGGTTTTCAGGCTGTACAAACAGGAACAGGGCTTGGGCTGTCTGCTGGGACTCCATTCTCCACTACTCATGACTGTCGGCTATCTGACACCACTGCGTCGGTTTGTGGTGGCAAGATGTGACCTGAATAGGGCAGAGAAGGGAAGCAGAATAGATCAAACAAGGGCATAGCGCTTAAAACTATGGCTGCCTCAGTAGCTGGCAGCCTGGTGCAGGGCAGTCCCGTTTATTTGGAGACAGGGTGCTGCAGTATACCGCTGGCTAGTCTGATACTTCCTAGCCCAGGCAGGCCCTGAACTCATGTCAATACACCTGCCTCAGCCTCTTGAGGGCTAGGATTACAACTGTCTACCGCTACACCTGTCCTCTCCAGGATGGTCTCAGAGATACAGGGGGAGCAGGCTCAGTCAGTGGGGACATCTCCACCCAGGACACACTTGTGTTTGCCATTTCAGGAGAGAGCGGAGCCACAGGGACCATCGCTGGCTGCCTGTTCGGGTTGCTGCATGGCCTGGCCACTGTTCCACGGGGCTTATACCAGGAACTGGAGCACAAGGGCAGACTAGAGGACTTGGGCACAGCCCTGCACCGCCTGTCCACAGAAGAAAAGTAAAGTGTTTCTGCCATTTTCCCTCCCAGAGGGCAGCCCATAGCACCCACACTCAGACTTAGAGCCTTCCCCTAGGAGAGGGTATACGTGAGCAGGTTCCACGCAAGAATCGCACTCCTCATGGGCTGTAATTCAGCTGTAACTTCTCCCTCTAATCCCTGTTTGCTATATAAAATACATTGTTTGTCCTACGAGAATGTTTTTCCTCACCCTCAATGAAGCCTGGTACACCGCTGCCAATGCCTTGTGTTTGCTGAGCACAAATCTCCAGATGCTTGGTGACAAGTTGTCTCCTGGACAATTGGTGTATTTTATTCTGCCCCCAAACCCGGTGCTGCTTGTTCATGTACCCGAACAACACTAACAGCCGTGGCCCTCCATTTGAGAGCCTTCCTCAGTCTTTCTACCTCTTAGCTGTATATTTATTTGTATCTGCTACCCACCGGCACGCGGTGTGGTGGGGCATCTCTCTCCAGGAGTCAGATGTGTTTGTTTGTTCCTCATTGTAGAGAGATTTGGTGATTTCAATATGTGCCCAAAGCAGTCATTTAGCCTCCTTGCCATGTTTTCTTTTGGGGGGGGTTCAAGACAGAGTTTCTCTGTATTGTTTTGGAGGCTGTCCTGGAACTCGCTCTGTAGACCAGGCTGGCCTCACAGAGATCCGCCTGCCTCTGCCTCCCGAGTGCTGGGATTAAAGGCGTGTGTCACCACCGCCTGGCTCTTGTTTTTCTTTTGTTGTTGTTTTGTCTTTTGTTTTGTTTTTTTGTTTTTGTTTTTGTTTTGGTTTTGGTTTTTCGAGACAGGGTTTCTCTGTGGCTTTGGAGGCTGTCCTGGAACTAGCTCTTGTAGACCAGGCTGGTCTCGAACTCACAAAGATCTGCCTGCCTCTGCCTCCCGAGTGCTGGGATTAAAGGCGTGCGCCACCATCGCCAGGCTCTTTGTTTTGTTTTTTATGTGCACATTTGTCTGTTTGAGGGTGTTAGATCCCCTGGAGTTGCAGACAGTTGTGAGCTACCATGTGGGTCCTGGGAATCGAACCTGGGTCTTCTGAAAGAGCAGCCAGTGCTCTTAACCACTAAACCATTTCTCCAGCCCATCCTTGCCGTGTTTTGGCTACTAAGCCTTGACTGAAATCTTTTTGAACAGGTACCTGAGAAATCCAGATAACAGACAATTTCCTGTGTCACATGGTGCACCTTGTGTGTAGGAGGAAGCCTTAGCCACCGTGTTCTGTTCCACAGAGGCTCCGCAGCAGGGGTTAGCTGGGAGTATGGGGAAGGTGATCACATGCTCCTGTTCCAACCATGGCTTTTGACATGGGTTTTCCTCAGTGGATGACCAGTATGAAGTCAGCCACTGTTGACAACAGACGGCTGGTGCTCGACCTGTCTCGTGGGTGCTGTGTTCTTCTCACAGGAGGCCTTGTCTCTGAGAAGAGCCAATACTGTCTGCATGAGAAGCTGGCAGGGTCCCTGGAAGCTCTGCGTGGGGGGCGGGGCTAGAGCAGAAAACTTTCACCAGTTGGAATCTGCATGGCCCCTAGGATGCAAACTCTCCATGGGCCTCAAGCGCTTCTGCGGGATGGTTGAACAGTATGCTATGGTGCTGCCTCTCCTTTTCCTTGTGATAAGATGTCCAGACAGACAGCAGGACAAGTGACTGCAGACTTCAGTAGTAAAGGTCACTGACACAGGCTCAGGGATGTGTTGGGACCTCCATCCCAGGTACCCTGTCCTCTTCTTCCTCGATCCTAGGGAACTATCTGCTTCTACTTACAATCCATTATTAAAGTCGGGGCAGTAACTCAAGGCAGGAACTTGGAGGAATGCAGCTGACTGACTTGCTCACACTCAGCTAGCTTCCTATACAACCCAAGACCACCTGCCCAAGGGAGGCACCTTCTACCATGCCCTGGCCCCTACACATGATTATTAATCAAGAAATTGCTCCACAGGCATGCCCATAGTCCAGTCTGACTGGGGCAATCCCACCATTGAGACTCCCTCAGATAACACTGGGATATATAGCAGAAGGCGATAGCAGAAACTAAGAGACAGAGAAAACAGTCCACTGTTGGGCACACAGCATCCTGATTTGGATGTTTCATGCTGAGCTACAAGGACAGACAAGGGACAGGCAAGGGACAGGTTGGTACAGTGACCGCAAGACGCTTGAGTCACTACAGAGGAAGTGATTGCAAAGCCACCTGTAGGCAGGTAGAGACGGTGGTCCCACAGCTTGTTCAGACAGGGGTAAGAAATGGCAGCATCATGGCCCGCCAATTGGTAGACACCACAACATATCTTATAAATTACAATTTGCCATGGCCCCTGTGTGCCCTGCAGTAGCGGTGTGGTTCAGGGTGTGGTGTCCTAGCAGGTTAAGAAATGGGTCTCTCTGATGGATACTTGGCAGTCATACTGAGCCCCGGAGTTTATCTGAGACCTCTCTTCTCCTGCAAGGAAACTGAGACAGAGGTGCACTCTGTGCCAGAGGATGTTCAGAGCACAGCAGAGACCAGCGATGCTGGCACAGCCCCTGAGCGTGGGCAGCCCAGTGAGGTCCAGCCACCCTAGCATAGTCCCTGACTGTGGGGCAGCCCAGTGAGGTCCAGCCACCCTAGCATAGTCCCTGACTGTGGGGCAGCCCAGTGAGGTCCAGCCACCCTAGCATAGCCTGTGATCGTGCACAGCAATGCTGGCACAGCCCCTGAGCGTGGGCAGCCCAGTGAGGTCCAGCGACCCTAGCATAGCCTGTGATCGTGCACAGCAATGCTGGCACAGCCCCTGAGCGTGGGCAGCCCAGTGATGCCCGAAACTCTAGCATAGTCCCTGACTGTGGGGCAGCCCAGTGAAGTCCAGTGACGTTGGCATAGCCTCTGACCATGCCCAGTGAGGTCCAGCGACCCTAGCATAGCCTGTGATCGTGCACAGCAATGCTGGCACAGCCCCTGAGCGTGGGCAGCCCAGTGAGATCCAGCGATCCTGGCATAGCCCTTGACCATGAGGCAGCCCAGTGAGGTTCTACTGACCACAGCTGATGCGGTGATATTTTGTTTGTGCTCTAACAAATAAAGCACTCTGGGGTTCAGAGTGCTGAGCTAGCCACTACTTAGCCATAGAAGCCAGGCAGTGGTGGCACACACCTTTGATCCCAGCACTTGGGATCTTATGCCTTGGGAGGCATGCGCCTTTATTCCCAGCAGTCGGGAGGAGGAGATAGGAAGTGATGTGGCTGAGCGAACAGAGGAATATAAGGCGGGAGGAGACAGGAACTCACCCCCTGTTTAGACTGAGGAGCTGACAAGGTAAGAAGTGACTGTGGCTTGCTCCTGTCTCTCTGATCATTCAGCGTTTACCCCTCTATCTGACTCTGGGCTTTTATTATTAAAACTAATTAGATTCATGCTACAGAACTGGGCTGACCCAAGACTGCAAGTGCTCAAATAGGGACGGGCGGGGTTTGAGGTCTGCTGTCCCCTTTCTTCAGTAGAAGCCGTGATGATGACATTCCTGAGGGCTGAGCAGCCTGGGTGTGTCCTGAGACGATTGTCCTGTCCTAAATGACCTTGCCTGCCTGCCACTGATGCCTAAATTAGGAAAGTTTATGGGCCCGTTTGTGTTGGCCATGAAGGAGAAGATTCTGTTCCATCCTGGGCCAGACTCTATAGCTCATCTAAGTACCTAAGGACGTGGAAAAATGGGCTTAGTCATGTCTACACATGGCAGCTGAGCAAAGAGTGTCTCACACGGGGAGTGTAAGGCCCCACAGCTATCCTGGGGCTTCAGTGTGAGTGTGAGGATTCTGGAATGTTCTGGCGTAGATTAGGTCAGAGGGGCCAGCAGCTCAGACCTGGAGTGGGTGGGAAGAGACCACAGGAGATAGCGTGGCCTCGGGAAACAGCACAGAGGAATCTCTGTAGGATTGTGGCGGAGGACCCACAGCTAGGAAAGTCACCTTGGAAGGAGCCCTGGATAGGCATGCGGGGTGAGCAGCATCATGCCCGTGGAGGGGAGGAAGCAGATCTGTAAGGAGGGGCAGGAGGGGCTGGCCCACACGCTGTTTACAGCTGCCCACAGAGCCAGGTGAGCCAGGTGTCTATAGGGGCCACACCAGCCCAACCACGGCCATCTGCCAACGCTGGCCCTGGTTCTGGGGAGTTTGTGGGCACTGGGGTAAGTAGAAAAGAAAGAAAACTCCCTACCCACATGATGCCTTTGCTGCAGCAGAGGGTTGTGGGCCGAAATAGAATGGCTCTTAAAATTGCACTAGGAACTCAAAGCAGCCACATGGTAGCCGGCTGCCCTGATGGTGTGGTAAGGAGCAGCCATGGGCTATGAGCTTGCAATTGCCCTGAAGAGGGCACAATGACACTGTGTCCCGACAGCCTGGCACTCGCTGTTTTGAGGACAGAATGCCTCAGGCAGATTGCACTAAAGCAAAGATCTTGAGATGAGACCAGGCCAGAATTCCATTTCCCGAGGCTTACTTCATCTTGAGCCTGCCAGGAGTTGGAAGTACATGAGAGTGTGGGACCGGAGATCAGGGGAGGTCTCCTGGAAGAGGACAGAAGCTCACTCACAGCCACAGCGTGACCTGGAAAATGATAAGCAAAGGTCCACATGAAGGAGGGAATTTGGTTAATAATGATTGTTGAACACTTTAACTCACTGGAGTGGGCTGTAAAATCCCGCTTTACTCATCTCTTACAGTGCAGAAATTCTCTCCTGCTTTAGAGCCAGGGTGTGACAGTGCCACTGTGCGGGAGGGCCAGATGGGACAGAGACACAGTGTGCCGGGGCCACAGTGTGACAGGGCCAGGCGTGGCCCACTTGAAAAGAACTTAAGTCCCTGCTCTAATCTGTTAATCCTGGCCCGTAACTCTTAGGAAAGTGTCTGAGATCATCTGAGATGATCATGGGAGCTCTGGGAAACTTTCTGAAACTCCATCTGGGGCTGTTAGCTAAATCCCCATTTCGTGTCTGCCGAAGAAGTCAGACTGAAGGCAGCAAGCCGTCTCAGTGTTGGTCCCTGGTGATGGTCAGGAGGTAAGCTGCTGGACAACACCTTGGCAACATGCAAGCTTCTGATTGCGAGCTGACATGTGACGCAGCATGCCTTTGACCCAGACAGCAGGATGGATTTAGAAACACCAAATCTCTTCATCTAAGACACTCAGCAAGCCTCCCTAAAAGTATCCTGCTTACACACTGACCAGAGCAGTAGGCACTGTGAACCCTGGCATGAGGTGTGTGGAGAGACTAGGCTGTCCCTTCTGTGGTGGGAGAAGCTGTACAGTTAATGCCAGCTGGGTTTCTCATTTCTCCCTTTAGACCGTGGTGTCGGGAGGCCTCAGAGAGGGACTCTGGAATGATACTCAATGTCCTGCATGGTTGGACTCGTGGCCTTTAGTCAGTGGGTCAAAATACCTCCACTACTTGTCATCCGTATGGTTATTTCCGTCATCCTAGTGACTCACCTGAGAAGTCACTAAGACAGCTGAAATATTCTAGTCAGCCTCACAAGCTGTGTGACCATAAAGATCCAAGAGGTACCGGGCCTTTGAGCCTCCTCATAGCGCCTGAGCCAGGTGAGTCTCTCTGCATCCCAGGCCTGGGGAGCAAGACCCTCGTGTCTCCACAGGCTCGGTGACTCCTGGGGACTCACACAAGAGGACTGTGGGGGCCCGGTGTGGGGCACGTAGTTGGGAACTGGTGGCAATAATTGTCAAGCTTCCCATGGAGACTTTAGAGTGAAGCATGTATAGTCCAGTCCAGACCCTGCTGGAGGGTACGGAATTTGTAACTGCAGATATGTGAATTCAGCCTGCACTGAGTCCCAGGCCCCGCCTGAGATCGTATGTGCCGACTGACATTCATGATGGAATGGCGGGCACATCCTAAAACCAGACCCACAGAGTCTGGTGGCAGCAACAAGGACAACACAGGAAGGGTGTGACTGTACCCATCCTAGGGCGATATGGATTAGAGATGGCGGGCTCTGAGCAGCACAAAGACTAGCCAAGGAGAGCAGAGCTACTGGGTGTGGCAGGCAGAGGAGGGTTCCTGTAGTGTGGTCTGTGGCCATCAAGAGCATGGACACTGCTGGTTGTCGGGTTCATTGTGTGTGTGTGTGTGTGTGTGTGTGTGTGTGTGTGTGTGTGTGTGTGTGAGGCATGCAAGCCTACAAGGGGCGGAGAATGTTTCCTGGGGTCAGTGATGGTCTGACCTGTCTTAAAGCTGTAGGGCCCTGTGACTGTAGGGGGTGTAGGCTAGGAAGGCACCTGTGTGCCCAAGGGGAACGGTTAATAGGAGAAGAATTTGAGGTGTTAGGGTTTAGTTCATAGGCATGCAATGTGCCAGTGACACCCAAGATACCCAGACAGAAGCTTGTATCTAAGCAGCTGCCAAAAGCCAACCCCAAGTTGTAGAAGTTAATGGCCACCAGTTCCAAGATGCCCCAGGAAAAGAAAAGACACCACCCACAGCCAAAACCAACCCACTTCCAAGACAGTACCATCTTACCTCAGAGGCAGGAAATCTGGGACCCCTCACATCCGTGCAACTGTGCACGGATTTTCTCGAGCCCAGCAGTGGCACATAACCACCCCCTCCCCCAACGCTGTTCCTCCCACAGCTGTGAAGACGTGCAGGTGACTTCCCAGGATGCACAAACCCCCGAGAGTCACTCAGCTGACGCTGCCCCAGGGTGGTGAGCCCCCTCAGACGAACGGAGGTCTCTCTCCACCCAGGGCAGCTTCCACGGTGCCAGATGAGTCTGGAGAGATATGTCCATAGGCTATCTGAATGGGAGACAGCTCAGGCAGCTGGACTGTGACAACCAGTTGTCACAGCATCAAGCCTGAGCTCTGAGTCTGCTGGCTTCTCAACTCCAAAACAGACCAAAGGCGTGTCTTTCCACTCGGGGCCCAAGGGAGTGTTGGGGCTGCCCCAGGATTGGTTTACTCTCGAAAGGACACAGAGCAGCCACTTCCAGGTGGGCAGGATTGGCCTCCGAGTCCTGATTACTCAGAACAATGGCGTTCTTGGTGGTGGACAGCACAGCTGCTGCTGCGTTTGGTTATTTTTGCACCGTGGTCATTGCTGTACACCGTGCTTACTCACGCCCCGCTAAGGCTTTGTGGGAGCTCATGATCCAGCTCTCGTTAATACCCCTATCTACATGCCAGCTCTCTGAGTGGACGCCGGTCTCAGCGTGGACAGACCTCCTTGTCCCTGGTAGTGCTCAGGGTCAGCACCAACCCAAAGGCCCAGTAAGTCCTGACTCTGAGAACCAGTCCCAGGGGTCCTCCAAGGGCTCCAGTGCTGTCTTAGTTAGGGTGGCTATCGCTGCTATGAAACACCATGACCAAAACAATTTGGGAAGGAAAGGGTTTGTTTGGTTTACACTTCCACAGCACTGTTCATTGTCAAAGGAAGTCAGGTCTCAAACAAAGTGGGAACCTAGAGGCAGGAGCTGATGCAGAGGTCATGGAGGGGTCCTACTGGTGCTGATGCAGAGGTCATGGAGGGGTCCTACTGGTGCTGATGCAGAGGTCATGGAGGGCTGCTGCTGGTGCTGATGCAGAGGTCATGGAGGGGTCCTACTGGTGCTGATGCAGAGGTCATGGAGGGGTCCTACTGGTGCTGATGCAGAGGTCATGGAGGGGTCCTACTGGTGCTGATGCAGAGGTCATGGAGGGGTCCTACTGGTGCTGATGCAGAGGTCATGGAGGGGTCCTACTGGTGCTGATGCAGAGGTCATGGAGGGGTCCTACTGGTGCTGATGCAGAGGTTATGGAGGAGTCCTACTGGTGCTGATGCAGAGGTCATGGAGGGGTCCCACTGGTGCTGATGCAGAGGTCATGGAGGGGTCCTACTGGTGCTGATGCAGAGGTCATGGAGGGCTGGTGCTGATGCAGAGGCCATGGAGGGGTCCTACTGGTGCTGATGCAGAGGTCATGGAGGAGTCCCACTGGTGCTGATGCAGAGGTCATGGAGGGCTGCTGCTGGTGCTGATGCAGAGGTCATGGAGGAGTCCCACTGGTGCTGATGCAGAGGTCATGGAGGGCTGCTGCTGGTGCTGATGCAGAGGTCATGGAGGGCTGCTGCTGGTGCTGATGCAGAGGTCATGGAGGGCTGCTGCTGGTGCTGATGCAGAGGTCATGGAGGGCTGCTGCTGGTGCTGATGCAGAGGTCATGGAGGGCTGCTGCTGGTGCTGATGCAGAGGTCATGGAGGGCTGCTGCTGGTGCTGATGCAGAGGTCATGGAGGGCTGCTGCTGGTGCTGATGCAGAGGTCATGGAGGGCTGCTGCTGGTGCAGAGGTCATGGAGGGCTGCTGCTGGTGCACTCCTCATGGCTTGCTTAGTCTGCTTTTTTGTTTGTTTTTGTTTTTCGAGGCAGGGTTTCTCCGTAGCTTTGGAGCCTGTCCTGGCTGGCCTCGAACTCACTGCCTCCCCAGTGCTGAGATTAAAGGAATGCACCACTACTGCCCTGCCTCTTTTTTGTTTTGTTTTGAAATAGAACCCAGGACTCCCAGCCCAGTGTCAGCACCACTCACAATGGGCTGGGCCCTCCCCCATTAACCACTAGTTAGGAAAATGCTCTGTAGATTTGCCTGCCTATGGCCCATGCTATCCAATTGAGGTTCCCCCTCCTATCAGCTGTGTTAAGTCAACTCTATTAAGTTGACATTAACCTAACCAGGATAAGAGTAATCTTATGAAAATGACAATAAAATATGTAAGCATTGTGGGTTTTCTGTTTGTTTTCCTACAGCTCCAAGAACAGCAAGATTTCCTGTGAGAAGATGGCCGTCGATGCACAGACCCTGAAGAAAAAGATCAGCAGGACATGTGACGAGGCAGCCCGCACCCTCCTCAACAGCCTCCTGCTTTATGTCTTGGACCGTGCAGATGGGCCCCAGAAGGCAGAAGACAGAGCAACCAGAGCCAACCGCCCATCCCAACTCCAGGATGTGGGCCGGAGACCCACACGGTTCCAGCTTCTCCAAGCTAAGTTCATGGGCACTGGCCGGGAGCCCCACCTCAAGAAGACCCGGGAAGTGGGCCGACTGATCTCCAAAGACAAGCAGGGAGCTGGTAGGAGTTTTGTAAATGCCACTATCAGCAAGCTCCTAGAGAAGACCAAGGAAGGAGCCAACAGTGCCAGCCAGAGGCCCCCAGCCAGCGAGAAGCCGCGGTGGAGCCCCACAGGTGGGAAGAGCACTGTGAAAAACATCCTGAAGAAGTTCTTAGCTGCAGAAGAGAAGGAAGCTAAGGAGAAGGAAGCCCGTGAGAAACCCCCCGCCCCAAGACCAGGAGCTGCCAGGGGCCTTCTGCCAAGAATTGTGGGCCGGAGCTCCATCCTGTCCAAGCTGAGAGAAAGATTTGAGCAGAGCGGCTGCCTGCACTCGGAGGCTGGAGTGCTGCCGCTGCACAGGGATGGACGGAAGAGCCTCCAGAAGAAGAAAGTGCACAAGCCGCAAGTGCGGGTGCTCCACATCGCTACCATGGCTACCAGCTGCACCAGAACTCCCCCCGCCCGGTTCCTGGCCTGCACAGCTGAGCCCCTGCCAGCCCTCAGCATTGCCACCATTGTCTGTGGCCCCCAGAGCTGGCTGTCCCATTGTGCAAAACTCAGTCACTCGGAATCTAGGCGCTGGCCCATTGCAGAAACCATCATGCCCTCCAGCTCAGAAAACCTGGAGCCCGGAGGAAACACATCACAAGGACTGGTGAATGAGGGTCACAAGGAACAACTAAAGTCCTCAGTGTCCCAGGCAGCGGCTTGTGTGGATAGTCACATGGCTGTGGACATGGATTTCTCTGGAATGCCTACCAAAAGCCAAGCCCTGCCTGGCCATGTACCAGTGTCGTCCCCACTTGGACGGAACAGTCCCAGAGATACTGAGCTGGTTGGAAAGGACAGAAGAGCAGAGCCCAATACAAAAGAGGTGGCCGCTGAGCCCCAGGGAGTGAAGGAGAATGCAAGGGGGGGCCCTGGAATCACCATGGCTGTGTGCAGCTCTGAGGGGGAGGCAGAAAGGACACCTTCGGGCTCAGAAAGAGAGCCCTTCTTCGCCTTCCAATGGCACCTGCCAGAGCAGGAGACAGGGTTACTGGTCCCATCCCTCGCCCCTTTAGCAGTCCAGGCTGAGCGGCGAGCACAGCCCGCCATCAAGCCTCCACAAATAACAGTGCAGCTTCCCATTGTTCACGAAATGCCCGCCTCTCCCGGCCCTCTGCACCGTGCGACAAGTCATGAAGACAAATGTCCTCGACTCTCGAGAAGAGAGGATGTGACTGAAAATAAGCAAGCAGCATTTCCCACTGTGAGTGAGGACAGGAGAGGTCACCAAGCCCCAACAATACTGAGTAAACCCTGTGGGATGCCAGTGAGCCTCCAACCTGCGGCAGGAGACGGACCCCGGGAAGACATAAGCGATGGCACCCGGGTGGACGGGGATGCCTCGCAGACGTCCCTAATTCCAAATCCTTCAAAAACTGTCCCTGGTGGAATGGAGACAAAGCGCAACCTTGAGAACTCGCGTGACCTCGGGAATTGCGGTGGCTCTTCGGAAGAGCGCATCTCTGAACTCAACTGGGAAAGGCGTTTATGTCCAGATTCGAATGAAGCCCCTACAGCTAGCAATGGCTCCTCAAGTTATCCCACTGTTGGGAGATGCTATGCAGGAGTGGGCACCAGCCTGGCCACTGACCTCCAGCAAGGGGTACCCCCCACAGTGCTGCTGCCACCCCAGGCCTGCGTAAGGCCTGCAGGTTCTATAGCATCAGGCAAGAGCATCCAGTTTGGACAGGAAGAGCATAAACGGCCCCTGAATGAGTCAGTTTCACCCCCAAACATCGCTCAGGAAAATGTCAGCCACGATTTGAGCAACAACAGCCAGTCCACATTAGATAATGAACAGCCAATTACAAGTATCAAAGCTTCTGGAGAGGTTGCAACTATAGGGACTGTCACTGGTCTCACAGTACCACAGCCAAGTGGTACCCAGAACCCTGAATACAAGATAACAGCATGGCCAGCTGGTGTTCAGGACAGCAAACACAAGATAATGCCACATATGAATGATTCCATGGATGCCGGATACAAGAAAACGCCACAGACAAGTGGTGCCCTAGCTGTCAAAGACAAACAGATGTCATGGGCAGCTGGCACCCGGAACAATGCACACAAACTGCCACATGTTTCCCAGGACACCGAACCCAAGTCGACACCACTTCTAGGAACTTCCCAGGAGCCTAAGCACAAGCTAGCACTGTGGCCAAGTGATACTCAGAACGTTGAACACAAGGCAACACCACACCAAGATAGCACCCAAGACCCCAAACATGTGGCACTATGGCCAGGTGGTACCCAGGATAGTGAGCTAAAGATAGCACAGTCACACGGTGCCCAGGACCCTGAACAAAAGGCGGTATCACAGATGGGCGACACCCGAGATGCTGAGCACAAAACAACCGTATGGACAGCTGATGCCCAAAACCCGAGACTGAAGGCAACAATGCAGCCAGGAGGTACCCAGGACGCTAAATACAAGATAGTGCCCCAAGCACGTGGTACCCAAGACACTGAGCACAAGATGACAGCCCGGGTGGGGGATGGTCAGGATGTTGAGCCAAGGCCTGAAAACAAGACAATGCCAGGCTCAGGCAGTGTCTGGGACTACAAAGAAAAGAAAACACAAAAGCCCAGCATCCATCCTTTGGTGTCAAGCAGGTCCTCAAAGGAGGAGAGTAGAGCCGCTGAAGGAAGCATCTCAGAAGACTCGGTGCAGAGCCGTCTCCTGATGTCGGCAGCCCCAGCTGTTCAGCCGGGGCAAGCTGCAGCTTCTTCCCCGGGCCTTGTTGAGTCTCCACCGCCTGTTTCAAGTGAGCCGGCCCTGAGAAAAAGCAGTTCAGGATCAGAGAACAAAATTACAGCCATGGAGAGCGTGGCATCCCCAAGGCCACAAAAGTACCCGGCAGAGTATCCGGGTCACTCACAACTCCCATCTGTGGGTCATCAGGCACCGGATGGAAGGCACCCTGGGAAAGAACAACACTTCCCTGCAGCACACTCCCCTACGTGTGCTCTAAGACCAGCCACAAAACAGGAGACCCGGCAGGAGGAGCCAACCGATGGTCCAGAACCTCCTGTGCCCACCCAGAAAGCAGAGCCCAGGTCTGTCCCCCAGGCAAAAACCTTGGGGAGCGAAACCAAAGAGAATCTCCCAATCCAGCGGGACATGGGCAGGCCACAGAGTCACCTTGGATCAGAGAAAACTGGTACAGGACATGCAAGATTACACCAAACCGGACAGTCAGACGTTCTGTGTGTGGCAGAGCCTCGGGCATGTGTTTCTCGGGACCTCGTAGTGACTGAAAGGATGCCAGCTGAAGAGAGTCCCTGGCAGCACGGGGACAGGGCTCAGGAGCATCCCCTGAGGCCACTGGAGAGGCAGGAAAGGAGCCCAACTCAAAGAGACAGCCTTCGGGCTGGTAAGAGCCTCGCCACCCCCGGGAGCCCAAGGAAGCCTTGTGGCCTGGCTATGCAGACACGGACCCAGAGTCAGGGAGAGGCAAGCCACCCACTACCTCAGGCCTGGGGACAGCCTGACAGCACAAATGAAGACAGACCCTCTGCTGGCACAGGTGGGGAGCCTCCAAGTCTGAGCCCCATACTTGACGGTCAGCGGAGCCCAGGCGCCTTGCACCTGCCCCAAGAAGGCCAGTCCCTGGTTAGTAGCAGGGCCACAGTCTGCTCCCTGGACACAGCAGCTGACACTCCCTCGCTCACATCTAATGCCGGGGGCCACCCGCTCTTCCAAACCTTTGCCCAGGATGGGCCCCCAGATGCCCCTAGGGCAGAAAAGGACCTATCAGACCATAGGCACCGCAGGTCAGTGCACTTCACAAAATACCGTGCCCAAAGCTTCCGAGACCAGAAAGCCTTCGAGCTGTCCTTTAGGCCCAGAGTCCTCAGGGCCGGGGACACCTCTGAGCCCCCAAAGTGAGAAGTCACTTTGAGCAACACGCTTGTCTCTATGAACATGATTTTGAACATGCCCTGCAGAGAGAATGTAGACATTAGCTCCCTCCTGTCCTCTCACTTCCCAAGAACTAACCCTGGCATGCATGTGGAAGGTGCTGGCCATGCTCGGAGCAGCTGTGAGGCTTCTCAAGATGAGGAAGAAAGTCAGCTATCCAAGGCTGCTGCCTGTGACACCATTGTCACAGGTGATGTGTGACCAGCACTGGGACGTGGAAGACACTGTGCACTCACTGCTGTCTTGGCAGAGGGGAGGTCAGAGCCATGGGCTGCCCTCTGGTCCCCAGAGCTTCCCAACCATGCCCCTGCCTACTCCCCAAAGTCAGTGCCGGTGACCTACGACATGAGCCTTACCTGTGTAGGGAGCCCAACGCTTGCCGAAGCCGTGTTCCACTTCTAGGCTGGTACCAGAGTCTTAGTTTAGAAGTGGGTGATGACTTAAAAAAAAAAAATAGACTGTCACTGTTACTGCCTAGCATCCCTAGCGGATTCATGAAGCAACTCTCTCAGCCAAGCTACACGGGTTCCCATTTTCAGACGCTGACTGCATTTCTTTCTTTCCTTCTCTCTCTCTCTCTCTCTCTCTCTCTCTCTCTCTCTCTCTCTCTCTCTCTCTCTCTCTCTCTCTCTCCCCCTCTCTCTTTGGGGATGGGGGTTGGTTTTGGTTTTTCAAGACAGGGTTTCTCTGTGTAGCTTTGGAGTAGTCTGTCCTAGAACTCACTCTGTAGACTAGGCTGGCCTTGAACTCTCAGAGATCTGTCTGCCTCTGCCCCACTACCGCCTGACGACTGGGATTAAAGGTGTGCACCACCACCGCCCGGCAAAAGACTGCCTTTCTGTCTGGAGCATTTACTGTCTCAAGGTAGATGAGGAAGGTGACAGTCAGACTGAGTCTTGTGTTTCTATGCATACATCTGAGCAGTTTGCTCCTCTCCAAGCTCTGCTCATCATGCCCCACCGAAACGCAGAAGAGCTGAGGTGGTGATCAGCGTCCCAGGACATTCTCCTTCGGGTGGTGATTTCCTTAGCTCCTGCCCTTTGGAGACCTGCTGTTCACTTTCCCCACAAGTGAGAAATTCCCTAAAGTGCTCTCCCTGCTCCAGAAACAACTCTCTACCCTCTGGGACTTCCTTTGTTTTCTAAATCAAATATCTACAAGAATGTCCTGTCCTACCCCTGAGAGGCTGACTATGGGCGTCACCACCCCAGTTCAGGGATGCCTGAGTGGACAAATGGCATTGCACTGGAACCTGAGCCCCTGATCAAGCAGGAAGCACAAGGTTTTGTGTATTGAGCTCAGTGCTCCCCCTGTAGAAGGCAGGGGTCCTCATCCCTGTCGTGAGCCTTTGCTGAAGTTACAGGGCTATGTGAACTTCCTGAACTTGTGAACTTCCTGAACACTGCCCCCTTGTGTTCCACCCTGGGTCATACCCCGTGTCCTGGGGTCCTAAGGAGATAGATGCCTTGGTTTTTGTTTTTCAAGCCCAGCCAATATTGAGGGTACATAGAGCTTCAGTGTGCAATGATTCCCTACCCTACCCAGAGTCTCTATGAAGCCAGATCTAGAGACTATGAGACAGGAGAGTAGGCATGGTCCCCGCAGAAGCCCCAGAGCTCCTAGGGGCCTTTTCAAAGTTATCAACAAGATCCGCTCACACCACCAGGGGTCGCCATGGAGTTGGGAAGAGGCCAACTCCAGGTATGGCTGTCTCCCACCAGACAGGTGCAAAACCAGTTTATTTATTTTTTCTTTCTTTACACACTTTGTTCCACAAAGGATGTGAGACAATATTTGATTAAAAGCATGAGACAGACGGCAAACATTGCCTGCCAATGGGCATCCCTTTAAAAATGGTCAGTAATAGGACTTTGTTGAAGGATTTTGTTCATTTGTGTGTTTTTAAATTGGAGTAATTTTGCAGGAAAAAAAAAGAACAAGAATTTTCCCTCCTGCCATTTTTAAACAAGCCTGAAAGTTGTGGTGTGTGAGCTTGTAAAGGTCACACAGCAGGACCCTTGCAAGCAGCACAGGATGCTGTCCCTGATCGTCACAGCCGCTGTGGAGTCGCCTGTGCCTTTAGGCTGGAGGGAGGCACAGCTCTGTCTGGTGTTCAGGAAGGCTGTGAGCGATTTGATACAGCTCTGATGGAAATGAGGGCAAACACCTACTGCCAAGTCTAAACAGTCAGCTGGCTGCTCGCTTCAATATGTCTGCCAGGCAGACCATTGTCCGAGACCTGCATCACTGCAGTGGTGTGCAGACCATCCTCCATAAGATCCCAAATTTAAAGATCACTTACTGCAGCTCCTAACTCACCGGGCCACTTACAGCACAGGAACCACTTGCTCCTGCCCTGCTGCAGGCTTCCAAGGCTTTCACTCACCTGCGGCCTGGTGTGGGGGCGGGGTGAGGACAGCTGGCCAGTGAGGCCCTCAGCCGGCCAGCAAACGCTAAGCACTGTGTAAGAAGATCCCTCGGGACTGTTACTCTCAGAATCCAGCAGAATCAACACCCCTCATTCTTTCAAACACAGGTGTCGTTTTAATTATGTATCAACCCATGACTACCTATTAAGCTTTGTTTCTATCCTTCTTTGTATATAAAAACTCTAAAAAGGATTAGTCAGGAAAAACATTTTGTTCTAGTTTCCTTTTGAGCTGTACTAACCTTGTTTGGAATTTTGTAAAGGAAATAAATTATATTTCCCATTATAAATCTCTTGTCTATGTCTGTGGGAAACAAGATCTTCACTCCATAGTAACCAATTTGAGACTACAGGAAGTGAAAGGCTTTTGTTTTGTTGTCATTGTTGTTATAGCTCTGGCTGTCCTGGAACTCAGTTTGTAGACCAGGCTGGCCTCAAACTCAGATTCACCTGCCTCTGCCTCCAGAGTGCTGGGATTAAAGGTGTGTGCCACCGCCGCCTGGTGAGAAAATTAAAGTTTTAAACTCTGTATAAAGGGACACCAGCATATACGGGAAAAAAATGACAGGTGTGGATTTGGTACAAGATTGACATTTTTAAGTCCCCAATCATGAGAAATTCCTGTTTTCTTTTCCCATGCTCTTGCATTCCAGGGAGTCATAGTCTGCAGACTGGCCTAGCATAACATTGGTTCAGGACACAAAACCTTATCTAATAAATATTCTGAGGACTTGAGAGCTCTCCCTTTTCTGATGGTGGACTCACTGGCCTAGATCTTCTAAATCTCAGGGCTCCGAGACAAGCAGGCACTGCCATTCAGGGGAGAGAGAGGTCTCCAGGCTCCTGCCGATCTAGGATGCTTCGGTGAACTCTAAGGACACCAAATACTGAAAATGGACCATAACAGTTCAGTTCTGTGCTGTACAAGCGAAGCCGGCATCACATGGGAAATGGCCATGGAGGGAGATGAAAACTCAGTGTGACAAAGCCTGGGCTGTGCATGGCATGAAGAACTCCGAGGTGTATCGGCACCAGGCCAGCAGGGACAGAGGCTCTGTCCAGAGGTGGCATGTGTGGGAAGAGGAGCCCTCAGCATGTTCTGGGTTGAAAAAAAAACACCATCCCAAGATCTTCCCGGCCTGTTTAGAGAGCTCATGTGACTGCTCTGGAGGCATCTGACTGAGGCCCGCAAGGAAATTGTGGGCAAGCAGGAAACCCTCCTGGTCTTCGGCCGCTGCCCTATGCCTCAGCACCTGACACGGCAGCAGACTGGTAGGAGCGGCAGGCGAAACCCTCTAGTGTTATAGTTCCTGTGTGGGTGCCAGAGCCCTTTGTCCCCAGGGTGACATGTCAGCAGTTCTTGCCCCAGCCTAGGGTATAAACTCGTAGCTCTACAAGTGTCATAGGCCTTGTGTCGCCCTGAAAAGTCATGATCCCTCAGTTCTTGGCAGCGACTGGCATCGAAGTTCCTGGATCTGTATATCAGGACCCTGTTGCCGCCGCTGCTGTTACTGGTGTCAAAGCTCTACCTACCCCTTATGTAGTTGCCCAAGCAAATATCACTGTTCTGGGCCTGTTGGTTACCTTTCTCTCTGCTGTCACTGATTCTGTTACTTCTTTCTTCCTGCTCTCAGCTCAGCCAACTTTATTAAAAGCAAACAGGACCACTTGACAAGAGCATTTTATTCAGCCTAAACTTGCATCTCCAGGGAAGGCACTCAGGAAGCTATTGCCCAGCCTGCTCATCATGTGAGTCAAACAGCCTGCTTAGATGGCCAAGGAAAGGGCATTTGTACCGATCGCAGCAAACCTCCGATGGAAGGAACAGTATTCCAGACAGTTGTGACATAATCCCTCATGCAAATGAGAACCTACACCTAGACCAATCACAGCAGTCCTCCCATGCAAACAAGAGTATTTCACCAGTCACAGGCTTTCTGCTGGGCCAGCAGAGGAAGCGCTCTTTCTCTGGTATAGCTGGTGTAGGATTCCCCTGAAGCGGCATAAAGTCTGTCACAGATGGACCGGCTGTAGCTGGGGCTGCATCTTCAGGAGCGTGAAGCTGTACTTCTGCAGAAAGCATCTGTGATAGTCACGTGGCTTCCTCAGGCCTTCTTTGGAGTGCTTGAAGCAGCCGGTACCCGGTAAGGGAAACCCAGCTGGCTAAGTGTCTGACACTGCCTCCCTGGATATAACTGGGGGTCAGGGCCTCTCTTCTCAACATCAAAGAGGTACGTATAGTGAAGAAGACTACGTATAGTGAAGACTATCGTCAGCAGCTTATCATCAACTGGCAATACTTTCGACAGTGTTAACTCAGCCAGAGAGAGGCGGCTTCTTCTAATGTCTCGAGGCCACACTTAGGTGCGGGATGTTTGCTGCAGTGGGATCCCAATGCAGTGTGACATCTAAGTAGCCTAGGCCACCCAAGGCGACAGGAGTGAGGAGAATACCAGATGAGTAAGTACTGAATGTCTCCCTCCTCCAGGGCAGTCGGACCCTGCCTGTGATAGCATACAGGAAGGAGGACCCTTCACTCTGAAATGAGAAGGGAGCCCTCATCTGTGTCACTAAGAGCCTGACAGCACCTAGGGAGCCAAGGACCTACCTATTGGCAGAGGTTGGAACGATCTGGGGACTTCTCATCTGGAGAGGAAGGCCCTGTCACTGAGTCACAATGCAAACCTTCCATAGGATACATGTTAATTTTGAACGCTCTTTTTATTTTATTTATTTATTTTTGTTTTTTTTGAGACAGGGTTTCTCTGTGTTGTTTTGAAGGCTGTCCTGGAACTCGCTCTGTAGACCAGGCTGGCCTCGAACTCACAGAGATCCGCCTGCCTCTGCCTCCCGAGTGCTGGGATTAAAGGCATGCGCCACCAATGCCCGGCTTTTTGAATGCTCTTATTGGAAGTCGTCACGCTTGATATAATGAGTTTCCTAAACATTATGACGAAGCTCCGACCACACCAGGGAATGTGCGTGTGTTTGTTGAATTCTGGCCCGTTTGCCATAATTCACCTAACTCTATGATTGTGATGTGTTTCTGGTAGGACTTTTTTTTTCCTTTTTTCTTTCTTTCTTTCTTTCTTTCTTTTTTTGAGACAGGGTCTCTATGTGTATGTAGTCTTGACTGTCCTGGAACTCCCTCTGTAGACCTGGTTGGCCTGGAACACA